TGTGAAGAGCAGAAAGAAGAACCGAAGCCATTTCCTTTTCTCTGTTTTTCCTATCTAGAGCAAGAGTTATGAGCCTCTTCAGAAATACAGGGTTGTATTCAGGTGTCCCTAAATCTTGAAGACTGCGGATTAGCTCAGGAATGTCATCTGATAAGAAATATTCCTGAATTATGTTCACTGTGTCCTTCTTATACTGTCTTAGCTTTCCTTCTTCACTTGATTTGCCTCCATCTTTAACAGAGGTTACCACCTTAAAAGATTCATCGAGCCAACCTCCAGAAATAGCTTTCGGAACTATCGAATCAAACAGCTTTTTGGCAGACGGAATATCTAGGGCAAGGTCATCAAGACTCTCTGCTACTCGGTAGAATCCCTTCACCATTTGACTCGAACTGATCAGGCCTTCTTCAGCAGCTTCGTTTAGCAGCTTTAGTAGAAGTGACTCGGCTGTTTGACATTCCATAGCCAGAACCAAAGCCCTCTTCACTACCTCGTGATGGAAAAATGAGACCCCTAATTCCCTGATGCATCTACAAGCTTCGTAAGTGTCTCCATTTTCCACGTATTCCTTCAAGATTTCTGATATCTTTTTCTTTGTTTCTTCTACAGTAGTGTGAGTACTACCTCCCCATTTCTTCTCCACTAGTTCTGCATGGTGAGGAGCTGAGAGATAGCTCTTTTCTGCAGTTACAATTACCTGAAATCCTTTTGAAGATTCTGGAAGAATCTTCTTAGATCTAGCCAGAAAAATCGGAGGTAGAATTTCGTCAACGATAGCCCGCGCAATAAACAACGCAAGGACATTAACAGCATCAAGAATGTCCACTGCAAGGTCATCAACAGATCTGAGAAGTCTAATAAATCCATCCCTAATTTGATCAGGTAAAATCACATCAGCATACAATGCAGAGAGTAGCACAGAAGCCATTTCCTTCTCCTTATCGTGCCTGTCCATGGCCATAGAAACAAGTCGCTTGGTGAAGTAAGGATGATATTCACTCGAACCAAGTTCCCTGAGGTCAGATGCCGCCACTTTCACATCCCCGGTACTAAAGTATTCCTCAATGATGGAAACTACAGCCTTTTTGTAGTCATCCAACGGGTCTGACACAGGTGAATCAACAAGTCCATCATATGCGTCCTGTTACATTGAGTATATGAATTACAAGCACATAAATCAAACTACTAAAAAAAGAACATCAGCTGATGCTAGATGCAATTGCTAAACAAACAAGAAGAATATCCAACACAAAACAAAGTGCAAATACCTCTCCACTATCGTAATTGGGATCATTTTTATCAAGGCAGGAGTCACCATCATCAGTGTCAAGAAGCTTTCCCCAAGTTCCTTTTCCACCAGCACCATCTGCAGGTATCAATTTGCCACATTAGTAAACAAAAACATCCACACACCTGAATTTTACTCAAAACAAAAATCTGAAAACTGCCTTCATACAAGATAATTTGATAGGGAACTGATAAATAGTCATCTCACACACGAAAGGTTCAAAAGTTCAAGTATTTTTACCCTTCTTTACACGGATATGCTTTCCTGAGTGTGTCCGTCGCACATGCCGAAATGGAATCCCAGCAACTGGTCCTTTGCCACCAGTGGGAGACTTAATGTTCAAATCAGCAAACAGAGTATGAGATTTCGGTGAAGATGACAAACTCTCAGCATTCTGAGTTGCTATTTCAAGCTTTTTCCACTGTCCATCAGTCAAAATTCCCTCACCCGATGCCATCTAAAACAACAAAACGATCATTAACTCATACACCAAAGATCTTGAAAAACCTCATACTCCAAGAAATTGACACTCCCCCAAACCCCTAAGAACATGAGGTATCAGAACAAAATTTCCTCCCTTTATCAGTAAAAAGCACTGATAAACCAAGAACAAGCAACCCATAACACACATACACTGTCATATCACAAGAACACACACACAAGTGTTATTTCTAAGATTCTACGCAAAGAGACCTTAAATAAACACTCAGAGAACAAAAATGATCGATTTTAAGTAAACAAAATACCAGAAAGACATACACGTAAACAACTAGAAAAACAGAATCTAATAATACCTGTGACCGCAAGAATACAAATCCAAATCGTGAAACAAAGTCGTCTTCTTTACTGCTTGGCTCGGATCTCGAGCCAAGACAGAAAAGACAAGTGATCGGATCTCCAGCACCGGAAGAGAAAGAACGACCGGAAAATTCTCAACGGCTAAGTAAAACAAACGATTGTGGATAACTATCAATCGAATCGCAAAGATTCAAAAGTCACCGATTCACAGACAACGACGAGAGAAGGATTTGGATTAGGATCACCAAATAAAAATAAAAGACAATAAAATAAAGTTTCGTGGTTTTGCTTATATACGATGGGACACGTCATCACCACTATACGTGGAGGGCTTAGATATTTCCTTTTTTAATAAGTATATTTTACTTTATTGATACATGAAAATGGGCCATGTTGTTCGGCCCGTTAAGATATAAATATTTGGGCTAAATTGATGAAATGGTAAAATGGCTGACTACGTTTTTATAAAAAGTTTTGAGCTTTTGCATGGAATGATTGAGATCATGTCATCATGGCATATTATAAGTAGTCTTTAAAAGAGATATGGATCATTGTATTTTATATACATTGATTATAACTCTTAAACCGATTTTGAAGATTACGATTTGATCGATAAACTATAATTTTGTTTTGCTATTTTAGTGAATGTGTTTGTGTGTGTATGGAATTTTATAAAATAGAACACAGATAATGAGAAGAAGTTGGCAAGTAGTTTTCAAGCAAAACCGGTCACATGCCTTGTGTCTGTATTATAAGTCTCTCTGTATTCTGATCCGACGGTTCCCTTTTACGTCTACGGTCTACGTACCACCTTAATTTTTTTAATCGAACGTATCTCTAGTGACATTTGGAAATGTCAATTCTCTCCATTTCCTTCCTTGTTTTGTGAACAAGACATATGTCAATTTTCGCAAGAAAAATAATATAAAAGGAAAGTTTAATTGATGTCATCATATATGTATGGAAAAGAAGACTTGTGATGGTGTAGCATTTTGTTCGAAACAGTGCGTAATTTGATTACTTTGATCATCCAAATGATAAAAGCTTCGTTTTGATCGAGATATATATATATATATATATATTAACTATTAGTAGGCGTATGATCTATACTTAAGCTAATGTAAAACTCTATTTTTACTTACTTAGCTTAGCTTGCTTAGTCAAATGCGATCATTTTAACGTTTTTTGTATTCTATTAATTATGTAAAACGTAGTGAAAAATATATAGAGGTTATAGGTATATAAGTAAAATATTTTAGCCTTTCAGGTTGAGTACATTCTGAAACAACAACAACAACAACAAACAAAAAAAAAACAAGAACATTAATGTCGGTTCTTGATCTTCATCATGTACAAGAAAACATAATCATTTACAAATCGAATGAAATGTCCAAGACTTTCTAAAATTTAGTATTTACAAAAAAAAGATTGCCATTATTTGATTGATTTCTGCAAAGATACAGATTTTGCTTAAAAACCAGTAGACTTATAACTCATGATCGACATCTTGATTATTGCTAGCTGGTAGTTAAACTCATCGACCTAAATGGCTATAGGAAGATAAAATGTCGGTTAGACTTATATAATTTTGTATAAGTTGATAAAGTTTATTGAAAAGAAATATGTTTTTAATAGAAAAAAATATAAATTATTAAAGTTTGGAGGATATATATATATATATAGTGATTGCAAAGTACGTTCCCATGTGCATTGATTAATTGTCAATACATTTTACACCAGCCAAAATTTCAACACAAGACTGATTGTTTTGTTGGATATAATTATAAATATGCATACTAGCTAGTTTCTTTTTTGTCTAAAGAAGTTATATAAGTTTTATTATGAAAATATATATTATAAGAGCGTAAGTTATTGAAAGATTGGAGTCGAGCACATGGTTCCGTGGTCCCAAAATCAAACCTCTATGGGCCAGTGTCGGCTCTCACTTCTCCTATTTCATTGTTTTTGGTGGGTCTTCTTTTCTCATTCTATACTTTTCCTACAAACAATATATATTTAGTAGATGGGATTCAACAAAGATAAAAAATACAATTGTTAGATGGGATTTATATGTGGTAGCCACGTCCCAACAAGAAGATAAGCTGCCTTAGCCAAATATATTGGCATCACGCATCAACCCTTCTATATATGTGTGTTTTTCTAAAATGTATGTTTATAATATACTTAATTCACACAATGTTTAAAGCTAGCTAGTGTTATGATCAACATTTCATCTTTTAACTTTAAGAAGAAAAAAAAGAATACAGTATGAGCTAACTGTTAGGCTAATAATAATAGGAATTCAACTGTAAAGTTATAATAATAAATGTACAAAATTAAACCGTATTACCTAAAGTACACTAACACACTGTTGACTTTTGATGCACCTTACTTAAGTGTTCCACCAACATTCATCTTTAAGTTCGTTGAGATTTTAATTACGGTCGACTTCTGTTTCTTTCTTTAAGCTACGTGAGACGTGACTATTGCTAATTACGTTATATACCTGAATGTTTAATAGTATTATTGAATGCCATTGGTTTCCTTTTTAATTATTATAGAATGGTTGAGCTAATCATATTTGTAATGCTGAGAGTGATATACGATATTACTTGAAAGATTAGACTTTCTAGTTTGGTTTTGATTCATTTCTGTATGGTTTGTTGATATTATACTTTACATATATCATACAAAATCTAACCTTATAGGAGCAAACCCTTTTGAGTTCGTATAATGTCAGTGAGCTTTATATCTTCTTCTCTAGCTAGCTAAATGACTCGTGTTGATTCCCTTCTCACACGCTAAACAAAATAAGGAATGAGGAAAAAGCTAAAGCAAGGTGGGTCCAAATTCGCATCAAGTTGCATGCGCAATAAATCACCCCCCAAAGTGTTTCATATTGCTATATAGCCTTCTATAGCTTTGCTTTGTCTTTCTCCCTTCACTCATATGTTTCTCGTCTTAAGCTAACTCTTATGTTCCTATATATACCTTAAAAAACTTATCAATAACAAAGAGCCAAGAATCCCAATAATGCTGCATTCTTCATCATATCTATCTTTCACTCTTGTCTTTTTCTTCTGCTACATTCTATTCTCCACGCTCGCTTCGTCTTTGCCCGTTTCCGACCCTGAACTCGTTGTCGAGGAAGTACACAGGTATTGTAACCAAAATGTATCGTATTTTACTCGAATGTTTCGCTTGAAATATTGTTTCCAAGTTCTTTCTATATATATTCAAGGCTAATTAATTACGATCTTGATATATATCATCACATTAACCCGACATGTTACTATACATATATTGCTCCATTAATTCTAGTTACTAATTTTGACTACACTTAATTAATTACGTACGTCAAGAATAATTAATGCTTAATATATAGTCTGTTGGTTTTATGGTTTAGGAAAATAAATGAGTCGGTATCAAGAAGGAAGCTAGGGTTCTTCTCTTGCGGCACAGGTAATCCAATCGATGATTGTTGGCGATGCGACAAGGATTGGGAGAAAAACCGAAAACGTTTGGCCGATTGCGGGATCGGTTTCGGCAAAAACGCAATTGGTGGTCGTGATGGTGAAATCTACGTGGTGACTGATCCAGGGAACGACGATCCAGTAAACCCTAAACCCGGAACACTAAGATACGCAGTCATTCGAGATGAACCGCTCTGGATCATTTTCAACCGAGACATGACGATCCAACTAAAAGAAGAGCTCATTATGAACTCTTTCAAAACCTTAGACGGACGAGGAGCGTCCGTACACATCGCCGGTGGGCCGTGTATAACCATACAGTACGTGACCAACATCATCATCCATGGTTTACACATACATGATTGCAAGCAAGGTGGGAATACTTACGTACGAGACTCGCCAGAGCATTACGGGTACAGAACGGTATCCGACGGTGACGGTGTGTCCATCTTCGGGGGGAGCCACGTCTGGGTAGATCATTGCTCGCTCTCGAATTGCAACGACGGGTTGATTGATGCAATCCGTGGATCAACGGCTATAACCATCTCTAACAATTATATGACGCATCACAATAAGGTTATGTTATTGGGACATAGCGATACGTACGAACAAGACAAGAATATGCAAGTCACTATCGCTTTTAACCATTTCGGAGAAGGTCTCGTCCAAAGAATGCCAAGGTATTTTTTATCAAAAACAGAATTTTCATATTTAGTATACTTATTATATTTGTGGATATATAAGTCACCAACTATAAAAGTCAAGTATATATTGTCGGTTGGACATCTCTTAAAAGAAATATCAAAGCCAAAAATAAATACAACACTAAACACTTTAATACGTTTTTCCTTTATCTTGATCTAAGATGGATCAACCGAAATAAGTATGCTGTCTAAATCAACTGAAAAAACAGTTGGGTTAGTTGAGCTAATATTTTAATCTTATATGTTAAGATCAAATATCAGATCCATAAGTAGAGACATGAAAATTAATTGTAACAAACTAATGTGAAGTTATGTGAGTATATAGGTGTAGACATGGATATTTCCATGTGGTGAACAATGACTATACACATTGGGAAATGTATGCGATTGGAGGAAGTGCTAATCCTACCATCAACTCTCAAGGCAACCGTTTCCTTGCTCCTGATGATTCTGATAGCAAAGAGGTTCACCACTTTTTAAAACCAAATGCTATGTATCGATCTATGTCACTTAATTTTGTTTAAACTTCTAAAATTATTGTAACCTTAATTTGGATAGGTAACAAAGCACGAGGATGCGCCCGAAAGCGAATGGCAAGGCTGGAATTGGAGATCCGAAGGAGATCTAATGCTTAACGGCGCATTTTTCAGGTTTTCTGGCGCTGGACCAACAAAATCATCAAGCTATTCAAAGGCCTCAAGCCTAGCCGCGAGACCTTCCTCTCATGTTGGTGAGATAACTGTAGCCTCTGGTGCACTCAGCTGCAAAAGGGGTTCCCTCTGCTGATCATATATGTGTGCGCCGTGCGCGTGTGTGTATATACATATAATTATTGAATCCAGCATTTGAAAGCTAAGTATGTAATAATCTTGATGACAAAGTGAAAAACAAAAAAAAGTGTTTATTACATTTGATCGTTGTGTCGGCAGGGCTATATATATATATCACTTGGTAAACACGATATAATGACTCAACACACTAATTAAATAGACTGTTATAGTACTCTTTTAGGTCAACTGATACTCTTTTCAAAAAAAGTATGTCGTTCTAGAGATAGTTTTTTCTCTAAAGTAATTTAATATTTTAAATGTGACTTTTGCCAAATTAAATTCCAATTTGTATCCCTTATTTAAAACTAATAACATTTGGATTAAAGTTATTAATATGATTTAATTAGTGGTGTACATTAAATATGGATATGTTTGGAACTTTGTGTACTTAAAGAAGAATCTGAATATGTTTGATATGAGTTTAAACTCACAAAATATAGATGAAGTATTTAAAACGACTTGCTAATTAATTCACACAAGACACAACAATACAAATCGAATCAAGTGTCCATTAAGGAAAAAGACATTATTTTTTAGCATTAAGCCGTCTGAACCGACGTAGCGATATGTATCAAACATCCCATTGCAGCTAATAGTCAACAGGGTAACATAATTCTATAGAAAAACTCAAGAAGGGGTAACAAAAATTTACCCATATAGTCAATGGATAAATTCGATTCGGAAGACCTGATCTTAAAAATAGTTATTTAGTAACAGAAATACTGAATATAACAGCTAAAATCCGTTAATAAGTTGTCGGGTCTATAAATAAGCACCTTTAATTCTCTCTATTAATTAGTCTCCTAATCAAAACATACATTGAATTGAGAGGAAAACATATAGTATATCATCCCATACAAATAAAAATGAATTATGTAGCTATTCAAACCACAATAGTATTAGTCTCATCTGTTATATCATCAATTCCTATCGTCCATGCCGGAAATATTCCCGCGATCATTGCATTCGGAGATTCGATACTCGATACGGGAAACAACAATAATCTCTATACTCTGACTAAGGTTAACTTCTATCCGTATGGGAGAGACTTTGTTACTCGGATGGCCACTGGAAGATTTGGCAATGGAAGGATTCCTACAGATTTAATTGGTAATTTCTTTTACAATAAGAAAACAAATAAAATCTTCACCATTTTTGTTTTAAAAGTGAATTTATCATTCAATCTTTTTTTTTTTTTTCGGGGTGATCTATGTATGCATGCAGCCGAAGGTTTAGGAATAAAGAACATTGTACCGGCTTATCGTAGTCCATTCCTTCAACCCAATGATATCTTAACCGGTGTTAGTTTTGCTTCCGGTGGTTCCGGTTTAGATCCAATGACCGCCAGAATTCAGGTAACTAAAACTAATTAATTAAGATAATGTGATTGAAATATTTTTCATATTATTGACTAATAGTTTCATTTACTTTTTAAAAGGGGGTTATTTGGGTGCCAGACCAGTTAAACGACTTCAAAGCTTACATAGCAAAGCTAAATAGCATAACAGGAGATGAAGAGAAAACAAAGTCAATCATATCGAATGCAGTTTTTGTCATTTCAGCTGGAAATAACGATCTCGCCATCACATATTTCAAAAATCCAGCAAGAAGCACTCGTTACACTATCTTCTCATACACTAACATGATGATTTCATGGACTGAATCATTCATAAAGGTATAATAATACTTTTGAAAATAAATTGCCAATTTACATGATTTGCCATCAAAACTTGAATTTGACTACGGAAAAAAAAAACATATTGATATATATATAGGAATTGTATAATTTGGGAGGGAGAAAATTTGCAATAATGGGAACATTACCATTGGGTTGCTTGCCAGGAGCAAGTAATGATCTTGGAGGATTATGTCTAGAACCGGCAAACACAGTGGCTAGTCTTTTTAACCAGAAGCTAGCGAACGAAGTGAACAACCTCAACACGATGCTCCCAGGTTCTCGTTCGATTTACGTCGACATGTACAATCCTCTTCTTGAACTTGTCAAAAACCCTCTAAGATCAGGTAGGTGGACTCTAAATCACCAAATTCTTAGTGTGTTTTTTAAAACAAAGCTTATCATGGTAAATCAATATTTATATATGAAGCGTGAGAGACCAAAAAGTGTAATGTGTTTTTCAATGATTTTCTTTTGAACTTTTGTTTGGTTTCATTTAGGATTTACATCGCCAACTAGGCCTTGCTGTTGTGCTCCGGCAGCTCCTGTACCATGCTTGGATGCATCTCGTCATGTGTTTTGGGACATTGGACATCCTTCCGAGAGAGCTTATCAGACTATTATCCCTCCCATTATCCAACAAATCCAACAAAGCTTCGCTTGATTTTGTGTGCCTTCTTCTATTCGACTATTATCTAATGAACTTTTTCTTGTCAACATTAATTTCAACAACAATTATTCTTCTTGTAAGTATGTAAGAAATATGTATTCTTCTTGTAAGTGTTAAATGTTGCTTATCTTATCTATGAATACATACATCTAACTACATATGAAAACACCTCAATAGTGTATTTCTCTATGTATAGTATATACACACACGTTGTTTTTAATTTCCGCCGTTCTTTAGGCCCTTGTATATTTTTCTTCAAATTTTGAGCCTTAAAAGGGTTTGACCCAATATCTTCTGAGCTCGCTTATATATTCCACATAACTTCGACATAATGTAAATGTTATCAAATCGTGAAGCCCACGAATTTGTTTTTTTTTTTTTTTTTTTCTCTTTTCTTTCTTTTGACCAAGTGCAAAGACTATTTTAAAAGGCTACCCGCCACGCTTTAAAATGAGAATTTGTGATCAGCAAAATATTTGTTTTATTTTATTCTACTTTCTTTAATATGTTTATTTTTGTGGTGTTCCAAACATAAACTTATCCGATTAGCATAAAAGTTTAGAAGAAAGAAAAATAAAAAAGATAAGTTTCCAAATAGTGAGGAGTCAGCGCCTCGTCGACGTTCTTGGCTCCGAAGACCATGGGAGAGAGAGGTGGTCAGGTCAACGGTCATCCCGGTTTGTGAGTTTTTCTTTTCTTTTTTCTTTTTCTGTGTTAGAAATTTTTTTCAAACAATAGAAATATTAAATATGTATTGGAGAATATGGAAATACACATATACACAACGTCACTAAAAAATATTTTGTAGATTTCTACCGTTTTTATTAGGGTTAAAGTACACTCATGATTCATGAAATTTTGCAAATATAAAAACATATCCAAGAAGTCCAGAGCCTAAGGATAAGATCGGAGTATAACATACACATCAATCTCCAGTGCTTCAAGAGCGATCAAGTGGAAACATAAACAGTTTAGAATAGAAAAATGTTCAGTCATATTTTAAGTAATCCCAAAATGCTATTTATACGAAGGAATCTTACATGAAATCATCAAATCCATTAGTTTATTAGCACTTTTTCACTTTTTCTCTTCCGCGGAAACTTATCCACAAATTTTGGATTTTGATGTTTCGTTTTCTTAAAGAGCCATTTGTGAATACTTATTATAGTTATACCAACAACATGATTATTTTATCCAACATTCATACTTGTAGACGTAATGAAAGGAAAAAACACCCCCAACATCTTATAATAAGATATGTAAAATATTAGTATTAAACTAGAAAAGTGTACATAAACTACAACTCTCAAGACACTAAACAAATTTGCAATGTAGTTAGAATAGTCATGGCCTTGTCTAAGCTAAGTTAAATTGCAACACGGATATGTAAAATGTTCAAAACATATTGTTACGGTTTGAAGTCATATAATTCGTTTAGTTGGTTCAGTTCATATGTGTCCACGTCAGATAATCAGAATTAACATATAAATGCGCGAAATACGTTATAAAGGATTCGACATTGACTACGTGTCATCCTGTCAATGGCTAAGTTGAACTGGTATGATTGGCGTAGACCACCAAATTTGCCAGGACCAGTCAGGTGTACACAATATTCGCCGGCAATTTATTTCCTTCTACGACTGTACAACTCTTCCAACTCCTTTGAATCTTTGATGGTTGTGACAAATTTAATAGAGCAGACTTAACAAAAATATAGTGGCAGGAATGGATAAATAAGAGAATGACAAGTGGCCAGACAAGAGGGCTTGAGAGTGGATGAGGATCAACCAGACACGTAGACGAGGAGGTGGCTCTTGGGAAGAGGCAAGAGTCGGTTTACTTCAATAACCGGCCTTTCTCTACTATAAAAATAATCATATAATCAACACTTTTTCTACATTACAAGGCAAATTTTTTTTGACCGGTTTTATCACTTTTGCCCACGTAGGATCAATAAAATAAAATAAAAAAACATTCGTGACAAAAACATCATCCTACATGGTACCATTAAAAGTAATACTTGTTTTATTGTCATTACGAAAACAATTATATGTGCTTTTTAGACTAGTGGAAAAGTAAGAAAATAATATATATTTTTTGGTTGTAATGTCGGGATTATAATATAGTCGACAATGGCGTATCGAAAGGTCTAGTTAAACACTAATATATTGATTGATCATATGATCTATAGGTTAGATCCTGTTGGTATAAATAAAGTATTTTGTAATGCAATGTATTTATATATATATGATGTGTTAGGAGGCACTGCGGCTATTTGACAATGCTTGAGGCATATTAATGCTTGTGAGTTGTGAATTTTATAATGAAGACATATTACGGAATATTTTATACCAAACAGACCCATAATGTTGTATGATTCTGGTCTTAGAAAGATATGCAGACTACATTTCCAAACTTCGCAAAACTAGGAAAATAAAAATGGTACTTATCATCTCGATAAATCTTGTCAGGCTATGTATTTTTTTTGTTTGAAAAACTTGTTACTTGTATAGTTTATTAGTCAGTTAATACTTAATAAGCGTAAACAACATACATAAACATGGGCTTTTTGTTGTTGGGTTTGTTTACATTATTATTAGTTTTTGTTTTGTTTTTTGTCTTGCTGTCATCAAAATGAAAGCAATAGAGAAAAAAGTTGTCATGTTTCATATTAGTATCTAAATTTATAAGAATGTAACAACATAAGTTACATAACTATATGCTTATATAAAGTAAACTAAAAGATTTTTTTAAAAAAAAAACTAATATGTATGGGTTGTATCTGTATCATCATCAAATCTAATATAACGATAAAAACCATATATCCTATAACTCGAATATGTGGGTTTTAAATTTATCATCATGATTCATGACTTATAAGTTATAAATAAATTTGATACAGTTAAAAGACAGCCGCAGATAATTTATCATCATGAGTCATGAAACTTATCTGAGACCCTTAAAAACATCTGATAATATGTATTTGTTTCCAAATAAAATTATTCTGGATACAAAAATACAGAATCAAATACAAGAAGAAGATATTTATTAATTGAGAAAAGCCACGTGGATTAAAAAGAGAGACCAAAGGCTTTTTTTGGGTTGAGCTGTCTATAAAAATACAGAGATGCATGCCCTCTCTCTATGCTTCTCTATCATTCAATTCAATTTTGATTTTTAAACCCCTCCACCCAAAAACACCCCATCGTCACTCTCTCTCTTCGTGAAACGCAAAAACGATGGCTATAACAGCTACTACAAACGGCGGCGTTTCGTTAAACTTAAACGCCGACACGATTTCATATGATCTTGTGGAAACTGATGTTGAGATCATCACATCCGGTCGCCGTCGTATTCCCGCACACTCCCGTATCCTCGTAAGTTTTTTTCTTTTCTTTTTCTTTCTTCTTGTATTTCCGATGAAACTCTTCGTTCTTTCTTGATATATGATCAACCATTTTTTTAATTTTTTTACTTCTGGTGAAAAAAATGCAGGCTTCGGCGTCACCCGTACTGACGAACGTCATGGAGAAGCCGAGGAAAGTTATCCCCGGCGGATCATCATCGAAGAGAGTTATCAAGATCCTCGGCGTTCCATGCGACGCCGTTTCAGTTTTCGTCAGATTCCTCTATTCTCCAAGGTTTGTTTATTTAGAACATATCACCTTAATTAAGTACCATGAACCTTCTTCTGTTAATACAAATCAATCTAAATACATCCTCTTAACCCTTTTTACCAAAATCAACTTTTTTGAATGATTAGTAAATAAAAATAATAAACGACAAGATTACGATTGATTTATACTTGATCCATTACCAAAACGTGTGAAACACAACACACAAAGGAAGACGAAACGACCAAAAATCAAATTTGAATTTATCAACTGCGATGTTTTTTTTTTAAATATTTGGAAAGTGACTAAAATACCCTGACTTGTCCTTTTGTTTAGTGTCACCGAGAAAGAGATGCAAAACTACGGTATCCATCTACTGGCTTTGTCACACGTGTACATGGTGACTCAGTTGAAGCAGCGGTGCACTAAAGGCGTCGGTGAGTCAGTAACTCCCGAGAACGTCGTCGATATTCTCCAGCTGGCTCGGCTCTGCGACGCACCTGACCTCTGTCTCAAGTGTATGCGTCTCATTCACTCCAAGTTCAAGACCGTTGAACTCACCGAAGGATGGAAGTTTCTTCAAGAACACGATCCTTTTCTTGAACTCGACATTCTCCAATTCATCGACGACGCCGAATCGGTAATTAACTTCTATTTTTTTTGGTTCTTCAAGAAAACTCTGTTTTACTGTTCGATACTAGCATTTTGAATTGAATTGATCCGAATTAGCTTCTTATCTTAGTTGGTTTATTTTCGTGTAAATTTCTTGCAGAGGAAGAAAAGAAGAAGGAGATTCAGACGAGAACAGAATCTGTATATGCAACTGAGTGAAGCCATGGAATGTATAGAACACATATGCACCGATGGTTGCACACTGGTCGGACCATCTTGCAACTTAGACAACAACAAATCATCATCTCAAGTAAAAACCGGTCCGTGCAGTGCCTTCTCTACTTGTTACGGACTCCAGCTGCTGATACGTCACTTTGCGGTATGCAAGAAACGAGTCGATGGCAAAGGTTGTGTCCGTTGCAAGAGAATGATTCAACTCCTCAGACTCCATTCTTCCATCTGCGACGACCAATCTGAATCTTGCCGTGTCCCTCTTTGCAGGTAAAAAGGGAACCCCGACATTATAGAATCATCAAAAGCACATTTTAAATGTTTCTAATGATAAAAGTTTTCACTTGCTGATAGAAATGTAAATCTAAGTTGATTTTATTTTTCTTGTTTTTAAAACTTTCGGCGGCAATAATTATGTTTTTTTGGTGGTAGCCTACTTCTTAGATGATGAGTCGTGATCGGACGGCTGGAAATATTTTGTTTGTTGAATTGTCAAAAGATATTTTTTAAAAGTAAAAATATCATCTAACTTTTTAATTTATTTTGGCGATTGGAATAGGCAATTTAAGAAAAGAGGTGATGAAAAGGACAAGAAGATGGTTGAGGAGACGAAGTGGAAGGTTCTGGTGAGAAGAGTTGCGTCCGCGAAAGCCATGTCTTCCTTGTCTCAATCAAAGAAGAAAAAAAGTGAAGAGTTATACAAAGAAGAAGCAGAAGATTTCATCAGAATCCGGAACAAGTTAACTTGATAATAATATATGTAAAATACACATTTAGGTTATTATATATTGAGTGTTTGTTAGAAGCCATTATTAGAGTTGGAGTTTAGTTTGTTTGTTGGTTGATTGGGTTAAATTTGTCGATGAGTAACCTTCTCAACCTGTCTTTGTTTAGTCAGATTTATATATAAAAATGTGTGATTATATTGGTTAGAACATATACAACAACAATAGGGTTCCAAAATTACATTATAAGTTTGGGATGATATAATCCTCCTACAAGATGGACTAGATGTATTCATGTATAATTCACAGATAATCATTCTTATTGGCGCTGATAGGTCTGCTAAATAATATGCGTTAAACCTGATTGCATATGAATCATAAAAAAGATCTAAATGATATGTACAAGTTGGATCGGTCTAATCAATCACAATAGCGTCAACTATGCATGCATGATCACAAAATGAGAATTTAGGAAGGAGAAGAAATAGAAAATCAAATTTAGGAGATCTAAATTGACCAACTGGTCTTAGTCACTGGTATAGTGGAAGGGTTGATGATCATGATTGAGAGGAGGATTCAAAAGCAAACAAAGGCAAAGCAGAATTATTAGGAAACAAACATGTGCTCATTAATAAGTTAAAACAGATATTTATATATATAATTATTCATTCATTCGTCGACAACAGAAAGGAAAGACGCGTGGGGGGGAACCACGCATTGTGGTTTCGTGTCAGGTCTCTTACCTTTCTATTCTTCATACTGCTTCTTGACTTACTAGATGATTGCATTTTTTCTTTCTTACAAGAATTTGTCCTTTTGAGTATGATATGAATAGTTTCATGTTATAACACAATAACTTTGGGAAAAAAGATTAAGAACAATGGGCGTCCTTACATTTTTTTTTTTTTTTTTTTTTTTTTTTTTTTTTTTTTTAGCAAAAAAATATGATAAGTGGGAATTGACAACCCGTGGAGCCATGCAGGCACCGATGTTTTCATACTAGACGACATTAATGATTCGTTTCATGATATTAGACAAGTGACCGAAGATTCTTCAACTACGTATGAGATTTGAGTTGTTAATAGTATCCGAAAACTCAAAAAAAACTAAAAACAAAAAAAGGAAGAAAAGGAAACCGCTAAAATTTTAGTCCGTCATCACTATTCAATGTTCAAGGATGTGTGCTTAAAATGTAACAATTCATTTTTCTCTTGCCAATTTGGACAGACTGGAGCTACATGTTGCAAGACGTTTTCGACCATCGGATGCAAACTGTTGGCCCCATATGTTCCCATTGATACCGTTCTAACCTCATCATCTTAATGATAGCGTGCACACATTGATTCACTTGTAGGTGTTAGCTTTAAAGTCTTAAGATATTCATCTCATATCAGAGGAAAATTCTCTGTTTGTCAAGAAAGAATAGATATAAAAGGCTATGGAACAATGCCAAGTAGATTCAAGATCACATATATAACCCATTATCCTCCACGGTTGCAGCCTTGGCAAATGAGTGAATATCAAACAAATGAGAATGTCAAAAAAATCAATGAAACTAAACTTCAGAGTTGGAACGACAACCCTATTGAAGCAAGGAAAGCAGAGAAACAAAAATCTCCAATTTTTCATACCAGAAGTTAAATTTGGAATAGTTAGTGTCATTCTTCTGATGTGAACTACTACAACTTGCAATTGCAAGTCTTTGAATGCCAACACATAGAGACTACTATGACTCACTAACGATATCTGCAACTCTGCATTTGTGAGTTTTGATGATGTCAAACCATTTCTAGCTACATAAATAAAGTCGAAAATTGGTATCCTCTCTATTTAACTCGAGCATAAAGTTGGTAAAAAAGTTGAAAATCCATCAAACTGTTCATCAGTTAGTGATCAAATACCAAACAATCTGAGGATACTACCACCCATCCACATCAGCCGAAATAAACATGGAATTTCTAAAAAAAATGGTAAATCACTACTTGGAGGACACAAAGAAACTTCACTCTAGGAATCGTCTAAGATTTCACAGGAAATGAAACTTCACTATAAGAATCATCTAAGAATCCACAGGAGTGCCATGTGAGTCCAGAGTATACAATTTAAAGCTAAAAGGAGTAAGCTCACTGTAACACTTAGACATAGAATCAAACCGGTTTTACTATCCATAACAAGTCCTTACTCCCCAGCCAGGCAAGTGACGCATGAAAAGTACGCACTCAAATAGTTTAAAGAATCACAGACTTGTAAGCTTATGATTTGATCAAGACATAAGGAAACCATACTGGCACAGTGCAACAAAAGGAAAAACACAAGCTTGGAACATCCAACTAACAAGCAAACTTAAGATACTTAAAATGCCATCTTTCATTACTCCAAATCTCTGCACTTGAAATACAAATTTCAAAATCCTAAGGAATTCAAACAATTGAAGTTTTCATAGAGACACAACACACTGCACTTGTGCGAAATGCGCAAAATATTTATTAGAATTGTGTTGGCAAAACAAACGAAGAACACAGACTAATGACAGTGCAATGTAATATGGAATTTGGAAATCTCAAAGCTATTCAAAGATATTTAGAAACATTTCCTTCTAATTCAAGAAAAAAAGGTTCACCCTTTGAATCCCAATCTCAGAGAAGACATGAAAGGAGTAAAAATCTCACCGGAAAAGCAAAAAAAGCAGCAAATTCTACGTCTTGCGAGCAAGCTGTTTCCTGAGTTTCCTATACTTGTGCTTGTTCATCTTCTTCTTCCTCTTCTTCTTCACACTATCAGCGTAAATCACAATCTCCTTCGCATCTTCCTCCTCCTCCAGTGGTGTTGCTTCAGCTAGATCCAGACCTTGGATCTTACTGGGATTCAAGCATAACCCCATAGAGAAACTTGGGTAAAATCGCATAGGTTGATTATTGAATTCATTCCGGGAGACTGTAATCACAGGGTTAGCGAGAGAAACTGGATCGGGCTTCTCAAAAGCAGACTCGATGTTGCTGTTGATAAAGAAGGAGGGCTTCTGGTAAGTAAACAGAGAAGGTGCAGTAAGCCTCTGGATTGAACTGAAGCAAGACTTATTCTTGAAGAACCTATGCATTAGATTCGCCATTGCAGATCACAAAACCCTAAGAAACCACAAACTCGTCAAACAAGAGTGACGACGGACGAAATGACGACGTCAGGGGGTTTTTCAGTTTTGGACCTTTAGGCGTAAAACGACGTCGTCGCTCGTTAAGGAAAATCTAAGAAAAATAGAAAGAAAAACAAAAAAAGTGCCCACACGCAGGATCGAACTACGGACCTTCAGTTTACAAGACTGACGCTCTACCACTGAGCTATACGGGCAACTTGCATTACGTTTCTCAATTTATCTATATAAACGTAATTTTAATAAGTGTGCTAAACAAACCACACATAATCAGATCTGAAAATTTAAACCCAAACCAAATATGAATTCAGCTTAATGTAACCGAAATTTATTTAAACAGCATATTAAAAATGCTGTAATCATAAGTCATCACATTAAACCGGAACCGGAACCAACTTAATGTAACCGAACTTTATTTAAACTATATTTCAAATACTGTATGTAGATTAAACCCAGACCGGAATCACATCAAACGGAACTGTAATTAACTCAATGATAAACAGTTTTATTTGGTTAATCCGTTTCAAAACCAAAAACAGAACATTTAGTTGATAGATCAAAGAAAACAACATGAAATGATGAAATCATAGACGAGGAACAACTAATCCCTTTGCAGAACTGTTCCAAAGAAGCTGAGTATCAATAACAGAGAGATGTTCATCATCAAGCCTCTTCCATGTCCTAATCGACTTCACATCTCCCCAGCTTCCGTTGCTCTTCTTATTCAAATCAACAACCACAACTCTTGCTCTTCTCTCCCATCCAGCTTTGCCATAAGCATGATACCCAAATCCACCACCATAGCATAGATTCAAGCCTTTCAGTTCACCGCAGAAGTCGTTGACATGGTCGTGACCCACAAACACAGATTTCACATCTCCTCTAGTCACCAATGTCGTGAAGAAACCAGAGTTTGTAGTTGCCGAGGATATGGGTTCTTGTCTCACTCCTTTCGTAGTGTTCGTTGAGTCGAAACTCCAAAACTCCGGTAATGGAATATGGAAGAAAGCTAGTCCTGGAGCTGAACCTACTTGAGGATTAGGCTTTGCGTTGTACTCTTTCTGCATTATCATCAGAACCAGAGTCAGAACAAACAATGTCAGTAAACAAAGAACAAAAAAAGACGGTCATTTCATCATTGATATACCTGGAGACGTTTTGAAGTGCGGTCGAACCAAAACTGCTGAGAAGTTTTGATCCAATCATATTTACTGTTTAGGGAATCGACTTTAGAGTAATCTCCACTATCAAGTAAATAGAGGTTAAGAACAGATTTGTTCTGTAGGCTGGAATCAGCAGCTCCATGGACTTGGAGATTGTAATTACCAAACCCATCAATGTAATGAGCAGCTTCAGGAGGATTCACTTGAGAAAGAGTGTTTGGAAGCTTCACAATGTGATTCATGAGTCCTTGTCTTGTTAATGTAGATTCTTGATCATGGTTTCCCAAAACAGCAACCCAGGGGATTTTAGACGCAATCGCCGGAGCAAACGCAGCGTTTAGGGATTTCTTAGCGTCTATAGCATCAGCCCCAAATATGTTATCACCTGAAAACGAAACAAAAACCCCCAAAAAGATGGTGAATTGGAATAAATATAATCATCAAACATTAAATTCAAAATTTGGATTTATGTAAACAAGCACAAAGTTCAGATTTTTCAAAATATTAATAGGATAAAATTAAAGGGTTTTGTTCAATTAGGGGGTTTTTACCGGTGAAGACGATGAGATCAGGCTTCTCGGCGGCGATGACTCGGGACATGAAGGCGGTGGTGTTGAGGTCAGAGCAGTGAGCTGTCTGGCTAGGAAGAACGTCTTCACAACGGGTTGTGGCACCGGTTGCGAAATGCATATCCGCCACCTGTAGTATCTTGAACTTGCCGTTCACACCGAACTTGAGATGAGCTGATGCCGGAATCGGAGCAAGACAGAGACATGACAAAGACACTGAGAAAAGAAAGGAAACGATTAGGCTTATCATTCTTCTTCTACGATTGTCCGCCATTGTTTTAGGACAAAGAAAGATGATTAAGCGGAGTTTTTATAGTCGTGTCAGTGTGGAAATGTGAGCGCAAGTGTGTCGGAAGAAGCCAAAGCAAAGAAAGAACAATTGACAATTTGACAAAGGAAGAAAGGTTTTTAAAAATCTTGTTTACTTTTCAAAGAGTTTTAAAAATTGCAAGAAACCAAAAAAAATCATCAGTTAATTAATTATATTGGCGTGTGATTAATCAGGAGTTTATGACACACAACAACAAGTACCAACCACCTTCTTACTTTAAACACAAACATAACTCCAAATAATAACTCCATCTACAGTCATTATGCAGATTACATTGAAGGTCTCTCCGACGGGTGTGTCCCTTACTCTACAATTTACATGATTCTTGTAGTTGATTTGTTAAGGAATTGGTTACGGTTGGTATTTAAATTCACATATATAGTCAAATGTTTAACATCAAGAAAAATATGGCTTGTTGCATGTGGACATAAATTCATCGTAACTTTCGTTTCGACGGGTCTCTTACTCTACAACCACACTTACGTATCGATTGGGTTTGAGGACGTAACGGAAATTTCCGATTCCCCTTCTTAAATAAAAGTCGATCGTTGTCTCCTTGACTGACTTGTAATTATATTATTAATGCTAGCTAGCTACCATACATTTTCTTGAGAAAATTACATACGTACGTGATTCAAACGTCGAATTACAACTTGAAAAACATCGAGTTATTAATGTAAGATATATATATAAAATAAGGAAATGGATCGGACCAGGAATGCTTATTCCCCCATTTAGCTTCTTCATCAATGGAATCGAGGGCTTCAAGGTGATTTATCAGCCAGGACAATACCTTCCATCATCGTCATCGGCAGCAGCATGATCAGCATTAATCTCACTGAGATAGACCACGAGCAAGAACACAAGCTTCTGGTTATCAAGACCTGAATAAGCAAGAAACATCGCTTTCTAAATCTATATATGTCGATATATCAAGCTATATATATACATTGTAATGTAAATACACAAACTCAGAGATTTGTATATAAAGAGAGGTTTTGTGTGTCGTTGTATCGAGAAGCAAAGCCGTATAGTTATATTCCCGCATGCGATGTTTCTTTCTCACAGGGAATGGGTGTGGGAGAAAGAAAATAAAAAAGTATAAAGAGTTAACCTTTTTAAAGGTGTGTTTGGCCTTTTTAAAATAACAATGTGATGCTTTTTCATTTTACCCCAAGTTTTTTTACGCAATGTACAGCCTTTACAACTATTCACATCACATCTATTTACAAGCTTGATAGTCAATATTTTATCTATAACTGGCTTCTCTTGGATTAGAGAGACCGTATATAATTAAACAGCAATGACATTGAATGGCATGCAAGTTAAATAGATCAAGAAATTTCAGAAAATGATACGACTTGTGAAATGTATACAAAATATTAATGTTGCTTTCGAAAAATTCGTTAAAAAAGGGTAAGATTCGTTGTTTAATGTATAATATTATTTTTGTTCGAATTTAATCTGTTATTAAGTCACGATTAATAAGTCACGCGCGGAAGGTAGGGAGTGGCCCAATGGGCCTACACGTAAGAAACACTTCTTCATACAATATGTAAAGTAAGGGGCTCACTAGATATGTATAGCACTAAAGTAAATTGCTTTAACTTTTTTCTTTAACCGTGATTAAAATGCATAAGACAAAACAGTACTTTCACTGTTTTTTTTCGATTACGATGCGTCACGGAGAAAGAGGAGATTCTTCTTGCCATGGAAGAAGAAGTTTCGTTTTGTTATCTGTATCGAGTAAAACTTTATCGTCCAATAAAATTGTAAAGCCTCGAGAACATTAAAAGAAGGGTAGATTTATCTTACCCAATATTAATTAATGGGCTAAACACAAATCAAAAGCCCAGTAATAGAACACAGTGTTTTGACAAAAACCTTGTCTATTATATATTTTTTTCTGACGAGAACAAAAAAAAAAACAAAAAAAGGAGAGAAGAATGTTACAGTTTCCGACGTTGATGAGTCAGTTCCCGTCGTCGACGAAGACGATTCCGGCATCTTATTTGCTTCCGTTACAGTGGCCTCAACCGCAGAACGAAGAGCTCCTTCTGGCCATGGAAGAAGCTGAGTTCGAAGAAAAGGTATCTTCTTTTTTTACCTCCCGTCTTCCTTCTCTTTCGGAATCTGCTGATATGCATTTTTTCCGGTTTTTGAGTGTCACTGAAGCAAAATTAGCCAATTTCATGTAATTCTAGCTGATTTAGAGTGTGAGATCTGATTGGTAGGGTTAAATTTCATGTAACTCGAGCTGATTTAGAGTGTGAGTCCTGACTCCTGATTTATATAACTTCTGGGTTTTGGAACGAGGTTATTTTTTTCTTGTAATGGCTTATTGAGTGAGATTTATTGATTGGTTTAGAGATTACCAGTGATTTCTACTTAATTTAATGATGAAATGATCAATTTTTATTCGATCCTTTGTGATGAGTTTGTTTTTAAGGCAGATCGTTTTCTGTAATTCACATTGACACATGATACTGCTCTAACTGATGAATTACAGTTTCTGAATCTTTCTTCTTTGGAACATATTCTTTCCAGTGCCATCGTCGAGTTTAAGTTACTTAAAAAGGTTTATGATTCCAATGCTGAGTTGTGTTTCTAGTGTAATGGATACAGGCTTTTTTTCATTTGACTATCATCTTTATAGCTTTTGATCCGTAGAAATGTAAAGTAGATGAGAAGATCTGTCGATGATTTTGAAGTTTATGATGGAGATTTATGGTTCCTAGACTTAGTACGGAAATGAAGATCTTGAGTCTATCAGTACGTTGAATACCATTTTTCAGTGTTTCAAATCTAGTTCCGTTTTCCTGAATCATAAACAAAGAAAAATGAAAGATGCAAATAGGACAATCCAATGTTTCAATTATGGATTTGGAATCAGTTATTGTGAACTTTAGCAAGATTCTGTTTCTCAAACACTTTTTACTGGAAGAGTAACCTCACCTCTTGTCTCCTTGTCATGTTGATGTTTTGGTGTTGCCTTTAATTGTTTGTGCTTCATACATATTTTAGGTTGTGTGATTGTAGAGGTCGGAGCTTAAAAAGGAGAGAGATCAGTGGGACTAATTTTCAATATCATTGTTGTTCTGATGAATAAGGTTTAGTTAATTAAATGTCTCGGTTTGGTGCAGTGCAATGAGATCAGAAAGATGAGTCCTGCTTTACCTGTAATTGGAAAGCCAGTCGTTGACAACCACCAAGAAGAGGAAGATAATGAAGCAGAGGATGATGATGCAGACAATGCAGAGGAATCAGATGGTGAAGAGTTTGAGCAAGAAACCGGATAAATATCTTGATGCTGGAAAACACACAAGGTTTACTGATGGAATTTTGGGATACGTATCTAAAAAACCTTCTTGTACCAAAAACCACTGTTATTCTGACTTTGCAATCCATTTCTTTTCTTTTGTTTTTTTCTTCCAATCACTCTTGGTCATTACATCAGTCGTGGATCGGTGGATAGTGATTCGTAGTTCACAGACTCATGGTCTTAAATTTGTACATTTAAGGAGGCTAAAGATGTTGAATGTTTTTGTTGTGTACATTGAATTTTATGTTTTATAGATGGAATGACTATTGTAGTGATGACGACTTTTTTCCAAATTTTAGGTTGACTATTAAAATTTATTATTTTAGTGAAAGACATCTCTTGAGTGTAAAATGAAAAAAGAATTGCATTGCTTTGCTTTGGCAAAATAAGAAGAAAAAACAAGAAAATGTTTAGTTTGTGATGTGTATGAACTATAACAAATGAATTTCTTATTTGACTATAAATTGAAAATGTTGAAAAATATCCCAAATTTTGTGTACTGTGTCTGCTGGTCGAGTATTCAACAAATTTTTTATTTTGTAATATTAGAAAACAGAAATTATGTGGTACTACTACTCCAAAAGTGATTTATTTTATAATCATTGAACAACTTCTAAATATTTTATTTTTTTTGTGGAGTTCCAAAGTTATAAAATTAATGAAGAATGGGGACAAGTTGCTCACCAACTTCCTCATTCTTTAGTCTTCCTAAGTCTGTCCCATTCACTAGTTGCGCAAATTTTGGTAGTCAACTAAATTACGCCGACTAACAATTTCGTATTTTCAATATATTTGATGGTCCTTATTTTTCCATTTCCTTTTTTTTTTCTCAAGTGGGATGGTAAAATATGGATGGAATAAAATTTAAACAAAGCAACTCCGTGTGAGTAATCTCATGTCATGTCCTTCTCTAATCCTGGTGAGACAAGCAAAAAAAGAAAAAGCAAATGTTGTTAACAAAATTAAATTTATTACTTATCAAACAAGGACAAGAAAAAAGAACCTCGTTTCGTGTGAAAGGATGACACGTGTGGAAGTAACTAATCCACCGGTTTACACACGTATTCACATCTCTGACATTGACACGAGACGGAATCTCTCAGTCTTCGCCACGTATCAACGTATAACAAAAAACACAACGTCGTACGTGCAAACACGTCGTTACGGCGACTCTACCGGTTAGTAACGGCCACTAACGTTCCGGGATATCCTCCGTCTAAATTAATTATCCCCGGCGGTTACGTCTCCGGCCGTAAATTGTTTAGGATTTTGTTTTTTTTTTTGAAATTCTTCTCTTCACAAAAAAACCAACACATCGTAAAAAATTCAAACAACCTATTTTAAATCCCAAGTTATTTTTTTCTTTCTATCTTAGATTTTGTTTTTTTGGCTTCTTCGTCATCATCATCGTAGTATTCGTATCTGTGGCGTATATTCGATTTTATATTTTCCAATCTCCTTCAATGCCAGATGAGCCTGGAGTCTTTGTGTACACGACACGCATAGCAGCAATGAGACTCTTCCGACCTATGATTGAATCTCCTAGGAACAAGATCCGTGGGATGTAAACTATACCGAGATTGTAGATATCTTCCGTACGCCGGCGACGGTGAGTTCGGCGGTGAAGGCGTGACTGAGAAGGGCGATTTCGGTGATTGATCTCCGCTTGAAGACGACGGCGACGATTCGCGTTTATGCGAAGATCTCGGAGAAGATAGAACGGCTCGGATTTTAGCTCCGGTGAGGCGGTCGTACTCTTCGACGATGTTCGATAGTTCTTCTTCTGACTTGACGGAGATTAGAGTCTCGAGGTCTCCGTTTGGTAGTTGACATCTTAGATCAACGGCGTATCCACAGAATTCAAACAGTTTCTTCATCAGCTCTGGAGAAACAGAAACAAAATTATCAGATTCGGCCAAAATCGGGAAGTTGAATCGATTTTGAATACAACGAAAAATGAAGTGGAGAGTGAACCTGAGAAAGAGATAGAACGATCGACGGAGAGGACTCGCGTGTGACCTCCGACGTAACGGAGCTTGCCGTCTGTGGAACGAGGGAGGATTCTACCACCGTAACTGCAAAGAAACTTGAGATTACTTCCACTGTTCTTCTCGTTATAATCAACGGCCACCATTGTTTGTTTCTCTGTGTGAGGGTTTTTATTTTATTTTTGTATTTTGTTTTTGAGGATTTGGGAGAGAAGAGGGAAGTTTTTGAGTGTTTTGTTTTTGGTTGTTTGGTGGCTTAAACCGAGAAGAAAGGTTGCAGATGAATGGGTTTTATAGGGAGGGAGTGACGTCACGGTGTGGATCCTTCCGCGTATGGGGAAATGGAAAATTCGGTTGGACCTTTGGTATGGGGCATTTTGGACCAATTCTGTTATTCCTATAACGGAATATTCTTTTCTTTTATTGATTCCCTTTTTTTTTTTTCTTCAAAGTGGCTCGTCGTTATAGACAAACTGACTTCTATATTGATCATAGTCAGACTACTATTTAACCAGTGACATAGAAAATAATCAAATATTGAATGCTGTTTGATTCGTAACATCTTCTTAGTGGTGTTGTCTCTTCCCGATGTTAATAATGTTTTTATGATACGAATATATATTGATATTAGTCAATTATTCAAGTTAAGTAATACATTACCGGCCATGTAATATTGTCCCATGGTAAATTTAGAAAAATTAAGGGTCAAGTCAAAGATATTACTTGTTTCAATTGTAAGAAAAAAAAGAGTAGCATAAATGGTATATTCCAAAAAACATATGTATGGATTGATATAGATGGTAAGTCTGAAAATATCCCAACATAGCTTTTAAAATTTCCCATAATTTGATTCTCCAACTGTATGCAAATATTTTAGTTTATAGACTCCCTCAATCTTCTTCATTCTTCAACAACTGGTAATCTCAACAACCGTCCCAAAAAGTGATTGTTTGGTCCAATTGAGCCCATTAAGTGGGTTACTCATGGCCCATATTTTGATTGCCACAAAATAAAAGGAAATACTAATTGGCACATAAAAAGAAGAAAAAGTAAATTAGGGTTACTAATTTGGGAATAATACTGTCCAAAAACGAATCATAAAATATCTGAGCTTTTGTTTTGTTTTGTTCTTTTTGCGGTTTTCGTCGTCTTCCTGAACTCAATTCGATTCTTAAGGTTACGCGAGAAAGAACACTAGCAATCTTAAGTCACGATGGGCTCCTATGATCGTAGATTTGCTGATCCCAATTCATATCGCCAACGCTCTGGGTAAGTGAAATCAATCAATCGACCAATTTCTTCGTTTTGGTTTCCTTCGATCTGTTAACTCTTATCGTATCTGTGTTACTCTAGCGCCCCAGTTGGTCCGTCTCAGCCAATGGATCCTTCTGCCGCACCATACAACCCACGGTACAGTGGTGGTGGTGGAGGAGGATATGGGCCGTCTCCTGTAATGGCGGGTGACAATTCCGGGTACAATAATCGGTACCCATCTTTCCACCCGCCCACAAGTGGTTTCTCTGTTGGTCGCGGTGGCGGAAGAGGTGGGTACGGTCAATACGGGGATAGAAGCGGCGGAGGGAATTGGGGAGGAGGAGGACGCGGTGGATCGAGTAAAAGAGAGCTAGATAGCGTTTCTCTTCCGAAGCAGAATTTTGGGAATCTAGTACATTTCGAGAAGAATTTCTACGTTGAGAGTCCCTCTGTGCAGGCCATGACGGAGCAGGATGTTGCCATGTACAGAACCGAGAGGGATATATCTGTTGAAGGTCGTGATGTTCCCAAGCCGATTAAGGTGTTCCAGGATGCTAATTTTCCAGGTATTTGATTGATTTGGCCTTAGTGTTTTTAGTCGGAGATGTAATTTGAGTTGTTCTTAAGTTGTTGGTATTTTGCTAATTTTTTTTTACTTCAATTTTGTGTTCTTGGTCTAATTTGTTCATTTTTCTGGTAGATAATATTCTCGAAGCAATTGCTAAACTGGGATTTACTGAGCCAACACCTATACAAGCTCAGGGATGGCCTATGGCTTTAAAGGGTAGGGATTTGATTGGTATTGCTGAGACTGGCTCTGGTAAGACATTGGCTTACTTGTTACCAGCGTTGGTTCACGTAAGTGCCCAACCTCGATTGGGTGAGTACTATAACTCTTATCAGTAGAATCCAATTTTTTCTTTTTTTCAGGGCACATGTTTACTTATGTATATCCTTGCTGTGTTTATAGGTCAAGATGATGGACCCATAGTGTTGATATTAGCACCAACGAGAGAATTAGCTGTTCAGATTCAAGAGGAATCAAGGAAATTCGGGTTGCGGTCTGGTGTTAGAAGTACTTGTATCTATGGTGGTGCTCCTAAAGGACCTCAGATTCGCGATCTTAGAAGAGGTATCTTATTTTCATTTCAATATTGTAGCATTTTTATGTCTGGTTCTTGGATGGAACCTTAAACTTTATGATTCTTCTTGTCAGGTGTTGAGATTGTAATTGCTACACCTGGTCGTTTGATCGATATGCTGGAGTGCCAACACACAAATTTGAGGAGAGTGACTTACCTTGTGCTTGATGAGGCGGACAGAATGTTGGACATGGGGTTTGAACCCCAAATTCGAAAGATTGTATCTCAGGTATACTTGTACTTCCTCCAAACCTATCATGTAGTGTAATTAAGAAAAAGGTGGTCGACCAACGATATTAAGTCACTCGATCTTCTCTATTCAATTTATGGTTCTGTTGTTTGATAAGAACCAGTGCAGCTTTTGTTGAAATTGTACCTTCATGTTCATAGATCCGACCTGATAGACAGACACTTCTTTGGAGTGCAACGTGGCCACGAGAAGTTGAATCTCTTGCCAGGCAGTTTTTACGAGATCCATATAAGGTTTACTTAACATTCTGTTTAATTTAATTAGGATTGAGTATACTGTCGTTGAATAAAGTAGTGGATGTTTATGTACTGAAAACATTTGTATTTCGTAGGCCATTATTGGATCAACGGATCTAAAAGCTAACCAGTCTATCAACCAAGTAATTGAGATTGTACCGACACCAGAGAAATACAACAGGTTCTTAACTTTTCTGTTACTACAGAGAAATGATAATATAGATAAATCTATCTTTGCCTTCCTGTTATGATTTTGTGCTTATGCATCTTCTCTTTGATAGGCTCCTTGCACTGCTTAAACAGTTAATGGATGGGAGTAAGATCCTAATATTTGTGGAGACAAAGAGAGGGTGTGATCAAGTGACTAGACAATTAAGAATGGACGGATGGCCAGCTCTTGCCATACATGGTGACAAGAACCAATCGGAAAGAGACCGAGTTTTGGCAGAATTTAAAAGTGGACGAAGCCCGATAATGACTGCCACTGATGTAGCAGCGAGGGGACTTGGTAGGATTAACTGTGATACAATAGGAGAGGCTTAGAGTTAGACCATTTCGTTTTCTTGGGGTTAATGATAAATAAAAAAGTCCCTGGCTGCCGCTTTCCACAGTTTCCTCTGGTGCTAAAAAAAGGCACATAGATAGTCGCCTAGCTGCCGCTTTCTACAGTTTCCCGCATCCAGCTCCCAGGCATGGAGCTGATTGGTTTTTGAGCAGCCTGGGCGACTGACACCCGCTTGCATAGATAGTGTTATAAAGACGTCACACACACTCCTTATCCCTGCAAGTTAAGGTGGGCACATTTACTTGGAAAAATGTGTTGCTCTTAGTTTCTTGATCTTTTCAGATCTGCAGATGTAGGGATAAGGGGGTTTGTTCATTCTCGTAGGCTTTAAAAATTAAAATACCAAACTCATTTACACAAATAATTCACTTTTCTTTTTCCTGCATTTCATATCAGTCTTTTTCTTTTTTTTTTTGTAAACCGCATTTCATATCAGTCTATGATTTACTTTTCTCTAGTCTCAACTGTGTGTTTCTTCTTTCTTTTGCAGATGTGAAGGACATAAAGTGTGTGGTTAACTATGATTTCCCAAACACCTTGGAGGATTACATCCATAGGATTGGTCGAACAGGGCGTGCAGGAGCGAAAGGAATGGCCTTTACATTTTTTACGCACGACAATGCTAAGTTTGCAAGAGAGCTTATCAAGATACTTCAAGAAGCTGGTCAAGCTGTCCCTCCTACTCTCTCGGCACTAGTCCGATCATCTGGTTCTGGCTACGGAGGTGAAAACTCATTTATCTCCTTTCATCTGAGTTTAACCAATCTCTGCTTATTTGATTTGACAATCTGATTCAATTTTGTTGACTTGTTCAGGTTCTGGTGGTGGACGAAACTTCCGGTCACGAGGAGGAGGACGAGGTGGAGGTGGTGGGTTTGGAGATAAACGGTCAAGATCAACGTCAAACTTTGTACCTCACGGTGGAAAGAGGACTTGGTAGAGAACATTTTTGATTCTCTGGTTTGTTCTTAGATAAGCTTAATTATGATGATACTTGATGATCAGTGTTTGTTTTCGAGTTGAAGTTCTCTACAATCTCTCGCAGAGAACAAACTTCTACTATTTTAATTATTACCTGATTTCGCTTCTTCTCTGTTCATGATATATTATTTCAATTCTCAACGTATTTGCCATTTTCTTAATCCTCCTAATACTGTACATTCTACAGTCTCTCCTTAGTCAACCGTAATATTCTATAGAAACTTCTTTAAATAGTTTGTGGATTAGTTTGGGAGATTCATGTAATTTAACATCCAATGATAATTACAGAAGGTAAAATATGTATATTTAACCCAAATTATGTGTAATTTATCTAAAACCTCCCTTAACATGTATTCAAACAATGTCTACCGCTAGCCCCATTACAAAAGGCAAATTTAAAAAAAAAAAAAGCTAGAATAGGAATTGAATATGAATCATATACATTACTAGATTGTTTTATATTTTTTTGGCAGCCAATGCATCGGATTTAAATTCAGTAATTATTAAAAAAAAATTAAGATGGAATGATGGATCCTATATCCTATAATGTAAATAAAATATTAATGTGTGTGTATATAAGCAGCTCTCAGGCGTAGTTAGACCATTACACACAAATTTTGCTCGGAGCAAAACTTGGGAATAGAGACTCTGAGTGAAAAAGTGAGAGAGAGAGGAACGAATATGGAGGCAGACGAAAGCGGCATCTCCTTGCCGTCGGGACCCGACGGTCGTAAGCGGCGAGTTAGTTACTTCTATGAGCCCACGATCGGAGACTACTACTACGGTCAAGGCCATCCGATGAAACCTCACCGGATCCGTATGGCTCATAGCCTAATCGTCCACTATCAACTCCACCGTCGTTTAGAAATCAGCCGCCCTAACCTCGCCGACGCCTCCGATATTGGCCGGTTTCATTCTCCCGAGTATGTTGATTTTCTCGCTTCCGTTTCGCCTGAATCTATGGGCGATCCTTCCTCTGCACGAAACCTTAGGCGATTCAATGTCGGCGAGGATTGTCCTGTCTTCGACGGACTTTTTGATTTTTGCCGTGCTTCGGCCGGGGGTTCCATTGGCGCCGCCGTCAAATTGAACAGGCAGGACGCTGATATCGCTATCAATTGGGGCGGTGGGCTTCACCATGCTAAGAAAAGCGAGGCCTCTGGGTTTTGCTATGTAAATGACATCGTGCTAGGGATTCTGGAGCTGCTCAAGATGTTTAGGGTAATGCTCGATTCCTTGTTATTATCTCTTCTCTTTAGCTGTTGGTAGAGAACTTGTTGTTGTTTTCTGGTAATTGTAGGGTTTAGGCTTATCATATTGAGTGGTTTATCATAATTTACCTGAAACCTAGAAGCTTTCTGTAATTATTATCGAATGAAGCTTTGATTCTTCCAAGTTCCTAAATGATATTGCATTAGGTGTTTCACAGTTGTAACTTATATAATCTGTGCTGTTTATTTGAAATTCTGATAAAGTCATTGAGAGTTAAATCCGTTCAGTGTTTCAATGCAAAAGGGTGTTGGGTTGTTTGGCAATTGGTCAGATACATAGCCTCTTTTGTTTTCCATCATCTGATTCTTAAGTTCGTTAATTCGATTCCGTTGCTTTGTTATTGTATTTTGATAGAATCATTTCATAATGTTGAGCATGCAACAATGTTTCCTTTGCTTACATCTTACTGCTTTTATCAATTTTTGTTTGCAGCGGGTTCTCTACATAGATATCGATGTCCACCATGGAGATGGAGTAGAAGAAGCGTTTTACACCACTGATAGAGTTATGACTGTTTCTTTTCACAAGTTTGGGGACTTTTTCCCAGGAACTGGTCACATAAGAGACGTTGGCGCAGAGAATGGGAAATACTACGCTCTTAATGTTCCATTAAACGATGGTATGGACGATGAAAGTTTCCGCAGCTTGTTTAGACCTCTTATCCAGAAGGTTATGGAGGTGTATCAGCCAGAAGCAGTTGTTCTTCAGTGTGGGGCTGACTCCTTAAGCGGTGATCGGTTGGGTTGCTTCAACTTATCAGTCAAGGGACATGCCGATTGCCTCCGGTTCTTAAGATCTTACAATGTTCCTCTCATGGTCTTGGGTGGTGGAGGGTATACTATTCGAAATGTTGCCCGTTGCTGGTGTTATGAGGTCTATTCATCTATTTTGCGATTCTTCGATGTTTTTTTGATAATTTATTAAGTTTTTGTTTTTGAAAGTTTTGTTTCTGTTCTCTCGTCGCAGACTGCAGTGGCAGTTGGAGTAGAGCCCGACAACAACCTCCCATACAATGAGTATTTTGAGTATTTCGGCCCAGATTATACGCTTCATGTCGACCCAGGTCCAATGGAGAATTTAAACACACCAAAAGATATGGAGAAAATAAGGTAATATCTCCTACTTCCCCTTTTATGATCATTTTACTTTAGCTGCCAGTGAACTTCTTCCATTCCATGCTTTTCTTGTTTTGTTAAATTATTATACCCAAGATTTTTAAGATGCTAGTGATGCGCCTCAAACTGAAAATTGTTATGTAACTTATGATTTTATTTTTTAGCCAGTTACACTGGTTCACAAAAGCTTCACATGTTCATAGCTTTTAACGGTTGGATCTCCTTTAAGCTTTGTTGATGAAAGAATTTGAACTCAGAGAAATTAGTTATTGAAATTTCAGGAACACATTGCTGGAACAACTTTCGGGACTAATGCACGCACCTAGTGTGCAGTTTCAGCATACACCACCAGTCAATCGAGTTTTGGAAGAGGTAATTTTCAATAAGCTGTTGCTGTGTATCTCACTTTGCTGTTTTAGTTTCGTCCTGTCCTATTGGGACTGACTCAAGATTCATTATCTGAATGAAATCTTTAGTCGGAAGAAGATATGGAGACAAGACCAAAGCCTCGCATCTGGAGTGGGACTGCAGCTTATGATTCAGACAGTGACGATGATGATAAACCTCTACATGGTTTCTCAGGTCTTGATGGCCGAACTATGGACAGGTAAAAAAGAAATGCTTCATTCTACTCCAATCTACTCTCATTGTCTAACTTCTTAACAAGTGATTCAGAATTTAACTGATATCTCTTGAATCTCCAGGGACTCTACAGGTGAAGATGAAATGGAAGACGACAACCCAGAGCCAGAAGTGAATCCTCCATCGTCTTAAACCAGCTTTGATGGGGGTGGTGTGTCTAATGCATATGGTAACGTCGGGAGATTTAAGACAACAAGTTAGGGGAATGATTTTTTGATGTTTTTTCAGCACCCTTTTTGAGTACTGTGAAAACGTTGCATTTGTAGAACAATGACAAGCATTTTGGCCTAAAGTTAGAAAATCAGAAGATGTGAAAAATGCAAGGAACTTTTTTTTTTTTAGCTTTTCGATAAACTCAAAAAAATAAAACGACTGAAGTCTGAAATCATCATCATCGAAAAATCGGGAAACTGACCCCAATCATAATTAAGAAGAGCCATGGCCAAGGAGCTTATTTCTCTCCAATACCTCCGACCACCACTTCACATTACTCGTCAATTCCTAAGCCTCACTTCTCCTCCTTCAACTCTCATTCTCCGCCCAAAACCACCGCAAAACCCAATCTTTATCCGCACCAGCTCTCACCGGAGCAAAACTTCCCACGACGACGACGGTGTCCCAGCCGACGACGTCAAAACCCTCGCGAAATTCAAATCACGGCATAACTTCATCAGAGTCATCGAAGTTTCACGAAAGACCAATCACCCACTCGCCGGTTCGCGTCTCCTCCTCCTCGACAATCCGGGTAACATCCACAGCATCTCTTTCCTTCTTAAGACCTTAACCGATAGTTACTTCGACGTTTTCGCTACTCTGCCTCCGATTATACCTCCAGGACCCATTGGTATTCTCGGATTCGGAGCTGGTTCAACAGCTCGATTGATTCTCGAGCTTTACCCTCCTGACTTCACCGTCCATGGATGGGAACTTGACCCTTCTGTGATTGACGTTGGTAGAGAGTTCTTTGGCATCTCCAAGCTCGAAAGGGAACATAAAGATAGGATTTTTATCAACATTGGGGATGCTTTGAATGCTAGTTTGAAAACAGGGTTTTCAGGTATTTTAGTTGATTTGTTTAGTAAAGGGAGTGTGATCAAAGAGCTCCAAGATCCTAAAGTGTGGGAGGATTTGAAAAGTAGGTTGAGGAAGAGAGGGAGGATTATGGTGAATGTTGGAGGAAATTGTGTGGAAGCTGAGGATTCAGAGAGAGATGGAGGTTTGGTTATGGAAGAAACGTTGAAAGCGATGAGTCATGTTTTTGGAGATAAGCTCTTTGTTCTAACGCTTGGCAATGGGAATGATAGTTCTGTGGCTTTAACGGGCGATTTACCGGATCTAGACGCATGGAAGAAGAGATTACCGCGTAGTGAACTGAGAAGTTACGTTGATATGTGGGTACCTTATAGAGAACACAGCTCGAGACATTAGCCTTAGATGAATATTGATTGATAACTAGTTTAGGTTTTGTGACGGATGCTGCTGCAATGTCTTTGGAATCTCGTTATGGTGAATGCGAAGCTATGATGAAACTTGATTAGCTAATACACAAAACTTGTTCTGTCTCACATAGTGTTATAAGTGTACAAAAGTATTGGCTTGTCCATTTTGTGTCTTTTTTGTTGATGAATCATCTTCGAGGCTGTCTATTCCTTCACGGGGATTGAGATTTACTCATTACTGTTAAGCATGATTTGTTCTGGTTGGAAGCTAAATTCAACAAAGATCCTTGTATCACTCTGTTTATTCAAAATCCAAAATATGAAGCTTTTGCAGTTTATAGTCCGAAGGAGAAGATATAGATAGTAAATAAAAAAGTCACGAAGCTTTATCACAAGACAAACGCATTACAGTCACATTATTTCTTCGACATCATCATTTTGAGATTTCGAACGCAATACATGTAAATGCCAAAAAAAAAAACAAATACACCCCGATATCAGTTGTGTTTACACTTATTTGTCCTCATTAAGATGGTTAACGTATTGATCAATGGAAATACGGAATCATTATATACTAAACGCACATGCAAACAATGAAAATCTCAAACTTTAGAATACATGGAAGAGATGCATCTTAAGTGCAAGTTCTTGATCAATATTTTTATACATATGGAAGATATAAACTTTTTTCCCTACATAACACCATTAAACATGCGAATAAAATATATATAATTACAATAATTATGAGATATTAAAATCATACGCATGCATCTTGATTACCGTAGGCTTTTTCTCATAGGATACAAATTCCAATTAGTTGCAAAGTGTCACTAGTGTTAATAAGCACAGTAGGGTTTATTTTCTAGTCATCTTTTCAATAAAAAAAATAAAACTGATATTATATAAGGCTGAAGTGAATGAATAAAAAATATTCAAATCTCTCTACATTCCAAGCCTATTTGATCTATCACTCTTATAATACTTGATAGGGCAAGAGTGGGCAAACTATTATTAGGAAATGAAATAATAAATTGGGTAGGCTATGAAAATAGCACTTGCAGCATAAATACGACATTATTTCTCATGGATCATATGCATAGTAAATGAGATTTATATATACTTATAAATTACTGTGAAGAGGGAGGTTGACTTTGTTTGACTCAACACGTGGTTACTGCAGCAATAAGCAATCCCGATGATAGAGAATAAAATCTCTATCCATTTCTCTTTAATTTACTCATTTTGGGAGCATTAATAAACGTCCATATAAGCAAAATAGAAAATAGTAAGGTTTTGTAACTTACCCTATATATATGATATCACATAAATTTTGAATTTTGGTGGAATGATTTTTCTCTTTGATATGTGTGTTTCATATTCGATTCTGCATATATAAAAACAAAGAAAAAAACAAAAGGATATATTCACAAAACTATTCCTCCAAGTTGCATCATTGACCTCTTTCTCATATATAGTCAGCACATGCAGATTTGATTAATTTAAACATTATCTCTTATATGTGTGTGTGTGTGTGTGTTGTTTCAAGTGAGACCATATATATGAAATGTGGTTTCTAGAGATTCTTCGAGATCGAGAGTCACAGGGATTTTTCAATTAAAATACAAGAAGAAAAATAAAATGCGAGGGACAAAGTAGTACTAGTCTAGTTTTAGTAGATCATATGTGTGAGGAGGACCCCTATGCTCTCTCTCACTCACTCTGCAAACCCTTTATAACACTTCATACCCCCACACATGCACCTCTCTCCATTGTATCATCATTTTTATATGCAACCTCTTTATACATATATTTGAAGGGGCTATACATAGATCAATACCCACTCTAATCGCTTCATTACTTCAATCTTTTGATGGTAAAATTATTTGTTTTGTTTAATGTCTCGAGATATATAGCAATAATGATTCAAAAACTTTACTTTATGCGGATCTTATATCAAGATTCATGTTGGGATCAAATAGCAAATCCACCACATCATTGGTACTTCAAAATTAATCGATGTTTAGCTATCAGAATGCCCAAATCAGTAACACTGTTTACATTGAAAACGTTTTGAATAATCAGCCAAGTTTTTGTTATATGAGAGAGGAACTATATATACTTGCCAAGTACGTATACGTGACTAGTTTCCTTTTTTAGAAAAAAATAGGACCTCTATTTCCGAACCCTAATCCCGATATTAATGTTTTGTTTTAAATATGAAGATATTACTTTGGTGATAAAAGACTAGATGCTTCACTTTAGTAAATCACTAAATTCCCACCACTAACCACCATCATAACTTGGACCAAAACATAATATTCTAAGGGATCTTGAAAGCATTCCAAAGGTTAATACTACCACTGTACCACAACAAACTATTTTGCACTCTAATTTTTCTCTTCAAAGTTGACAGCGTTCTAAGAGAGTTTCTAACTATTAGCCTTTTTTTTGTCACTCAACTAGTACTAGCCTATATTAAGAAAATTAAACATTAGTAATATATATTTGAGTCGAACCATTTGAAGTTCTACGGTAGACTAAGGATCTATTGACGGCAGATACATAAAAATCGGTAGTCGATTCTGATAATATATAATTTAAGTTCTGGCTAGAAATTTTTTGTATTAATTAAAAATTGGTGCGATCGAAACTAAGTAAGAAGAAGACACTATTACAGAATGTCTCAATCGGCTGTCACTTCCAATAATATATACTCTAACACAAGTAACTGTTGGTATGATACTAACCCTAGCTATAGCTTCAAAAATCTTTGGACCCCCTCATATATAGTTTTTTTTTCCATTACAAAAGTTATGATTTTACAAAACCTATTTAAACATGACTTGAGCTCACATGAAATCGCTTGACTTTTACTGATTTCCTGTCTCGATGTAGCGTTTTTTTTTGTTTTTGGTCGACATTTATACGAATACGGTGAACATAACAAGTTTACATGCTTAAGTTTTGTATAGTTTGTCCTGCAAAAACTGTTCTTACTATAAACAGTATGCTCCTTTAATCCTCATTGCAAATCAGGGTTTTGTTGTGATATTCAATTAAAGTCGAGACTGATAGAGATGTTTAATTAGGGTTTCTTGAGTCTCCGGCCATCAGCGTGACAGGTATAGATACACAATATAATGATGCTTGATTAGTTAGCTTAGGGTTGATTTTGGGACTGTTAATTAGAGAATATTGTTATCATGAAATGCATGAAGAAAAATCACAAAAGCTAAAGTTAAACAAATTAATCTAATGGGAGACAAAAGTGAGCACAGTGAAATGATATTACTATTATTCTTGAGATGAAATGTCATAGTCATTCTTTGAGGGACATACCCTCTCCTCCTCTTCCTGTTTATTAATTGTTCATTTGTTATTATTACACTTTGTCTTTTGCTCTTTCTCCTTCTTCTCCACTAAATTTTTTCTCTATTTTTCCCCCTTTTTATTTGTTTGTTTTGGTTTCTTTAAATTCTCAGCTTCTAGGCAAATCTTTCTCAATTCTTCTTGAAATTAGGGTTTCCCCTTTCTTTGAGAGGGCTAAAACCCTGATATATCTATCTCTTTGACTTAAAGAGTTATAAGCCTACTCTATCTACTTTGGAAGCGAAATTCAAAGGGTAAGAAAAAAAAAAGCCCTTGAAAGAGGAAGAAAGATACAAGATCCTCAAAGAACATAAAGATCTAAAAGGCAGGTATATAATATAACTCTCTATATACATATATGCTTTAATTTGATTTACGTATCTAAATAAATCCTAGATGTATGCACCGATCATCAAAGACAATCAATTTCTAGTCTACGTTTTTATTTTACTTTCTATGTTCTTTATATATGCTATTGCTTATATTTTCCACTTTGATCTTTCTGTCACTTTCCTTTGAATTTCTACTCTAAGAAAGACTTAAAAGGTGATCTAATTTTAGCATATAAATGAGACAAGGATGTATGTAAACACATGCGTTATTATTAAACATTCATCATAACATAGTTATCTCTTTGAGTTGGCATAATTAAGGCCAGATCTAAAGTTTCTATACATAAATCCAATTTAGGATAGACTTAAGATCAGTGAAATTGCTTCATCTCCACAAGAGCAATGGGGGAGAGAAGGAGAGAAACAAAAAAAAGGAGAGAGAGAGAGAGAGAGAGAGCGAGCGATTTTAACTAACTAACTGGTTTACTAAAGACAAATTCGAAATTCCCATGACCAAGTTTAATTATGGGGCATACGAATAGAATTTAAAGAATAAATTTCTGTTTCTCTTAACAAAGCTAGTGAGGGTTGACGAGAGAGATCGGAAGATGAAGAAGATCGTAAAGCACATAAGGGCACAATTAAAAAATTTACAAAGAAAAATTGTTTGATTTGGTAACATATATATGTCGTATATATATATATGTATGTATTTAGCAAGTAAGTGTAGTACGTAATTTATATGTAACGTTGATATAAATACTACAGAGGGATACATAAACTCATCTGAATCTGACATAACTATATGAAACAAAAAAACAAATTTGACTCTTTTTTTTTGTCCAGGGATTGAGTACTTTGTACAAATACGTACTCCCACACTCTCATATAGTTTGAATTATGTCTTTATGTACTGATCCACATGTATGTATGACGTCTTATATTATAAATAATAGTATATACTCTGTTAAGTAAATTCTGATAAATTAGCTAAATGTCCTGGGTTCTACTTTAAATCAATGTCTCCTATTATTTCTAGAGGGGACTTTAAAAAAACTATGTATATGATCTGGCTAAGCTATGTATATCAGATCATGATTCCTATATTACATCTTTTGGAAATTATAGCAGATTTCTTTTATGTCAATAAGGTTTATTAAGAAAATTCAGAGAGTATATAGACTTTTAATCTTAACTTTATAAATGAAAGATTAGTTCATTGAAAAAAAAAATCATGATGCGAAACCAAAGTAATATATAGTTTTGAGAATGTCCTGAAGAATCTCTGTGTTCCTAATTAACATGTTCATTTAATCTTCACTTTAGAGACTTTTAGGTTTTTGTAAATATATACTATGCATGATTTTCGTTTTCTTAATTAGATTATTGGATGTTACATAATCACGTGTATATATATGTATGTATATGGTGGCGATGCAGATATATATATATGCAGAGACAAAGACTATATACTCATAAAGACACAAACGTATACATGCATATATACAGCTATGGAATATCTATGAAAACTAAGTAGAAATTCGAAAAGAAAAATGGGAAAAATATAAAAATTATAATATAAGTTTTTCACAAAATGAGATATATATATATGTATAGAGAAAGAAACACAACTTTTAATAGAAATTCCAATCTAAGTTTTTTATAAAAACAAAAATCATCATTTCCTAGCAAACTAAGGTTATATATGTGGATCTAACTTATTTTGATCATGTTGAAATGATTTTAATACTTAATATTTTGATTAGGTGTAAGAAACCAAACAAAAAAAAACACACAAATGGCGTCGTCATCAAACTCATACAACTCACCATGCGCTGCGTGCAAGTTTCTTCGCCGGAAATGCATGCCGGGATGCATATTCGCGCCATATTTTCCACCGGAGGAGCCACACAAGTTCGCCAACGTGCACAAAATCTTCGGAGCAAGCAACGTGACCAAGCTCCTCAACGAGCTTTTCCCTCACCAGCGTGAAGACGCAGTGAACTCTTTAGCCTATGAGGCCGAGGCACGTGTCCGTGACCCTGTCTATGGTTGCGTCGGAGCCATCTCTTACCTCCAGAGACAAGTCCATAGGCTTCAGAAGGAGCTAGACGCGGCTAATGCTGACCTGGCACATTATGGTTTGTCTACGTCAGCGGCCGGAACACCTGGCAACGTGGTGGACTTGGTTTTCCAGCCTCAGCCGCTTCAGTCGACGCAGCAGCAACCACCTCCGTTGAATCCTGTTTATAGGCTTTCAGGGGCGAACCCGGTGATGACTCAGCTACCACGTGGCACCGGAGGGTCGTATGGGACTTTTCTTCCTTGGAACAATGGTCATGATCAGCAGCAGCAAGGAGGTAACATGTAAATTATGCATGTGTACTCTCTCTTTCACTCATCTCTCTCTCTCTCTCTCTTTCTATATATTTATGTGTGTTTGTGTGGTACGACTACGACTACTATATTATTTATTTAATGCATGGACTGTATGGTACTACGATATTTTATTTTGTGTGGGATGAATTTCCCATCGAAGCATAAATGCATGAACCTGTTCTTATTATTTATGATGAGCTACATATATAATAAACTGTTCTTATATATATATATATATACTGTTTTGAATATTATTCGTTTGGTATATTAAAATACCTACGCTAGCTAGACTATAGTTATAAATGATTAACTGGTACTTAAGATGATAAAAAAAAACAACAAAATTATAGGTACTTAAGATGATATTCTACCATTTTCATTCGAATTTCTCCAAAACTAGTATCCGATTAATTTTTTTTTTCTTCTCAAAATTTTGTATTAGGCGTTCGGTTTACTTCGAAAGTCGGCTAGCGCATATCAATTTTTTTAACCAAAGAATACTTAAGATGATATTCTACTTTTTTCATTCGAATTATTGTTGAATTACTCTTTTATGACTTTTAATTACGAAAATACCAATTTTAGTAAGGTTGATATTTACTAGTTTAATTTGTTTGGTTATTTAATATGATAAAATATTTGTAATTTTATTCTTATGAAACAATATATGCATTAATCATGAAACGGAAAAAGTATTTTTTTCTAGTGGCTAATTTGGTGTATTATATTATTCCATTAACATTTCATTAATTTGGTGCTGATTGTTAATTATTGCCTTGGTTGGTTGAATACCTAAACTAGGATTGTAGTTATGCGTGGACGCATGTTTGAGAGAATTTAAGGGTGCTAATAATTGAGGGTTCCTGTTTTATTATTAGCTTAACTTATTTTACTTTTTTTTTTGTCATATTGTTATTTAGTTATATATCTATAGTTTTGATACTTTTTGTGATATTTGTATATAGAAGCCATGGTATGATTTTTTACCTAATATATTTTGTATATGTATCTATCTAAGTGTGTGTGTATCATATTATAGTTGATTCTTTTGGAGTTATCGTTAACATATTATTAAATTAACGGGTAGAGCGACGGCTAGGCATGTGGATTACGAAATTTCCTTTTGTTTCTCTCTTTAAAATAAGATAGTTTGGGTTATAAAGTTTTTGACAACAACAAATAATAATTGGTTTAGGTTATTAATATATTACGGTGTGTGCAGCCTTTCTGTCATATAAAATATGATCGTCAGAAGTGTTAGCGCATGAAAATACTTATAAATTTACTATGCATGAATACCTTTTCTTTTATCAGATTATGGAGTTATCATGTGAAATTTATAATATACCAAATATAGTCCAAGTCATGAGTTGTGAAACTGTAGTAGCAGTATCCCTATACAAAAAGAAAAAAAAAAAAAGAACACCATTTTGGGATTAAAATACAGTACAAAAACAAAAGCATATTTGTCACATAGTCCCTTTTAATTTTTATTTTTTTCGTCAACATTTAACATTTAATTCATTGCGATACAAGAAAGTGAGCACTTTGAAACTAAAATGATGTTATGTAACTAAAACATGATGGTGATTAATTACGACGCATATACATTGATTTATTTTAATAAACTTACTTGAATCAGTTTTTGGTCTGCAAATAACTACTATATACGAAAGTTTGGTATATCCAAGCTTGTGATTTGTGATTCGCAATAACTAACACGTCCTGGTAGAGGTATAAGTAACATACAATGTGTGAAAAGTCATAGTTAGTGACATAGTTAATTTAACATGCCTTGTTTAACATGTAATTCTAAACTTCTACCTTAAGCCCATAATTTAGTTACCAATCCTTTTTTTTAATCTATAGGCCCAATCAGAATATCCAAAATTAAAACAACAAATTACTTCTTTGTCATTTATTTATATCTATATCTTTCCAAGTTTTCATCTTAGTTTTGATACTTTGAGTTTGAGTTGGTATGCGAACTAAAGGCCAACAGTCTAACAAAAATCTGTGTGTGCGCCAACATTAATTTGAAGCTTGCATTCTATACTCGATGGTTAAACACATATAACACAGATATGTTAAATTTGGTTGAATATGACTTGTTTAAGAAAAGGAGAGATAAATGAATAAAAGCTGCAACTACAAAACTTTTGTATCATCAAAATAAAGATGAATGCTCTTATATTTGGACAAAAAAATAATAGATAAATTAAAAATGATCATACAAAGGGAAGGGTGCATCTGTTCATGTATCATATAATAATAATAATGCAAGACTGATATATAATAATTTTAAAATGTTTGGGGGAAGAAAGACTTTGGATATTGTCGAGGAGAAAATAATAGGAACTCCTCATCGAGAATCCATCAAACCCATCAATCAATCGATGTCTTTTTAGAGACGTGAAAAGGAAGCAAACTCTGAGTTTCTTTTCTGCCTTTGAGCTATTTAGCTAAACTACAAAAATAAAATGCACAATGTCTTTTTACATTGTGCATTGCGGGTCCTTTGCTACCTCTTTTTCTTACAGTTACAAATTCATCAAAACACTGAAACGAAAAAAAAAAAAAAAGATAAATATATATGCATATAGAATTGTACGTAGTTTCCCATTAGAGTCAAAATTCTAAGTCCCAAGATCAAAGCCAACCTTTTCATACCCAATATATAGCGTCGGACCGGACCTCGCTAATTGTTAAGTTTTATACTATAATATTTCAGATTTTGGATCATGATTGGACTGATCATTCTAAGATGTTTTGATGGGAGTTAAAGTAAATCATATTAATATGCTTTTATAAAATTATATTGACAATTTCAAACAGAGTGGGACATTTTTTGGTCTGATCGGATTAGAGAGTTCGAGTGAGATCATGTTCTTCTCCCAAATATATACTTATTATAAAATCAACTGTTAATGTATGAAAATAGTTGTATACTTTTCACTTTTCACAAGAATAAATCTGAGCCTCTATATTTTATAGTTTCTATTTGTAATAGTTGGTACATTTGATAATATATTATCTTCAGTCCTTTTTCTTTTCTTTCTTTCCTTTTTTCTTGTGAAATAATGATCTTTTAGTCTTCTAATCATTGGTTTGCGAGAATATTAGGATCCAATAATGATCGAATAAATTAATAACCGCCGACCATTGTCTCAATAGATTCTAATAATAGTGGTGGATTTGGATTACGTTTCTTTTTTTAAGTTCCACTTTGTAATTTTCGCCTTCTCAAATAAAAATTTATTTTTAGATTTGAGACTGATTAAACAAAATGTTAAAACATAAGTACAAAGTTCAAATTTTTGTGTTGCAGAATGGTAATTAATTGCTCTCCATATATATGGACTTTTAGTCGACAGAAGAAAGATATACATACTAGACTATTTGCTTTAATTCTATATATGTTCCATACAGATAAATAGTGGATATCGAATCAGTAAGTGTTTGTTTGAGAAATTGACACAACTAGTTAAAGACATATGCTAGTATGTAAAAAGGATCCTATAATACATACTTTGATACTCCTCCATGTTTTGTAGTTTGTTGTTCACAAAAATACGCAATATTTCGTAAATTGATAACCAAAGTTGATAAATAGTTTTATGAATGCCTGAAGAGTTATATATGAATCAAAAAGTAAAATGTAAATACATATGTGATTCTTTACCAGTTAGTTAGAGCAACTACTACTTTCGTTTATTCATTATTATTGGTATATTAAAATTTAAAATTGACATTACTCCACTTACTTAGTCCACTAATGTGTGTTGTTGTTGTTGGTATTTTATATGCATGCCTTTGAAGTGAAATCATAGCAGCAATTATTGAGAACCCTTTTGTCAATCATAAGCACTATTCAGGATTCATAAGATCTGAAATTCCCAACTATTTTCAGCCATCGTGTCATACCAATAAAATTATGCTAAAAATGGAAAACACAATAATAATAAATAATAATCATGATTGTTGAAGCCGCATGCATTGAACAGAACCACGAAAATGATTGATTGATAGATAGATATAATACGAGAGAATCTCAAGATCAGAAAGAGGTCGAGTTAGATTTCTGAAAATAATATATATGAAGTGAGTAAGTTTTCCCAGCTTGTATTATAATCATTTAAATTTAATTTAGCAGTTTCGTTTTCTCAAGCAGAAAGAAAGAAGGGATGATAATGATTGTTTGACTAATCTTTTTGACTGAATTAATGAAGAAAACAAAGAGGCAAATACAATATAGTTCTCAGTTTCTCAGTTGAGTTTGCATTACTGAATCCAACCGACACACTTGACCAAGATCTATATGGTTCTTTTTTCAAACTAATAATTAGACAGACTTTTATGCCAAAGCAAAAAACGTTTAGAAAAGAATCTGAAAATTAATAAATATTTCTTTTGGGTAAAGCACCATAAGAAACTTGTTATTATTGATATATGATTATTTTTATATTCATTTTTATTATTGATATCCGTTTACATGTAGACGAAGAAAACATGAAAAGAAAACGTAATTATCCATAAGTACGTAAAAGTTCTGAAACTATTTATACTAGATTCCCATTTCTTCCATCTCTTTAGTCTTCTTCATCCTGCATTATTTATCACCATATATATAAATAATGTCAATTTCACTATATTACACAAGACACTTAGACACACACACACACACACATGCATGCATGCATCTATTATATTCAAAGAACAAAGTTAAAAATAAAAAAAATAAAAGAGATTTACTGCGAGTGCGAAGTTGAGTGAAAGGTATTTGTAGATGAAGGATGCTCGCATTCGCGCATACACTCTCTGAAGCACTCTGATTTGAACTCCGGGTCACGGCATGTGATTTCACATTTGAATGTGCACAAGTGGTTTATTGCTTCTGTTCCAATGACAACCATCATGATCATCATCATCATCACCAACACACTCGATTTCTTCTCCATTTCTCTTGTTAATTTTAAAGTTTTTTTGTTGTTGTTGTTGTGTGTATAGTATGATATAATATATTTAGTCAGTGAAAAAGTTCTCTCTATATATAAAGACAAAATCACCAAACTTTTTGTTTTCATCATTCTGTTGAATGCCATGATTCATGAACTCTCGTCTCTCTATATATGTCAAGCCATTAAACTGCTAACCGTTGAATTGACTTTAGAACTCTCAAGAACCGCATATGGAAGTGATAATTTTTTGACTGGCTATTTCAAAGAGAGGTTTTGACCAATAATAAAAATAACCATATTAAGCTATAATAAATCTGACCCAGCCGGAGTTCAACACGTCACTGTTTGACTTTGATCTACAATGAGCTATATCATATTGGGCCAATAAATTAGACCATTTAACCTTTTTTTAAGTTTGGGCTCAAAACAGTTTGGCCCACAAGTCAAAAGGATTCTGCAATTGTGTTTATAACATAACAAAATAATAATTAATTCCACTAATTAATATGTGTTTGATTATTCATCCCAACTAATCACTCACAATTCAACTTCAATTTATGTCTTTACCATTTCACAAATACTAGTACACGAATTGTATACCATTGAGTCCAACATGAGAAATGCAAAAGAAAAATGACTTGCCATAGATATGCCTCATACGTATACCATCATCAGTAGAAACCAATAATTATAGGTTTGGTCATGTTATATATACACATGGTGTTGTTCGTTCATAAAGTCCATTGTGTATACATAAAATAAGGCCAAAGAAGAAAGAAGAGATATGGGGAGAAACGTGGTGGTAATGATGATTTTGGTGGTGGTGATGGTAGCCATGGAAGTAGAGGCAGACGACGACAGATCATCATTATGTGAATCGAACTGTGCGATCCTCTGCAAGGACGTTTCATGGTTCGTCAGAAAGATCTGCCATAAAGCGTGTATGCGCACGCGGGATTGCAACGTTCCTCTTGGAGCCATCGAACCGACATCCGATGACTATGTGCGCGCATATATAATCGTGATTGTGTCTTTGATTGTATCTAAGCATCTAGCGAACTGGACAAGGATCATATTGGTACGCATGTTATTTGGTAATGAAATCAATTAATTAGGATGGTTCAAGGCTTCTCATGATGTAACTCTTTTTCTTTATATATATGTAAAAGAAAAATCAATCAAGATCAATATATATGAATAGGTTATAGCCAAATGGTTTCTCAAATTCATTAGATGAAAACAAGTATTATATATGATCTTATGTCAACAAAACAAGGTATTCTAGAGAACAAATCTACTTCTTTTGATGTTATTGTGTAACCTGATTGTTTGTTTGCATTTATAACTTTTAATTGAAAACTAGCAAAATGAGTATATTCTGATTGTTTTTCTAGCTCTCTGTAATAAATTCCGCGAGAAGGATTGTTTGTTTGCATTTACATTTTAAGAGTGTTGTAGTCTACTAATTATGTCAATCAAAGTTTCTTAGAAAAATAATTCGCTAATATAAATACATATGCTAAACATAAAGAGAGGGAAAACATTCGGTTTATTTTGCGGGAAAAATATCTTGACAAAAATTCAAAATCTCGTTGCATTTGGAAAAATTTTGTTTTTACTCTATTAATGAAGTCATTCACATTTTAAAATAATTATTCGCCATTTAAACACATATGTTAAACATAATAGAGGGAAAACATTCGGTTTATTGCGCGGCAAAACAATCTTAACAAAAATTCAAAATGTCGTTGCACTTTACAAAACTTTTTTTACATAAAAGCATCTAAATAAAATGAATTCAACCAATAAAAAACATAATGTAAATTATGATTGGTACAAAAAATTATATTTAATTTTTACATCGAAAATTAAAAACATCACTTAGAAAATGAAACAATTTTTTTTTTTACTAAAACATTGAAACGGATGGGATAGTCTACTGTTGATCTATGATTGACATCATTAATAGAATAAAAACAAGTTTTGCTAAACAAAACTTAGTGAAGCAAACATTTTTATCAATCACACTTATATTTTATCTGTTTATAGTCACAGGGTTTATAAAAAGTTTAGATTAAAGAAGATATGGAGACCAACTGGAACTGATGATGACATAGATACATCTTTTTTTTTTTCGTTTTCCTCTATTCATATTCAAGTTTTATGCTAAGAGATGGGAGAAAAAAATATTTGAAGTCTATTGATACTTTGAAAAAATATGTATGAATGTCCCTAAACCGCAGCGTTTTAGATACTTTTGGCTAAACGCTGCGTTCTATTTGAAGTCTCTAAATGAGTGAGAGAATCTCTTTTGTTCTTCACCTGTCGTTCATACTTTACCGGCGACTTCGATCGGAGATTCTCATTCTCAGAAGAGCCAAGCCTTTGGCAGCGACGAAAATTCTGAGAGTTGGGGACATGGGAATAGAGATTGTTGGTCAAATTGAGAAACTTAATGGTAACTATTTGAGTTACGAAGCTTTTGCAGAGAGATACTTAGCCAAGAACCAGCCAGTAGTAATCTCCGATCTCACTGAGGATTGGAGAGCTCGGGAAGATTGGGTTTGTAAGAATGGACGCCCTAATCTTCACTTCTTTGCTACTCACTTCGGAAAATCCAAAGTTCAGGTAAAAAGTTGATGCTTTCATTAGACTAGTGTAGCTTTGGTTAGCTCACATAGCCAAATTTGTTAAAGGAAAAAAAAAAAAAATTGAGTCTTTTTGGTTTTGGAATATGTTTATTGTTCATTGAATTGGTGGTTTTGGTTATCTACAGGTTGCAGATTGTGATACGAGAGAATTCACTGATCAGAAAAGATTAGAAATGTCTGTTTCTGAATTTGTCGACCAATGGGCCAATGATTCTATCAAGGAATCTGTGTTGTATCTGAAAGACTGGCACTTTGTCAAGGTGTATATCTGAGGTTTAATTCACACGCTTGTTACTTTCTTTAGCTAAGTGAAGCAAACATAGAACCTATTGCTATATCTATGCAATCAATCTGAGAGTTGATTGTGCTGAATCCAGGAGTATCCAGACTACACAGCCTACCAAACGCCGCAGCTGTTTTCTGATGATTGGCTTAATATCTATCTAGACAATTACCATATGCATGAGGATAGAGATAATTTCCAGAAGTATGATCAAATAAGCTGCTCTGATTATCGGTTTGTTTATATGGGTGGAAAAGGTCTGAGTAAGATCGAACGAAATATTTGTGTTGTTTCCTATTTTGAGTGTTTTGGCCTTTGGACAATGCTGGTAATTTCTGAACTCTTGCCTGCAGGATCTTGGACACCTCTACACGCTGATGTATTTAGATCTTATAGCTGGTCAGCTAACGTCTGTGGTAAAAAAAGATGGCTTTTCCTTCCTCCTCCTCAAGCTCATCTTGTTTATGATAGGAAAGTATTTTTTTTTTTTAAATCCTATTGGTCATGTAACCTTTCTGTGATCCACATTTCTTCACTCATGTTATCCTTATAGTTGGATGATTTTTTCAGGTACATGAAAAATTGTGTTTACAATATCTTCGAAGAGGTGAATGAAACTAAATTCCCCGGTTTTAAGAAGGTAAATTCAGCTGGTCCTACCCTCAATTTGTAAGCTCGTCTTTCACCACGTTTGTATTCACATTTTATGGTTTGCATTCAGACAACCTGGCTTGAGTGCATTCAAGAACCCGGTGAAGTTATCTTTGTTCCCAGTGGGTGGCATCATCAAGTATATAACTTGGTATCTCTCTCCCCCTCTCTCTTTTCTTCTCTATTTATGTACAACAAAAAAAATTCTTGAATACTTTTTTTACAGGAAGACACGATATCTATAAACCACAATTGGCTCAACGCATACAACCTATCTTGGGTGGTAATGACTTTTCGACTTGTGTTTCTAATTTTTTGTATAAGTAATAATGAAACTGAACTTTAATATGAAGTACTCATGTCTGCTTGAGTTTCAGTGGGATCTACTGTGGAAGGACTACAAGGACACTGAAGAGTCAATAGAAGACATAAGAGACATATGTGATGATTTTGAAGCTATTTGCCAGCGTAATCTTGCTGCCAACACAGGTTCATGCATGACTTAATCTCAGTTTGACAGATACGTGTCTTTATTTTCCCAATTTATCTCCTTTTCGTAGTTTGATTATTAGTTGGAGAGCTCTACATTTCTTTCTGAGATGTTTCGAGTGAAAATGAAACTTTTCAATATCTCTGAGGAATTTGATGCAAGAGAATACAGATACCTGTGTAGGATGTTTGGAGAACTCACTGTGGAATAGTGAATCTTTTAGTTGACTGGATGTATTTTCATGAGTGTATAATCAAACAATATATTCAAGAAAATCCTTGAGAGTTTTGGATATGTGAACATGAACATCCCTATTTTGATCCCTTCTCTTCTCTCATCTACAGGAATGAATTTGAATGACTTTTTTCTCTTCATGTCACGGTTCTCTTTGGGCAACATGGTTCTCCTGCAGTCTTACTCTGAAAAACACAAAACCCTGAAGTCCTGCTCATCAGCAATGGCACATAATCTGTTATTGAATCTCTCAACTATACAGAAAATCATGATGACAATGATATCTGCAGGAGGCGTAACTGCAAAAGAAGTGTATCTCGACTTGCGAGAAACACTGGAGAGTCCACAGTTTCTCAGCTTGGTTAGAGACATGGGAAGAACTTATGCAATGATTCACATGGAGGAAGAGGATCAAGTACTCTATTCGAAAGAGTTATTTCAAAAACTCAGTGGTTTTGCAGATCAAAAGATGCAAATATGTTCTCCAAAATATCTTGTTGAAATGATAAATCATCATACTACTTTTTTCTCCCATCTCTTACCATAAAATTATGATATGAATAGAGAATGTTTCTGAATATCTTGTTGAAATGATAAATCATCATAATATGAATATGAATACATTATGCCGCGAAATAAATCGAATGTTTTCCCTCTATTACGTTTTAGCATGTGTTTAAATTAGCTAATAATTGTTTTAAAATGTGATTGACATCATTAATAGAACAAAAAAAAAGGTTTTGTCAAGCGCAACGACATTTTAAATTTTTGCCGCGAAATAAAACGAATGTTTTCCCTCTATTTCTGTTTAGCATATGTGTTTATATTAGGGATTTAAAAAAAAAAAGAAAGGTGATTGACATCATTAATAAACTATAACACTCTAAAATGTGAATGCAGACAAACAATCCTTCTCACAAAATTATTCACGTACAGGTATAAACCCTCAAAAAATACTCATTTTCACTAGTTTTCAATCAAAAGTAAATGCAGACAAACAATCCAGGTTGCATAATAACACTAGATTTCCAATCAAAAGCGTAGATTTGTTCTTCAGAATACCTTGTTTTGTTGATATAAGATCATATATAATACTTGTTTTTCATGCAATGAATTTGAGAAACCATTTGGCTATATAGCCTATTCATATCAATTGATCTTGTCGGAATTTCTTTTACATATATAAAAAGAAAAGAGTTACATTATCACAAGTGACATCCTCTAAATTAATTGATTTCATCCTCTATGATATCTTCATATAACGAGGATTTCAATATTATCCTCGTCCATTTCGCTACGTATTGAGATATATACCAAGATATAATCAAAGACACAATCACGATTACATTTGCGAGCACAAAGTCGGAAAGTATCGGTTTGGTTGTTTCATGTGGATCGTTGCATTTCGAGAGCAGACACAGAATATGGCAGATCTTTCTGTAGAACCATGAAAGGTCGCTGCAGCGGCTCGTAGAGTTCGGTTCACATGATCTGTCGTCAGCCGCCTCTACTTCCATGGCTACCATCATCACCACCAAAATCATCATTACCGCCACGTTCCTCCCCATATCTCTTCTTTCTTCGTTGGCCTTATTTAACACAATGGACTTTATGAACGAACAACACATGTGTATATATAACATGACCAAACCTCTAATTATTGCTTTCTACTGATGGTATATTTTTGGCAAATCATTTGTTTTTTTTTTTTTTGCATTTATCATGATGGACTCGATGGTATACAATTCATATACTGGTATTTGTGAAATGGTAAAGACATAAATTGAAGTTGAATTGTGAGTTCTTATTATTATTTGCTGGTCTTCTTAATTGATCCAATCCAAAACTATTCTTCTTTTTCTTGTTACTGCAAATTCATTCCTTAAAATGAAACAATAAAAGTAAAAGGGGAATTAGTTGGGAAAAATAATCAAACACATATTAATTAGTGGAAAATTAATTATTATTTTGTTTTGTTATAAACACAATTGCAGAATCCTTTTGACTCGTGGGCCAAATTGTTTTGAGCCCAAACTTGATGATAATAATTGGACTTTAGCAATATAGCAAACCATACCCAAAAGGCCAGAAACAAGAGTAACAATAACCGGATCAGACCGAACTGATTAGTATGTCTAATTCATGCATTTGACCGAGTTTTGTTTTTTCAATTAAAACAAACAAATATTTATTGTAATAATCCCAGTGACAAAAATAAAAGTAAGGAGATAATATGTTATTTTTATCCTCATTAAAAAGTTCACATCATAGTGCTTTTTTTTCTTTATAATATATGAAATTAAAGTTTAAACTTTAAGAAAGTAATTAACATATCTAGATTTAATTGAAATTAATTTTATTTATTACAAAATATGTAGCTATAACTCAAATATGCTAAGTTAAGAATAAATCTAAAGATATTATTTTGAAATGGTTGGTGGATGGCCATATCCATAAATAAGATTACAAGATTAGGAAATTAAAGTAATTTCATAATAATAATATTTCCAAATTATTACATTTACTCAGTCAATCTTTGATATTTTGGTATAATATCCGATATTTCCGTGGATCCTACAGATTTAAGATATCTTCCCAACATTTTTTTTTGGTATAAATATTAGTGAAGCAAACAAGAATCCTCTCATTGCACCAATCTCTCTAATGGCATATTCTATCTTTTTGCAGAAAAATCCAAGTTTCAACAATGGCGATCAACGAACCAGAGTTTGCGACAGCCGTGGCGGTGGCGACAAAGAAGAGAACATTCAAGAAATTCTCATTCAGAGGATTCAACGTGGAGGCTCTTCTCAAGATGTCAAACTTTGATCTGGCTAAGCTCTTCAACGCTCGTGTTCGTAGAAGATTCTACAGGGGACTAAAGAAGAGACCTCTGGTTCTGATCAAGAAGCTACGCAAGGCGAAAAAAGAAGCGAGTGATGAGAACAAGAAGAAGCCTGAAGCGGTGAAAACGCATCTAAGGAACATGATCATTGTCCCTGAGATGATTGGAAGTGTTGTCGGAGTTCATAATGGCAAGAAATTTAACGAGATCGTGATTAAGCCTGAGATGATTGGTCATTACCTTGCCGAGTTTTCGATGACTTGCAAGAAGGTTAATCACTATCGACCACGTATTTGTGGTTGTGGCTGTTTCCGTCGGTCCACCCGGTTTATTCCTCTAAGATGATCGATTAACAAAACTCTGTTTTCATTAAAAAATTTAAGATTATTGTTCTGTTTTATCTTCTTCTTTTTTCGGACCATTTTATTTGTGCTTTGTAATTTTCTTCTCTTCTTTAGAATGTCTCTCTTAAGGCTTTTTTTAATAAAACCCAACTTTTAAGAATGCAAGAGAGAGTGGGTTAAGAACAAGAAATGGGTATGATAATTATAAAATATAAACCTCTCCTTACTGAATCCATGCAAATGTCATAGGTTCATCTTGCGTAGGGATATGGGTATGATAATTATAAAATATTTCTTCATTCCATTTTTCTTTCACATGATCACAAGAACTTGTTATTATATAGAGAAGAAAAGTTTAAAATTTCCATCATGACAACTTCAGAAATGATCTCTAGCCTCTCTTGATTATTTCTTCATCCCTCCAGTCTTGGTCCTGCATAATTAAGACTTCTCAAATATAATGCTATCTCACTAATTTGATTTATAATTAAGTAATTTTCTGAAATTCAGTACTAGATAAATATAATTTAAGAAAAAAATAAGAATATTTTTTATTATCTGTTTGAGAAAAGAGGTAACTATTTTCACATCATAGTAGTCCATGCATGTAAGCTTCCGTTTTATTATTGTTTCTTAAATTAAAGTATACTATTAGAGAATTCAAAGAAGAGAGATTTACTGGGAGCTAGTGTGAAGTTGAGTAGGAGGATGATAATGTCTACAACTTTTCAAACACCTGGCTTTGCATTTTCTAGGGTACAATGAATCTCTGCAGGTGGTTTTACATTTTGTTTCACATGAAAGATATGCTGCTTCTCCTTCAATGGCAACGACCATCATCACCAAAACGAACACCATCATCCCCACACTCCATTTGTTCTCCATTTCTTTCTCCTCTGAATCAATTTGTCTAAGCTTGGAAGCATATATATATATATATATATATATATTATAAAGTCAATACACTCTAGTCAAAGTAATATTTTCGGGTGATGTGTCGGAATAAGCCGTTTTGGAAGAGTTTCATTTCTTTCCTAAATCATCTTTTTATTCAACATAAAGTTTGTGTAAAGTCATTCAAAATCACTCACAATCTCCTGTTATTCAATTAATAATTTATAGAAAGCCATATCAAATCTACGGTTATTCAAAGTTAACAAATATATAATTTTCTGGAAAGATTTTGAAAGTGATTTAAAGAGACTTTAGACATAATTAATAATAATAATAAAATAAATAAATCAGATAAAAGTCAAAGAAAACCAAAAATATTCCTATGCTAATTATTTGAGACATCGGTCAAGTAAAGCCAGACGTTGAACCGGATCCGAGACTCTAAACCGGATCCAAATCCAGATGAAGACCCGTACCCGTGTGTAAATGAGAAGCAAGAGTCGTCTATAAAAGGGTGAAGCAGAACGATATGCTTCTCTTTTGCTTCTGTATCTATAAATCCGCAAAAATCCAAATTCTTTAAGTTACATAATTCTGAATGCTTGCTTGCTCTGTGGTGAGCAAAGCCCAGCTTCTTGGAAAAACTTCTGAAGTTCGATTTTTCTTTTTGTTTGTCTTTGAACATCAATGTCGATCCGTTTCGGCTCGACCCTCGTTGCTGCTTCAGTCAATTTCAAAAGCTCGAAGAGTTTGAACAGTAATCGATCTCGGAACTGCAGATTCTCTGTCCGAAGTTGCGTGTCTGATTCCCAACATGCGCGCAAGGTATTTTTCTCTTTTACCAAAAAAAAGTTAGAATCATGGAAATTGGATGAATGTTACTTGTTTTGATTTCTTACGCAATGGGTTTCTTCTTTGTCTATGCCTTTTTTACTCTTTTTTGTGTGTTGTCTGATGATATCTGAATCAAGATGTCCTCTGTTTCCTTTCCTCCATTGTTGGCTTTACTAAGCTCTGTCTAAGAAAGAAAATAAAAATCCAGCCTTTTTGTTTATGTGGTCTCAGAATTGGTGTTCTTGAGTATCTATTGAAAATTTAGTAAGATTTTATATTTTTTAGATTCATTTCAAAGATTAATTTCCATTGGAGTGTGGAAATGTGATGCTATTATTTAGAACATTAAAATGATTGTTTAGACTATAGAATGTGTCCTCTGAGGTTGTTGTGTGAATTTTTTTTTTTGGGGTTGTCAACTTGTGGTGCAGCTAGTTTTAGAAGTAAAAGAACGGCTTGCCAAAGATTGTACTAGTCTTCCAATTGGTAAATACGGAAGAGATGATGAGGAAATGATCCTCTGGTTTCTTAAAGATCGGAGATTTTCAGTTGATGAAGCGATTGGAAAGCTAACTAAAGCTATCGTATCCTCTTCCTTGTATCTTCACTTTATTCTTGAAAAGTTGCCATATATATCACTTTTATGCAGAACCTGTAGAATCCTGTCACGTGTTGCTTTTGTTTGGTAATATTTGATAAGGTCAGTTTCCTACGTGATCCTTACCTGAAAGCTTAGAAATGGCGTCACGAGTTCAAGGTAGATGAGCTATCTGAAGATTCTATCAAAGCTGCTACTGACACAGGAAAAGCCTATGTCCATGGTTTTCTAGATGTTAAAGGTCGACCTGTGGTTATTGTAGCTCCTGCAAAGCACATCCCCGGGGCAAGTTAGACACCATTCTCTAAAAGAAATATATTAGATCTCAGCAATGCAGTTTTAGGATAACTGAGGTTTTTTTATTTTTCTGGCGTTCGGCAGCTGCTTGATCCAGTAGAAGATGAAAAGCTTTGTGTGTTCTTACTTGAAAAGGCTTTAAGTAAGTTACCAGCAGGACAACACAAGATACTTGGGATATTTGATCTCCGTGGATTCGGATCTCAGAACGCAGATCTTAAGTTCTTAACTTTCCTGGTATTTCTATCTTCTTACAGGTGAATGGTTTGGTATCTAGTGAATGAGAAAAAGACAATTCTTTGATCTTACTGTTTTCTTCTCGCAGTTCGACGTATTTTACTATTACTATCCAAGCCGATTGGATGAAGTCCTTTTCGTAGATGCTCCATTCATATTCCAGCCAATTTGGCAATTCACCAAACCGTTGGTGAAGCAATATGCTTCTCTGGTAACTTCCATTCCAAATTACTAACTTTTCATGTATCATTTCTAATTATTGTTTTCAGAATCCTTCATGTTGTGGCATTACTAGCTTTTTAGGACGTAGGGTTGTTATTTCCGGTTAAGCTGAAGTCCTGTTTGATATACGTGTTCGCTAATACCAGATGGATTTATCTAGTTTGCTTTATGTGAAGGTCAAGTTCTGCTCCGCAGAGACTGTGAGAAAGGAGTACTTCACTGAAGAAACATTACCATCAAACTTCAGAAGCTAAAGTGGTTCTAAGAGACCTTCAAACACAAGTTGTTTCTTCTTTGGTGTTGTCTCTAAACATGTCGATATAAATGTGTATAGTTATTCGTAAGTATGGATTAAAGGGAACCTCAATAGTAAAAGAACTCATTGTAAACCCTCAAAAAAAGGTATTAGTATACATAGAGACAACAGCATAAACATGAAAAGCCTCCTAAAATTAAGAATGAAAAAAGGGTAATCAAAGCACAGAGAAATATATCATAGAGAAGCCCTGAAGTCAGAATATGAGAGTTTCCATGTTGAAGAGCTTCAGATCAGGTTAGCCCTCTTCAGGAATCTGATAGTTCTGCAGTAATAAGGCCATACAGATTCAACAAAATCCAGGTATTTCTCAATGATCCATTCTTGGAACTGTTTCAGTTTGGTGCGTGTGAGCTCTTTGTAGTCTGTGTTCTTGATGGCCACCACTGGTCGGAACACTAGAGCTTTCACGTCGTCTCTGAGCTTTCCATGGGAAATGTAATGGTATGCTACAAGGTAATAAGATGGCAAGTTTCTTATCATCTTGATGGTTTGGTTGAAGCAGAAGGCGTAAAGGGCACAGAGTCCTTGGAACATTTTGATATAAAGTGCGACAATCAAGGGACCGGCCACCCACATTGGGGATAACTCTTTTGTAACTTCAGTTCCATAGATCGCGTTAACAGCTAGGAAAGCTGGAACACTGCAAAACATTCAAGGTAAAAGTATAATCAATACACAGAAGGAACTTCGAAATGATGGTGGCTGTGACTCTCTTTAATCTTCGTTAGGACAGTTTTTGATAATAAGTTTACATCTAGTTGGTTTTCCACTATCTAATTGGAGCATTTAAGGATAATTAACTATATCTGTTACCACATCGAACAAAGGAAAAAAGATGCTTTGATGCTGGTACTTACAATAACAGTAGCGGAATCTTGATAGCTGCATCTAGACTCCAAAACCAGGACCAAACTGTATTTTTTGTACTCTGGAGGCTTTCTGTCTTCTGGATTTCTGAATCAGTTTCTGGCTTTGTCGTTTGTGGAACCTGTTCTCCTCCCAAAGCCTCGTCAATCACTTGAATAGGTGACTGTGTGCGCAACATTGTTAACCATTTCTTGAACAATTTCTGGATAGCAGGTTGCCCTGTGATCGAATCCTCTGTCTCTGAGGTATATGAAAACGAAGTGTTTTGAGCCTTTGGAGAGCCGTTCACATTATTTTCGTCATCATCTGAACGATAAGATAGTTTGACTGAGTTATTTGTAACTTTCTTCCCACCCTCACTTCCTCCGGATTCATTATTTTGGATGGCACCTTTGAATGATGTAACTCTGAAAGCTTTTGCTTTCAATCCACCATTGCAAGGGGACCCTAAACTGCAAAAGAATTTTACAGTATTTTATGATTCCGAGAATTAATTGCAAAGGGAACTAACTAAATATGAAGTATAACGTAGTATCTATATGGTTTCGTAAGTGATCCTAAGTCTATTATGGAATACACCAGATCCTGAGCAGTAAACCATATCTCAGTATCTAACGAGGAATCTGTTAGGTTTCAGCCAATAAGAAGCATATTCCATCCATAACATACTAAGTATCTACCTTCCAAGAGTACTTAAAAGACTGTGAGTCTCAAACTAATTAGTACCTAAGCAGGCACATGTGAAGAGGGATTCTCACCTAAAACAACATTTTTGCTTCAATCGCAAATGCTTGTCTTTCCTCTCAACAAAGTGCACTGTCGTAACAGGTCTCCTTAAACTCAAGCCTCTGGTCCATGTTGGTGAACTCCAAGGAGACAAGACATGTGAACCCTACATGAGATAACGTGGGGACAGTAAACATCTATATTCCAAGAGGGGCAACTAAAAGAAGGGTTTACAAGAGTGAAACCCAAGGTACAACGGTTTGCAGACATGACCATTACAGAGATACAAAGACACATGGAATAAGGACTTTTAAGATCGATGTCATACCTGCAATTTATGGGTTACCAACACCATTGTCTCTACCTGAGCAGTGAATCATTTACTCAAAGGTCACAATCTGTCTATCAATTAAACACAAACACCATTAGTTACTCGAGAAGCGGGACTAAAAAAACCCAAGTGTTGCAGAACTCGAAAACAACGACATACAAAAGACCTTGCTTTTCTTCCACATGTGTAAAAAACAAAAGCAAAAGTATGCATCATCCCATGATAAATCTGTCTAGCATACAACAGTACTCTATGTAGCTCATATAAAATTGTCCTAGTTGAAGATATAAAACAAAATCTGAGCTCATAAGACATCAGTTTGTGAACTCAAATCGGTATTCCCAGATTACAAATGCCTATCTAAAGGTCAATTATTCAACTCACTAATTCATATGTAGCAACTAGCATCGATGATAACACCAAGAAATTATAAGGATAAAAACTAAAAATTCCAGGAGCTTATACAGAAAGAGCATTGGATTGGAGGCAACATAAAGGATTGAGATAGATGATTGTAACCTCCAAAAAATGATTAAATTACAAGTAGCGACCATAAATGCAATTCCGTAGACAACTCAAAACAAAATTACTTAAACTCGAACGAAGCGGAGCAAAAACATAAATTAGACAACCTCGTTAGCGAACTCAAATTCATAAATTTTCAATTTTTACATTTCCCTCAGCTACATAACAGCCTTCTCCAACAAAAAATTCTCCAAACCAGATGATATTACACTAAAGTATAATCTAACGCCTAACCACAAGAAACCTGGAAAATCCTGGGTTTTGTTCCCTTAACAATCGAAACATATCGACCAAGCAATAGTACCCAAATCCACAAAAGAGATTGGAAAATTAGAAAACAGCTGCGCAGAAACTGAATTGAGGAAAGGAGCAAAAGAACCGACCTCAATCATGAGCTCGTTGTGTTCGGGTTAGTTCGTCCGTGAGAAAGGAAGAGAATTTGTCGGTAGGAATAAGCAAAAGGGTAAGAAACCTGATGAAAATCTTGAAGCTTTGAATCAACAAAGCAATGAGAAAGATTGGAGTTTGAGAGGGAAGGAAGAAAGGGGGGAAGCGGATAGATAGAGAGGGGATTGGAAGAGATAGGAGAAATGAAGATTTCAGGCAAGCGGTTTAATCTTAAGGTTTTTTTCTTCATCTAAACGTCGTCGTTTTGTGTTAGTATTAAATAATAAAATACAAATTTCACAACAACAAAAAAGGAAAAGAAAACAAAGAACTCTTGACATTTTAATATTTTTTCAAGTTGAAAATATATTTTCAAAACTTGAAAATCGAAGGTTTCTTACGAAGGAACCAAAACTTGAAATCTCTAAAGTCCTAGCTCCAAATAATTGAATTGATGGACTTAAAAACTTAGTTGACACAGTAATTAAGTAATGAGTAGTAGTAATCAAATCCATACGACTTGTTGATGATCTCTACTGTCTATTGTTGTTGCCATTGTGTTTTTTTGGGTAACCACTGTGTTTTATCAGCAGGCAAACACCACTTGTCCTTTCTTGCAGCAAATAGAGAAAAAAAAAACAATTTATAACCGTCCCGATCGGTTCTATTCTTTCAAATCACCCCGTAACAAAGACAAAGAGAACCTATTAACCCAACAAGGTTGTGGTCGGGTCTCGGGTGGTTATCAAGTTGGAAAGAAGCGTGAATATTCTTGATTTGCGATTGATTACAAAGCATGATGGTGTTACTAGGCAATTTCGTATTTGGACTATAGATTTTGCCCCAATTCTTAACCTGATGTTATACTTGCCAGAAACTCAAGTCTTAACTCTTAAGATAAGGGACCGTATACAACAAATTTGTTTTCATACGAATCGACTTTGTATTATACAGCATCTTACAAAACTTGGAAAGGAAACCAAATCAAACCAAAACCAAAACTTGAAAACAATTAGATTAGTAAACCAAATTGAACCGGGAACTGCCTTGTTTTAGACAAGTTGCTGCCCCAAACATCTCACTGCCATCTGCCCGCTGACCAAACAGATTTCCTTCTTTTCTTAGAAAATAAATTTTATTTTTTTATATAATTTTCCAATTTTCTGTCTATTTCCATTTATATATTTAAACCGACTTAAAAAAAAGAACACCATTGACCTAATTTCCAAGCCTTCTATATAAACCAAAACCTCGTTGCATATTATTCTCTCATAAACTTTACAAGCCTCCTTTTGTGTCTCCTTCTTATTCGATCTTTTTCTTCCATGCTTTTCCTTCTTTTTCATTTTAGGTTTTAGCCACTATATACACGTTTGCTTGTTTCTCACTCGTTAGTGGTACTTCTCATAGGGTAGATTCTTTAGTAGTAGAATAACAGATCTGAATCTTATGCTTGAAAAGGTCACGAGTTTTGTTTTTGGTGCGTTTTATAGTTCTTCTTTCTGCTCAAAATCTTTGGCTTTTGCTAGTTTGCTCGATTCATACTTGTCCATTCCAATAGTAGTTACAGTGTTATGTATTTTCTTAGTCAAGATAGTATAAGCTTTATTTTTATATGATGGTATATTCGATATGAACACCTGAAATAATATTATGAAATAGATATGCAAAAATCTTCCATCCGCATGTCATGTCTATTTCGTAGGCAGAGCGGCCATCTTTTGCATAGATTGATTTATAAAGTGCCTTTTTCATGTTTTGACCCTTCGGTGTGTAAAAGATCGATATTTCAGTAACTTCTCTGTGATATTGGAATCGATTTTTTACCTAATGGCATACATCAGTACTCTATTACTACGTTATTTTTCTTTACGGATGTTTACTTTTTGTGATATTTTGGTTTTATCTTTCTGAAAGACATTAATTTTAAATCTAATCTGATATGAAGTTTGTGACTAGTGCAGTGGTGATAAATGAGTTTCTAAATTGTAAATGACTACATTATACTTGCCTTGGATTGTATCTAAACAATATTCATAGGACTTGATTACTAAGAATAAGGATTAAACCATAAGTCTGAGAATGCAGCCATACCTCGTAAAAGTAAAGAAATTTGAACAAGACAGAGACATTCTCATTCCTATTTTTTGGAAGAAAATCCAATTGCCATAAATAGAAAAGAATTTGACAGTTTATCAATTACTATGATTCCAAGAAAATTCGTGGTCACATTTGCACCTCAAATCGTATTTTTCCGTGTGTGCAAAAGCATCTGGAAGCATAAATTTTATTTTACAGTTGAGAACTTGAAACAGATCTGTTATATTTTTCTGAAAAAAATTTGACATTGACTGTTTAAGCAAGAAAGCTGTTTTCATAAAGACTGGTTTTGGGAAGGTGATGATAACCACATGAGGAAGCTTGATATAGACCAGATTGAAATCACACCTAAAACCTGTATCACACTCAAAAGTGTACCCAGCGACTTCTTGATTGCCAGATTATTAACTGTGGACTCTGCTCCTTTAACTGTAAATGACAATGCTGTAACTAGTTGAGCCGCTCTGTTCAGCTGATGAAGTCTGTATACCTACATAACCAAAAAGGTTCCATGTTATAACCACATGAGGAAGCTTGATACAAGTTGTTGATTGTACAAATTGATTACATACCTGAAAGATGATGGGGATGATAGGCGATGATGGAGAATTGCGGTATCTAGCATACTGTTCGAATGCAAATTGAACAACGATACCAACGAGGTATGGTGCCAGAGTAGCTGATGCTGCAGGTCCAGTCCATGGCCAGACGAATCCCATTGTCACCATTGGAATCATAAGACTAAGCACTAATGTTGCAACAGAGGAGATTCTCTGTCCTAACTTAGAAGGATTCAATTGGTTATTGGTGGGAACTTTTTCTGATGACTTTCTTGATCGGTCTATTATCAGAAGAAAAGCGGCGACTCCGCAGTAGAAGAGAGCCTCCGTGAAGAACAATATGAGGAAGTCTGCAAATCAAGGAAGAAAATAATTCAATGACTTTGTCTCTGCAATTTTCGAAGAGAAGGGTGAGAAGTAAATCCAAAAAGGGAGAAGCAAGAAGAACCTGTGAGCAAAGAGTCTTCAAAAACAGCTGAGACTATTCTCCGTAAGTAAATGGGAGGTAAAATGAAAGAAGAAACTAAGACAGCAGGACCAATGAGCCAGAGAAGGCGTCCCCATGTACTTTTCGGTTCAGGAGGGACAATAATATCCTCTGTTTTATTCCGAGGATTGTAAAACGAAACGTAACCCGGTTTCCCGCCGTTGTATTGGATAGTTGAACTACCGTCGCAAAGTGTAGCTTCAGGAACAGTATGGGGACTTGTTGTATCTGGATCGTCGGGTGGTTGGTCAGTGTATTGGAACTGGTCTTCTGAAGTAGCACGAGGTAAAGAAGCTCTCTTTCGGGAGATTTCTCTTGGTTTTTGGTATCTGAAGGAAATGTGAAGAGAACTAACTGCTCATAATGAATAAAATACGATCAGAAATCTTACTCACAAGTCAAAACTCATACCTGAAGGCGGAAAAAACTTATACTAGAGAAAGGAACTTACTTTTATCACTTCTAAGGTGCAGAGGATGGTAAAAATGGAGATGAGCAGGTTGATGCTTTTGTGAACGAAACTGGAGTTTTGAAAAAGTAAAAGTCAGCGAATATTCATAAACACAAGACTGAGAAAGAGCAGGTAAACACCACATAGCAACAACAGCAAACGAAACAAACACTTGATTTCATTTGATCATAAACTAATAATCATATTGATCAGATGACTTCTAGGCATGATGTGGAGAGAAGAGAGATTGCATTGTCCGAATCAACTTACTGTTACCATTGCTCTTTGACTTCACTTCATCAAACTCAATGATAATTTAATGTCTCATCAAATATTTCCTAGCTAGATCACATAGAATCTTGAATAACAAAACTGGATCACTCTCTCAAACCACATTATCTAAACGAACAGTACAAGAAAAATCTACGGAGACAAAACACTGGGAGCAAGAAACACAGATGCAAAATCTAATGGCTCAGCAAAAAATGAGAAAAGAAATACAGATTAGAGAAGTGTCACCTGAAAGGAATTCTGAGGATGAAACGGTGAGAATAAGGACGGAATCACAGAAGAAGCCGAGGAGGACGACACTAGTTTAGCAGCCATGGCCGGTGAAGGAAGAAGCAATACACAGTCAGGTTCTTAAAACAAGGCTTTGATCTACTTATCACATAAATGGGAAGAACCCCATTATACAGATAAACACGAATCCCTCAAGTTTCCCACAAAGACAAAAACTTTTCTCCGTTTTGGAAGAGGGCAGAGCAAAATTTGAAAACTTTCCGAGAAATTGAAGAGAAAGGCTATTTGGGGTAAGTGGGGAGAGCAAAGGCTGTTTAGCTCAGGGGTTGTTTGGATGTACCATTTGAACAAATCTCCATCTTACACAGACCTGTCTAGGTTTCGCTCTTGTTCCAAAATCCAAAAAGTTTTGTCTTTTGTTCTGAGACGCTGCTAATATATCTCTCCTCTACTTCACCGGTCAAATCATTTTCTACTTCTTCTTCTTTAAACACGGGCCCGGTCAGAATCCGGTCCGTGTTTGATTCTCAAGTCAAGCTCTTTGTAATTCGTTCTAAACCGGGATAAATCAAGTTAAATAACCGGAAGGAACCAGTCGATTCTTGGTTTAACTGAACCCATTTTTTCTTCGCCGTCGCGGTTAAGTCATCTTTTTGTTGGTTCCTTTTCGAAAAGTAAACGACAATTCCCGAATCTGATTCATTACAAATTACAATTCCTGGTTTCGCCAGCAAAGATTGGCACGAAACTCGAACTGAAGACATCTGTAGGTGTTGTCGCTCTGTCTGATTTCTGGTAGATCCTTAAAAGATAAACTCTTTCGCTAGGAGAAGAAATGGGTTCTATGTTCAGTGCAAACCGATTGAGCAAGGAAGAAATGGAGATCACGATGAACAAAGCCAAAGAGATCGTCTCCTCGTACCCAGTCGTTGTCTTCAGGTTTTTAGTCGTGGAAATTTCCTAAGCTTCTTTTCTGTTTTTTCTTCGTTTTCCTCATGATTGTGTATTTGTTGTCTTGTGTTCGTTGATAATTTGGTTGTTGTCCACCTTTCCTACGATGTTTTCATCTCTGCTGTTTAGCTTTATTGAAATCTCGAGTCTTTTACCATGTTTCTGGAGAGTCTTCAGTTAAATCAAATCAACTATAGAGATGAAAAAAATTGAACCGGGTCTTCTTCAGCAAACATAAAACATCTTACAACTTGGCAATTATCTTCGATTCAGATGTTATTGTAGGTGTCCAAAGACGAGTATGGATGTAGTCATACATGTAGTAGTTAGATGTAGCTGTAAAAGATCCAGTATTTTTATCCAATTCTAAACTTTGGGAAGCTAAGGATCATCACTACTAGTTGACTAATTGTCGATTTCTTTTGAACCTCACTGGTTTGTACTAAGGGGCAGAGTTAAGTGCTGTTAACGGTTGAGCTTCTATGAATAGAATGGATTCGTGCAAGCTACTAAGGGGGTTTCAGACTTTTCCGTTTGTTCACACTCTCTCAGTTTTTTGAGTCTTAGTTTTGATCCTTGTTCTCTTTCGCAGCAAGACTTACTGTGGTTATTGCCAGAGGGTGAAACAGTTGCTGACACAGCTAGGAGCAAGTTTTAAAGTATTTGAGCTCGATGAAATGAGTAAGAAACCAAATCCCTGTCAACTCAATAACTGTAATAATTTTATCTCGTTTCTAGTTATATATCTCATGGTAAAGTTATGGATATGATCTCTAGAGAAACTCTGTTTTATTTAGACGTACTAAGAGAATATCTGAAAATGTGGTTGTGGTATCTACTTAACAGGTGATGGTGGTGAGATCCAATCAGCTTTGACAGAGTGGACTGGACAGAGCACAGTTCCAAACGTCTTCATCAAAGAAAAACATATCGGTGGATGCGACAGTAAGAGAAAACTAGAAAAGCCTCTCTACACCTTTATTGAGTTTCAGTTCAAAAATCTAAGTAACTGTTTATTTGGGTTTTGCAGAAGTGATGGACAGTAACAAGCAAGGCAAGCTGGTGCCTCTACTTACCGAAGCTGGTGCTATAGCCAATAACTCTTCCCAGCTTTGATGAAACTTGAAACCAGCGTCTTAGGACTTCAAAAGATAAACTATGTGAAGAAGAATGTTATGTTTAAAATCATGAGAAAAGAGTAATTGTCATAAATAAACAAGGATCCTTGCCCTTGTGTAACTCTGTTTTATACAATAACATCGAAAGTGTAAAATTGATTTGGGTGAAAAAAAGCTGCTTACCACTGGACAATGCTTTGTATTAATATAGCAAAGACTTTTGCTTCTGAACTTCAGTTAACGATTTAAACAAAATCTTATCTCGAAGCAATTTGACTAGATTCAAATAAAAACAAATGAAAAAGTAAACAGCACCTTGATACAATCGTCCTCCGAGCTTGATTCAAATTAACTTAACTTCTGGTTTTTGTCAGTAAGATTGGCAAGAAACACCTGAAAGAGTTGCTCTGGATAATTTCTGCTAGATCCTTAAAAAAGGTATAAAAAGTTGATTGGGTTCTCTCTTCAGTGAATAACGAATGAGCAAGGAAGAGATTCAGATGGCGATGAACAAGACCAAAGAGATCGTCTCCTCTCACCCGGTCGTCGTCTTCAGGTTTTATGCATTTGTTGTTTCTGAGGTTCTTATTTACAATCCCATTGGATCGTCGTGGGATTGTTTTGTAGTTATTACTTACTCTTCAGTAGAACTAAGTGAAGTCATAGGAAAGCAAGACTCGTATCTTCTGCAATCATTTTCTAGTTTCATAGTTTTCTAGTATTCTGTGTTTTCCACTGAAGATAATTGCAATTCTTTTTCTAGCATTTTGAAATTATCATCGACTTACAGGTTATTCTGGGTTTCAATTGACGAATATAGATGCAGAAGATAAGAGTGTTGCATCCATTCTGCAAAAAGTTACTTTAGCTTGTCTGTCTGCATAGAACTTGATTCTTATATCACCTATATAATCACTCTTTTCCCACTTTTTTGAGTTGGCCTTTAAATGTCACTTGTGAACTGTAAAGTCTTAGTTTTGCAAACTTTTTCGTCTTTCCCAGCAAGACTTACTGTCGTTATTGCCAGAGGGTGAAGCAGCTGCTAACACAACTTGGAGCAAGTTTTAAAGTATTTGAGCTCGATGAGATCAGTAAGAAACATATTACAATACCTGTGTAATAATATTCCTCAGACAAACCTGAATCATATGGATGCTTGTACTCCCGTGCAAAACAGGCCATGGAAGTGAGATCCAATCAGCTTTGTCAGAGTGGACTGGCCAGAGTACTGTTCCAAGCGTCTTTATCAAAGGAAAACATATCGGTGGAAGCGATAGTAAGAGAAAAATTTAGACAACCTCTCTCTACACCTTATTTTAGACTCTGGTGGACAATCTAAACTGAAAATTTTAAACAGTTCATTTGTGGTTGCATTGTTTTTGCAGAAGTTATGGAGACTTACAAGCAAGACAAGCTTGTGCCTCTCCTTACTGAAGCTGGTGCTCTTGCCAATATCCCTTCCAAGCTTTGATGTAACGCTGAAACCGTTGTCTCAGGACTTCTCATTGCTATGTTTTAGATCATGAAAATGTATTGTCAATTAACACAAATAAAAGAATTATCCTTTCTCTTTGTTAACAGATTAATGGAATAAAGATTTGAGTAAACTGTTCTACTCGCTTTGCTGAACCACTGGACATTGGCAGAGTTGTTAGCGCAAGAATTTTGCTTCTAGATTTACTACGTAAATTAAGGACTATGTTCTGATTATACCAAATCCAATCATGAAGCTCTCATTGAAAACATAGCAATTGGAAATTCGACAATCTAGGAAACAACAATCAATGTGATATCTCAACTTCAGAGCTCAAATCTAGTTTTTGGCATCCATAATCGAAGAAGCCGATCATAGAACGAACAAGTTGCCACAACGCTTTGCTTCTGAAGTTTCCCTCTGTACCAATCTGCTCCATAAGCAAGAGAATGATGCTTGTTATAACTCTCCAACACTTCACCTTTCTCATCACTAACCTTCACTACAGCGAAACCGTTGTGCATACAAGCCGCCAACACAACACCACTCAGAGAAGGATGATGCTTGATTCTCCACACTCCTCCACCTAGAGACAATGATGTTACGTTCACAGGTCTCGAAACTGACCTCGTGTCCCAGACTCTAAGTGTTTCATCATAACTTCCAGTGAATATAGAGTAAGGATCACTTGGATTTGGGGAAATGCAGCAAACACCCATTGTATGAACTTTGGAATTCTCAAAAACACTACTGTCCGCCGGATTTTCTCTGATATCCCAACAACTGAACTTGCAATCATCTGATCCAGTATAGACCAAATTAGGATTGTTGAGATCGAATGAGGCCGTCCAAACCTCAAAGTCATGCCCTTTCCATTCTTGGACTGTTTCTAGATTAGAATCAGTGAACGAAACAACTGAAGCAGAGCCATCTGATAAACCAACTACGATTGATGTTGATGACGGATTCCAATCCAAACAAAGACACATTGATGAGCTTATCTTTTCACCAGAGACTTCTCTCAGATAGTAACCTGTTTCAAGGATGGAACTTTAGTCTTATCTCAAACAAGCTAAGAAAAGAGAACTTAGATGTATCTTTAGAACAAACCAGCATTTAATCCTCTACATATTTCCCAATTGCATTGCCTTCCAATTATGTTTCAATAGACTACTCATTCAACATGATTAAAAATCTGACTTTATTATGCTAAAATCATCAACAGCATCAAAAGAACAAGTTTGAACCCCAAGCTTCCATGTTCATCTACTTTAATGAGCTTACAAGATTAAAAACCAATACCTTCAACTTCAGTCTTATGGATCTCGTAAACTCTCAAGCATCCACCAGCATCAGCCTGAGCAAGCGCCACGTTTCTGCTTCCATCACCGCTGCGGCTCCACCGGATATCGAAAACTCCGGCGGTGTCAATCTTCCGAAGAAGATTCAAGCCAACATCTTCCTCATCTCCGACGTCAAATAGATACACAGACCCAGATCGAGAGGGACGGTCTCCTTCTTGGAGTGTGTAAGTAGAAGCTGCAAGCAAGTTTTCGTAAGGCTCGTGAGGACAAAATTCTACGGCGTCGGCGTTTCCTTCGAGATAGCAATATGCTGCGTCCATGACGACGACTCTCTCTAGTCTCTACCGATTTTTTTTCCCCGCGGCGAAAACAAAACAGAAGAATAAGGCGCAAGGAAGACAATATAACGTCGTCGTTTGGAGTTAAACAAAAAAAAGGAGTATTGGTTTAACCTACCGGTTAATACAATTCAGTCGGTTTTGTAAATTTGATCGGTTAAAATTAGTCGGCGACGATTAGTGAAACCGCTCTGGTCGTCTTCTACCTTAAGGACTGAAGGAGAAAGCGATTACGGCGATTACGGCGGAGAGGGAGATTCGAAGTTCATCTTTCTCGTTTGCTGTGGCGACTCGACACTGTTAGATAAATGGAAACGGTAGAAAAACCAGAAGAAACCATCCCAGGCGTGAGATTTCTTTTTGTGCTCTTCTCTCTCTCTTTCTCTACGATTCCTTATGCTACTACAAACGGGTTTAGCGTTTTATTGTTCAAATGCATTGATTAAGATAATTCGAATCGGGATCACTCACTTGAAATTGCATTTCTTTTCGATCTAACACATTGACAAATCGTTGATTTTGAATTTGTTGTTCAGATTGTCATTATGGAAAGTTAAGGTTTTTAAGTGGTTCATAGTTTACTTTGTTGTTACATATGAAACAGAATTCTTCAAGATTAGCTGGGAATCCAAACTGGGGAACAGCAACTGTTGTTGGAGTCTTTGCAGGATTGCTATATGGAGGCAGCAAGGAAGCTTCTGCTTCTGTGGTATGTCTGCATTCAATTTTGGATTAAAGTTTGTTACTTCTCAGCAAGAAGATTGATTAAACGATTTGCTAGCTCTGAGATTCCTTAAGATGCCGTTTTGAGATGTATCCTCCTTGAAATTTATGTTTCGGTTCCACTATGTTTTGTGTATGCTTGTAACTTAGTTGCTTCTGGTACTACACTAAACTCATAAGATATCAAAAGGTTAAGACTTTTAGCTGAATCTTATCTCCCATGCTAAAATCAGTGTTTTTGGTTTGAAACAGAGCAAGGATGCAGAAGTGATGCTGAAGATGGGTAGTACACAGGATAAGCGTGAACAACATAGGTTGATGCGAGATGCAATGGAGAAAAGATTCATCCGAGTAACTCGTGGTTCTCTCATTGGAGGGATGCGTCTTGGGATGTTCACTGCCTCGTTCTTCAGTCTTCAAAACTTTTTAGCTGAGACGCGAGGAGTCCATGATGTTTTCAATGTTGTAGGAGCTGGTTCTGCAACTGCTGCAGTATTTGGCCTAATCTGTACTGATACATTCAACACTCTATGCATTCACTTTTGGACTTTTAGCTTATTAGATTTAAGATGCTAACTTTGTGTGTCCTAACATATCATTGAATATGGCAGTGCCGGGGTCACTTGCTTGGCGTGCGCGGAATGTGTTGCTTGGTTCAGTTCTTGGAGCAACAGTCTGCTTCCCTCTTGGTAATTATGTAACAGCTTAGATTACAGTTCTTACAAGTTGTTACCAGAAAAGAAAAAAATAATGTCTAAATTGGCTAAAAACTAAGTGAACCCCCTATATTGGTTCAACAGGTTGGTTACAAGTGAAGCTCATGAAGAAAGCAAACGAAGGCAATAGTGAAACAAGCCACCACGGTGAGGTAACGAGTGGTGTTGGCGCAGCCATTGAGAGACTCGAACAACAGTTGAGAAAATAAGAAATGGAACGCTCACAGTTTTGTATGCTAAATTTGCTTATCTGAAGCCAACGAGAATAAGATACCGAACAGAAAGACTGTGTTCTTCGTGTAATTGCAACAATTTTAGAGTATACGAAATATCAAAACGCTGATGGTTCATGATTATTCAACTCTTTTTGCATTTGTTTACTATATAAGACTTTCACCACAAACAAATGCCTTGTCATCACCATCTTCTTCATCAGAATGATACCTTTTGTACCTTCCCGGATAGTCAATGTAGAGTCCTTCGGATTCTTACTCACACGGCATTGCTTATCCAGAAACCCTCTGACCAACTAGACTAGACGTCTAGACGGTAATGAGAAAGATCGGACCCGTTGGTTTACGAGACCAATAACCTAACCGGAATTACGCTCAACATATGTCCTACCCGTAATCTAGTTAACAAAACGAATTGGTGTCACGGAGACAGAGAATCTCTCCGACCATCAGAACTCTGCAACAACGAAACTTATAACAAATTAACAAGTTCACAGCAGATCCCATTATATTCACAGTACCGTTCGAAGAACAGAAGAAGAATGAAGAAATCGATCTAGGAAAAAAAAAATTTGGACCATTTCTCGATTTGTGCGTGTCATCCTTGCGCAGGGGCCATGCTAATCTTCTCTGTATCGTTCCAATTTTATCGGATGTCCCCGAAGGGACAATCAGTTGTTCGACTCTAGCGATATATTAAGACAGGTTCTTCTCTTCACTTGACCGATGTGGGATTCCTGACATTGTTCACAACGTTAATGGGCTTATTTAGTTAAAAGGCTTCTCCCTCTCATTTCTCGTAAGCCCATTCAAATATTTCAATTTATTTGATCTCCTAATTGTGTGAACGATTTCAAATATGATGATCTCCGTAGTTTTTTTGGTTTCTTTACGGATCGAGATTCAAATTGTCGGTAATCCCTTAACTTATACGTATACCTTTTACCACTTGGAATACATTTCTCACCAGTTGTTACTATATAAGACTAGGAGAGACAGTGTTAACTCAGACAGGTGGTGTTAGTCTGCAGACTGCAGCCATTGAGAGACCCGACCAACGACAGTTGAGAAATAAGAAAAAAAAAAAAAAAAACAGACAGTTTAGCACGCTGTTTGATCTTGTTTAAAACCAATGGGACTAGATAACGACATGAACGTTATGCTATTGTGTAATTGCGTACACTTTTCTGAGTATAGAATATTAACTCTTTGACGGGTTTTTCCTACTCCTTTTTTAACATTTCCCATCACCATGATTCCACACCTCTCTTTGCTTCATCGCTGTTACTACCAGAAGAAGAAAGCTTTCTACTCCAATACTCTACATTCTCACCATTAACCCACGCCTCATCATCGTCTTCTTCGTCAAAATGATATTCCACACCTGAATCTTCTGAGTCAAACAAATTCTCAAACACATCTTCATATTCATCATCAAGATCACTATCATAATCATCAATAGATTCATCTCTGTCATTATCATTGATATAATCTTCTCTATTTTTATCACCAAGTATAGCGCCTTTCCTTCTCCTTTCACGTCTAATTCTCTTTCCTTCTTGAATAAGATCTATCAAACGTTCTCTGATCACCAATGTATCATCTTTCTCAAGAAGATCACCATTGTCGTTGTATGCTTCGACTAGAAACACAGAGTCTCTCGTGCCTTTTATACTCACATAGAATATCTCTGGATGCCTCACTATCAATGCTCTTAACTTGTTTGGTAAAGAAAACTCCTTCCTGAAATGTGTCAAATGGTCAATCAGCGTCCTTTTCTCAACCGTTAACCCCAACACCTCTCTTACAACTGCGCACGCTCGCTTCTCCGCTTCAATTGACTCGTTTGCCAGACATTCAGATGCCATTTTGTAAGGACACACATCAGGTGATTCTGTGAATTTTATCAAGAAATCTTGGTGCCGCCTCTTCAAGTTTAAACCTTTCCGAAGGTTCAAACGCTTAAACTTCAAAGGACGATCAACAATCAAACCCCTATCAACTTCAGGAGATGGCATTTGGTTTGCCAATTCTGGATCCCACGCGACAAGCTCAAGAGCCCTTCCATAGGATGTATCCACGGTCTTGAACTTGTCCGGATAGTCATTGCAGAGCCGGGACCTGAAATTAGGAGGGAGGCCAAAATCCGGGCCAATGTGAACCAGTTTAGACAAAAGCAACCTGCGGTGAGATGACAACATTAGCAGTTTCTGGAGCTTCGTAGCCAATTTATCAGAAATCTCAGACTTCAGATTCAATTCTTGCATTGCAAGGGACGATGCAGCCGATGTCATACGGACACAGAGTTGAGATAACGGCTTAGTGGCATTCATAGGCAAATGTGGCGTAGGTGTTGTAAAAAGTTGGAAGATTGTGGGATACCGACGGATCATGGAGATGATTGCCCGAGGATTTTCGATGCCGAGGTAAGATCGGCATTTGTAGAGGATCTGAATAGGTATGAAATGCTTTGGTTTAGAGAGAAGTAAAGTCTTCAACTTCTGCACAAACCGAACTCTGTTCTGCTTCACTACATGTCTGTCTAGAGATGGACTCCGAACAATCTTGTGAGCTGCACATGAGATGTTTAAAGACAGACTTCCGAGTTTCTTGGAACGGGTTTTATTACTTATGTTACATCTGCGAATATCCAGAGGAATTGAAGGGAAGAGAAAGCTGGAGAAAAAGAAAAGCTTGTCTGAAGTAGAAGGAACAAACTGAGTAAGAGCCATCATCCGCCGCCGATCTCTTAGAATGTCATGATCCTAAACAAAATGTAAGAAAATGATCAAGATTTTAATACCGAACTATCAAAAAGTCTGAACAGTTAATCACAAAACCAAAAAATCTGATGAAAAGTACGAAAGTCAGAAACAAGCGGTTCTCTTAGGCATTTCTACAAACACATGGTGCGCAAGTATAAGCAGATTAGGAATCTCAACGGTTAGATTTGTCAATTGCATAATCGACATAACAATTAACAAGCACACATAGAAAGGGAGGACAGGGGAGATATTTATGGGTTTAAAAACCAATAAAGATGAACCTTACGAAGATTAAGGTGGGAACAGTTTACGTCTTTGATCAAAAGCAAAAACCGACTATGGCCTTTGTAAGTTGTGCAACTTCGTATGTCTTATCACGTGTTCTTTTTCTATCTCTCTGAAAGAATCTGAACAAGCTGTGATGTTCCTTCTACTTTCTAGCTTCTGAAGTACAATGGCTTCAACATTTTGTAATAGAGGACCTTATATTTACTGTTGGTTTAAGAATGACCCCGCATATAATAAATATGCGAATATAAACACAAGTGAAGCACACAATCTGATTCTAATGATACAGAGAGGCTTCAAATCGTGCAGTGTGAAGATTGAAGATTTTTCTACGAATTAAGGAAATAAGTACAATGTTTCATTCCACCAAATCTCTCTCTACTTAGCAATTCTTGAAAATTTTGGACATATTACAAGCTTTTGGACATGATGGATATGGAAATTGCATGAATACAACTGAGACAACAACAGAAACGCAACATAATTCAAGATACAAATGAGTCTTTGAGGCGTGTTATTCGGTAGAGCGGTTTCTGAAAATCTCGACCCCTAAACAATCGATAGCACTTTGGATAAGCGGAACATTTGGCTTCCATAGCTTCACTCGAACAGCTGTTACGCGAGGGAATGATTCCAGAGTTTTGGACGCTATAAGTCCAGCTACTGCCTCCAAAAGGTTTCTTGATGACCCTTGTACAACTTCCTTTGCCAAGCTGAAATCATTCACCCCATTCCGCAAATAAATTATATAATACAGCTTTTTAAACATAGCTTATACAGCAGAAGTATAGTTACTACATACCCTAATCACAACCTATATATCCAAATCTTCAATCTTCCATTTCAAGTCCATGTTATGGAGTAATATCAACGGTGATACATCAATCAGCGCACACAGATTCTGTTGATGTTGGTAAGGAAAAAAACTAACTTGTAAATGTCGACGTAGCTGATAGAATCATCTAAGTTGTCTGAAAGACCGGCCTTTTTGAGACACATCCAAGCATCAATGTCAAGCATAAACATCTGGCCAAGCGTCTTCTCTTCAGGAATCGCTCCATGGAAACCGTAAAACTTCAACCCTCTCAGTATCAGTTTGTCCCCCATCAATGCCATGTCTTTCTCCATATTGTTCTCTTCAAAATAAACAACTAATCAGCTTATTATATAGTCTAAGTATTTTTATGAATTTAGCGATAGTTTACAATTTTTCTAACATAAAACTTGCAAAAAGAAAACTTGTAACTGAAGTTAACTCACTCCTGCTCGCAAAAATGCAACAAAAACTTCAAAGCCAAAAAAAAAAAAAAAAAAAGTCAAACTTTTCAAGACACACTATCTAAAAAAGGTGTGTTTTACACATAAGCTCTTGTGGACATTCTTTTTCATTTAATTCAATCTCTCCATAAAATCTAATAAACACAAAGATCGTGTTCTCCCGAGAAGTTTAGGTTTCTACATCACATCGATCAATTCGAACGAAAACCAAATACAATTAACGATGGAAACAAGATAAGACTGAAGGAGCTTACTAAGAGAAGAGTGAAGAAGCTTTACAAGCTTGCGACTGAGACAAAGCGGCGGAGGGTAGGGAAGAAGACGAGATTGCGATTGCGAGTGGAGAGAGCACGACAACTTTGATCATTCCATACCATCGTCGACCAAACAAACATTTCTGATGTTATTGGGCTTGGGCCATTTTCAAGCCCAAATAAATAAAATTGTTTTTTTTTTTTTTACGTAATTTATTATACGAACGCGATATTCCGGCTGCCTATTAAAAAAAAGAAACTTCCTTTGATAAACCCTAGATTATTTTTGATTTTCTTTTTCGCTCTGTAAAAATTCATTGTTGCTATACAATATTGTAGTGTGGATTGAAGAGATGGCGACAGTGGAAGACATGGTGTCATATTACTTTCTTTTCTTCGTAGCAGTTTTCTATATCTACCTCCTTGTCGATACGTGTTCACCGTATTTTTGGAAAGAAGGAGATGAAGAAGAAGAAGAAGATGATGATGACATTGAACTTGGAGATGGTGATCATTGTTGCCGCATCTGTCATGAAGATGTAAGAGCCTTCTCCGATATTATACGTCTATCAAAGTGCGACACTATTCGCTCCATGTTCTCCCAACTCAAAAGATTCACTAAATAATCTAACTAGTTTTCGAGATTGGAAGAAGCATCCATATTATGTTTTTTTTTTTTTTTTTCAGTTATACATGACCTGTGAGGTTGTAAATTTTATTTTGCTTGAGCAACTTAAAAATTTGTGGAATCAATTTTATTCCACGAGTTTATCGTATCTATGTACAATTTCGAAAAGGGTTGGGGATAGGAATGTAATTTAATGTAGGAAACTGAATCCAAAACAAAAGCATTGAAATACTAGGAAAAAAAAACAATTCGAAGTAATCCATATCTTATAATTTACCTGCATTATTTGATATTAATTCGGTTTTAATTATATGTGGGATAAGATTGTATAATATAATTCGGTTTAACTAAATCCAAAATCAGTATCACATTGAAAAAAGTTCGAAGGCATCCAAATCCTATATGCATGTTTCAAGTCTCTTAGATCATTCTTGTATTTTTGTTCCTAGAATAAATTTGAGAAATATTTGTTGTGTGTGAATCAGAAGAGAGGGGAATAATTTAATGGCGTTGACGGTGGATACAGCGGAGTTGGTAAGCGCCCTAATAGTGATCGGTTTGTTTCTGGTTTGTCTCATTGGCATATTACCGGACCTTATAGAGGAACGTCGTGAGCTAATTCTCGAGGACGTGGAAAACAGACGCCGCAGCAAGAAGTCGCCGAACCTCAAAAACAAGTGCTCATGCGGTGGTGGTGGTGGAGTGGATCGGTGTCCGGTCTATCATGAGGATTTCAAGGCACTTGAGAACGCACTTGGTAAATCCAAGTGCAAACATGTTCCAACCATCTTAACCAGCTTCAAGGACCACCCATAGATATCGTTTCTCTTCTCTTTTCTTTTCTTCACACAGTGTAATTGCTGAATTAATGGTATCATTTAATGTGTTGCTTTGCTGGATTAAGACTTTAACTACGGCTTCAAGATATAATCCTTTGGTAATTTAAGATAATCTTCTCTATGATAGTCAATGAAAACAGAAATTTCGCTGTACAATGATGATATTGATCAAGCTAAGTGCATTGAGTCTTTAACCTTCAGTTTATTAAAAATTTTATTTCAAATTTCAAATCTTAATTTGCATATGATACCAATACTCCTTCTGTATTATTTTATTTTTTCACAGCACTTAATGACTTAAGAACACACATAAAACCATCTAAACTATAAAATTATAAATGCAACACTTTGAGGTTGCACGTGGATGAACCACGGAAACAAAATTTCACCTCCGTCTCTATCTCAAGCTTCTCTTGTGGATCCAACTCTGGTCCAAACATAATCGTAGCCGTCTTTAACTGGCAAGAATTTTTTAAGATATATTTCACTAGATCTTTCCCATCTACACGGCCTCTCCACTTGAAAGTTTGGAGACTCGACAACAAACATTGAGGAACACTGAAGTGCTTCCAGCAAACCAATGTGCCCATATGATCACGTGAAATTGGTTCCTTGCATTAAAGAAGAAAAATGTTAGATGAAAGGCCGCGCGCATACATTGAAATATTTGAACAAAAATAATATTAGTCTATGGATGAAACTTACTCTGAGCTCCAAGTTTCGTAGTTTGGGTGAAGCTATGAGCAGCCAGTATAGTACCTTGGAGCAATATGCGTGATTGATATGAAACTTGAGATGCTGAAGCTCGTTAAAGACAATACCATGTTCATCATTATATTCGGCAGCCTGTACAAAAGACGGTTTAGTAATCTACGAGATGTATAGTGAGATTGGAGAATTGAATATTATCAATGGAATCAAATTACCTCTGCAAATTCGTCTAGCGAGATTGCAATTGAAAGACGCTTGACAGAGGTGACAAGTTCAAGAAGCCTCCTGATATTGTAACCAGCAGTGATTTCTGCCTCCTCCAGCTTAGGCATATTCTCAATCAAGCTGGATGAACTTTTACAGTAATCTCTAACTTTGAGATACTTCAAAGAAGGAGTATCTATCCTATATTCTTCAGAACATTGATCAGGCATCATCAAGGATAAACTAAGCAATGACGGAATGATGACAGCTAACTTTCTCACATTGCCACCGGGATGTAGTTCCAAAACTAGATCTTCCAAAACAGAGGAATTAGATATAAGTCGTTGAAAAGATTCTTCATCTGCGTAAATCACACGTCGAAGGTGCAAAGTTTTCAAGGAGGGGAGGCCAAAAGCATGAGGAACATCCACGAGAATGTCGTATTTTAGTTCCAACGTCACAAGTGATTTGCAAGTATACAAGCTACTCGGCAGTAATACATTACCTATTCCCTTGTAACGAATAAAAGTAACGCTTAGCTCCTTAACACAACGAGAGATTGCAATTTCAACCCACAGTTTGATAGCCTCAGGTTCAAAAAGTGCATTGTAAAACCTGAGACGCAAGCTCTCCATGACCGGAGAGCTATGTAATGGCAGATTCTTGTCAATAAAACACCGCATCCTCTGGCATCTTTCCGACGCTTTAGAATAGGTTTTGGTGTCACGGAGGAGGAAATATCGATCGAAAAAATCTGAAGAATACATGCTCCTCTCGTTGAACACAAGTTTTGGCACCCGCAACCAAAGAAACTTCCATTGCTTGGACAAAACACTCGTTGTTATAGCAAATTTTGTTGGAAGAAACGACAATATCTTTACGAGCAGTTCATCATCAGAAAATCCAGTAATCTTGTCCATATCTTAAACAAAACCCTCACCGTAGATTAAGAGACTAGAGTTTTGTTTTTTTTAAATCCACACAGAAGAACAACACCAAACAAAGAGAGAGGCAGAGAATAATAAAAACAGAGGAACGGAACAAAGCCCTAGCAAAACTTCAATTTGTCAAAGCACCTCGGAATACGGAAGTCAAAGGAATTGGACGATGAGATTCTGAAATAAATAAAATAGAGAGAATGAGATATATAACGTTGGATAGAAATTTAGGTTTGGCTGTGGACTTATCTTAAAAATGTATTTAGTATTAATATTTAGATAAATAACGTTGGATATATATCGTTAGTAATTTCAAAAAAAAAAAACGTTGGATATACTAACGTAAGATAGAAATTTTGATATACACGTTAGATATATACTAAAAGCAAAAAGGTCCTAAATTCGATTGGGCCTTTACAAGTAAAATACAAGACCTTGAGGAGTAGTTTCGGAGAAACTCTTGAGCACAAGAGACTCTAAATTAAAGCTTATTCAAGTTTTGAGGAATTGAATTGGAATGTAATGCTTTTGGTATAGAGAGAAGTGAAATTTTCAACTTCTGCACAAATTTCTTCTGATGGAATTATTTTGATCCACATTTTTCCTTTTATTCACCTTCTTATAAAACAGCTAAATAAAAATACTGCAAAGAATAAGTTATATTTATAAGCATGAGTTTGCTTGCTCCACACTTTTTTTTTCATTCTGTATCTTTCAAAAATCATTCTTTCTACTTAAGAAAAACAAAAGCTTCAAATCAAACACGGTTGCTTGCTCTTGCGTTGCAAGCTACTACCGAGGACTCTGGTAAGACTCAGGAAACCATCTTTGTAATAGCCGATGTTTTAGCTTCACCAACAAGGCAAAGGCTCCATAGCATGGCAAATGCATCACTGCAACTGAGAAATACCTGTAAATTTTGAATTGTCATCAGCCCTTAATTTCCAAATGAAACAAAAGGAGGCATTTGAAAACATTATTATATGAAAAAGCTTTCAAGTTACCATAGTGGAGCATAGTGTGATGATAAGTCTAGGAATGGGTAAGGCCACCTGTTAATAAACAATACAGTCAAAATCAAGATACTTTAAAAAACACACTAATCAGTAGTGAATTTGTATGAAATTATTTACCATATATGGACTAGGGAGTGGAGAGCCCATTGGAATATAACATAGGCTATTGTCCAGAAGAAGAAGTAAGCAATTCTGAAGCATGGAAAGCTCTGTAATAATAAAAATTCAAAAACCAAAATAAGGACCATTTAGAGATTATTGCAAATAATATATTTCATTTGTTTGACTCTAAAGATTTTACCAGAGAATTCAAAGCAGCATCACCAAGCAAGAAAATCGCGTTTAGGGAGTGCATGTTGATCACCAGCTGCAATTTTTGATCATATATAAACTGATCATCAAATGCTTTTTATATAATGAATAAAAAAAAATTCAATATAGCTTGCTAAATTACTTACAACATTGAGGCTATAATCATGGATCTCAAGGAAAGGAACAATGATGAACCAGAAGACACAGTCAGTGAGCAAGACCGCACCTGCATTCATCTGTTTTTAAGGCAAGATATCCAATTAAGAACTCATAACATTTCGATGTAATTGTGTCGCATTGTTATGAATTTTGATCTTGATTACCTGAAAGATTATCTGAAAAACGTATCCCCAAAAGCCAGCTGGATTACTAGAGTATTGGCTTTGTTGAATAGAATTATCAGCTCCTTTGGATCTTGCTCTCTCTGAGTCTATGGCTTCAATGCTATCTACTCTATCACCAGCTGCTCTTTTGTTGTATTGGTAACATCCGTGGAGCGAAAGAAGCGAGCCTAACTGTTGAAAGATATCAGATTAAAATGTAAGTAAGAAACTTGAGAAATGTCACAAAGAAGCAAAGTAGTCAAGTTTTGAGACAGAACATTACTCCAAAATAGAGAGTGATCAGAGCAAAAGTCCACCTGCGAATAAAAACAAGAGAGGCCAGGAAAAACCGATTAGAGACAAGTACATAGACATTGGTTAATGTAATCTACTATCTATTGTCTAGAAATCGGAGTCAAGAACAGTTGCTACCCTATATGGTAATCAAGAATGCTACATTATAGCTACTATATGCTTATGAAGCTGCATACTATTTAATTGCCCCCTAAACGATTCAACAATATTTCAGTTTTTTTTTTTGGAATAAAAGCAACCACAAATCTTAAATCAAGAATGTGATAAACTGACTCATAATCAAGAATGTCACATTCGTGTATCAATGCTTGTGAACCTACAATATCTTTTAAGTTGCCAGATTAAAATTCAAGCAAAAGTTTCGATCTTTTCCTAAAACCCATTCTTGCCTCAATGCATGTGAACCTACGAAATCTTAAACCACAAACAAAACGATTTAAGAAAAGTATCGATTTTTATTTCGAAACCCCAAAAGAAATCCAGAGAGACAGAAAGAGAAAGCTTACTGTGTGTAGTAGAAGAAGATGGTCGGTCCATCGACGAGGCCAATAACAATCAACATAATAAGAAGAACGAAGAAGGCAACGACTCGAAAAGCAAGAAGCCAAGCTGGATGAATATTACGAAGACAAGGCCTCCAAGTCTCGTCTTCATATACATTTCCCGACCACTCTTTCTCTCCTCCGTCGGCATCACCGTCACTGCTTCGTTTCCGGCGATAACCTTCGTATTTGAATATAAGAAAAGCAGTGATCACAGTGGCTACAGCCATCCATACACAGCATATCATTACCCTCCAATTAAACCAGTAGCTTGATTCAGTTGTGTCCACCGCTGTTGTTGATGGATGCCAAGCATCTTTGAGCTCTGTATACGAAGATGGAGATAACAGTGATGAAGATGAAGCCATTTTGATAAAGTTTTCAGTTTTTCAGAGAGAAGAAGGCGATAAGTATTATTTTTTTGTGGGTTCAATGTTGGAAGAAGAAACAGAGTAGAGAAGAAACAAAAACAGAGTAAAGACAGTGTGGTTTTATTAGGATTAATGTGAGAATAAAATTTAGAAAGAATTTATAAAAAAAAAAATACAAAGGTCTAGGGAATTTGAAATCTTGAGTGGGGTGATTTAGATATGAGATGAAGCAAAGGGAGAGATTCGAAGCTTTAAACCATGTGTTCTTCTTGCAGATAAAGAAGAAGAAGAAGAAACCATAGACTATATATCTGATCAAGATTTTTTTTTTAAATATATGTAATTAAATAAATGAAAAAGGGGAAAGAAAGTGAATAAAGAAGAAGAAGAGGGAGCTGAATTCGAAGCCAAGAAAAGAAACGATCCTTGCAAAAAAAAAAAAAAATGTAAAAAGCCTGTGAATGTGTAAGAGGACACGATTCTTTGCTTCTTTGCTTTAGGAAAGACAAGTATTTTTAGTTACATATATTATGTATATATAGAGGGGAGAGAAAGAGAGGGATATTTTAAGTAATCAAATGTTCAAATTAATAACTAAAAATAAACAAATAATGGTGTAAAATAATTTTTATTGCTGAATTTGTTACATCAAGAATTTGAAATCCCCCACGTAAATATATAAAAAGAGTAATGGATTCGAGGCAATCGGGTGAGGATTTATGTCTTGAAAGGAAGATATGTGTTTTAAATTTCCTCTTTGGCATCATATACTCAAAATAAATTGATGCATTGATACATGAGAATAGATATATCAACAGTTCAACACACATATACGTGAACATGTATAAAGTATTATAGAATTATCAAATCAGAGGATATATAGAATCTATAAAGATGTGAATAAAATAATAAGGCATCTCTATGTGGAGTCTCAATCTTTTTGCAAATACCCAAAAAAGGGTATGAAAAAGCTAATAGTTCTCAAACAGACCACTGGAACGTATGCATTGTTTATGTGTCTTTTCTCTTTCACCATACGGTACGTATACATATATAGACACAAGTAGATGGATATACGTATAAATTGGAAGATTCCATGTGGTTGCTTAAACATAAATCAGAAATGGTATGTGTGTAGTTAGGATATATATGGTTCCACCACTCAAAAAGGAGATAAATCTAGTTCCCTTTAATAGATTAATGAATCCAAGCCAAAACAAATTGAAAAATAATAATGAGCAAAGGAAATATTTGGGAGCTTTCTGAAAGAAATTATGAACCGTTGGATTGAGACGATTATGATGTGTCAATGACAGTGGGAAAATTAAATGAAGGAACAGCTTTTGTTGTCTGACCTAATTATAATATATGTAAATTCAATATAAAAAAATGTAATGATAGGTTACTTTTGGTCAAAGGGCAGAGACTGCGTGAAAGAATGGGACCGAACAAAACCCAAACCGAAGACTTTAAAGAGGTTTCAGAGATTTTACATGCAAAGACCACATTCAGTGGGGTCTTTCTTCTCATTCTTTTGAGTTCTCTCTATAGTAAATGCTTTCTAATAAATTTGTAAATTTATGTTCGAGAAGCAAGAGAATAAATGTTTTTGAGTTTGAAACTTCGATTGTAAGCTGGTGAAACTGGGATGATCACGTGGTGTAGTTAGATATATGATGAGGCAGATGAACAATTGAAGTAAATGTGGTTTAGTGTATTCACCTGATTAGTGATTACTACTATATATAGTTGTCGCTAAATAACCAGATGGTTACTACTATAGTCTATAGTCGAAATGTGAATCAAAAACATAACGGATTGTGTTTTATTTTCTTTGTTAGGGATATGTGTTTTATTTGGGTTTACATTTACAAAGTAAGTCGGTAGCTATATGCCTATATCTAGTGGGGTAATTTACTTGTTCTTTTTTAGATTTTCTTGATGATGATAATGCATGGCTTGTTGCATACGATAAAGATATTGAATTCATAAGAAGTAAAAAGTACGATTTATATTAACAAAAATTCTTAATGGGCCATCATCATAAGGAATGCTTATTGGTAAATCCAAAAAATAAATTAAAACAAGAAAAACAAATCTTTGTATGTAAACCAAAACATACGATACTAGTGGACCAACCTTGGGAAATGCTTATTGGTAATTCCAAAAGATTTTTGATGCCTAATGCTTGTAAGACTTTTGTCTCTTGTCATTACAACAGCCAATGCTATTTACGCATTATATTTTTTTTTTCTTAAAGAGAACGGATACTTTAAATGTTTATAATGACTATTACATTCACCAAAATATATGTATATCATACATCATCTAGTCGATTCATCAAATCTTTTTGATAAATCTAACGATTAGCGTCTTTCATGGCTTTGTTAAAGAAAACTTTTCTCAAATTGCTTTGTAACCATTAGCGAAAGACAAGAACAAACAAAAAAAAAAAACGAATTGTTTTGTCCTTAAGGTTATTCGTGAGTTGTGAGGGAACAAATTCTGTCGGCAGTCTTTTTTTATTTCTGTCATATTTTTGGATTTTTCTTACATTTGTCGTTAAAGAAAAAAAAGACTCATTATATTCCTAATTTTAATTTCAACTTAGAAGTGTTTGATTAACTTGTAATGAAAATTTCCTTTTAACCCCAAAAATTAGAATTTGTGTAGCTATAGGTAGGTATTTGTAAACTTAAGATATATTGGCTATGAATGAGTAAATAATATTTGTACTAAATAAATTTGTAAATTTGACGTACTGTCATCATATGTAACAGGTGAGGCTACAGTACAGGTCGGTCACGTAGGTTAAGAAGAGGATTCATGTGTGTGTGTGTGACAGAGAGACAGCTGTTACAAACGAAGGCAAAAAGAGCGTGCAAGAGAAGACAGCGACGCGTCTTGGCCGCTAAGTAAACGCGTTTGCAACCAAAAACTGCTGTTCTCTTCACGTTACTACTACTATTACTATACATTCCATATTTTTCAATTCGACAACAGACACTTCTTAGATTTTTTCATCTTTTCTCTCTATTATTTTAATGAACAAACAAACTCACAAAGGTTTATTTCACAACAACAATCTGGATACCTTAATGTAAACATAATTTTTTTATATCCATCCGTATAACTAAAAAAATAAACACAAAATGTTTGTGTTTTTCGTTTATCTATTTCAATAAATGTGTGTAGTTTCAGCGGTAAATAAAACTTAAAAATAATTAGGGATATTTCAAAAATGCATATTAGAATAATAACATATAGTAGACTGATAAGAAAAAAGCTCATATATATATATATATATATGTGGTGGTTCCACGAGCAAATGTATACTGTACTAACTAAGAAATTTAACACAATTAGGGAAAGAGAATGGTACCTGTCATGGATTCACAAAATTCTTGCAAAGATGGGGAATTAAAAAGGAAAGAAACACTCAAAGAAGAAGAAGAAAAAATGTTGAAAGAAACGAAATAGATGATGTTTATATAACAAAAATGAATAAATTGAAATGTGTACGAAATAACGTATATGTTAGTAAGTAAGTATGGGAATTAATTAGAGAGATGGTGGAAAGCATGAGGAGCTTTTAAAGCAATGAGAGGAGCCTTTGCCATATTGGGATTTTTTTTTGTTTACAAAAGGCAGTTAGTTAGCTTAGCTTGCATGTTTCAAGTGCTTTTCTTTCTCCAAAGCAAGAATCATGTGTCCTAATTCCCTTTGATTATTTTTTTCAAATTTATTTTCCAAATTTATGAAATTAGAGGTTACATATCTCTCATCGAGACGCCGCATATATATATTTTTTTAAAAAATCAGATATAAACCTTAACAACTCCCTTTGTAAAAATCAAATTTTTCTCTAATATTGAAATCTTTGAAACTTTTGTTATTATGTGAAATGCTTTTTTTCTTTAAACACCAAAGGGAGAAAAACAAAACAATGGAAACCTTTATATTAGGTGGAGAACTGGAACAAGATTTTGGGCTTTAAGCCCACTTAATAGCCGGCCCTGGAAGCAATTACATCACAAACTCCAATTCCTGTTTTGGGCCCAAAAAAATATTCGGATACGGATGCGGTTCGGTTGGGAATACAATCGGGTGTGTGTAACTGAAAAAAAAATTAAATCCAAAATCGAAATTAGGGTTTGGTCGCGTGATTGACTGATTATTATTCTTTTGTTCATCACCTGTGTGAGTCTCTCGATTCCTAAGGTCCAAGTCCATTATACTCTGTGATTTTTGTTTTAATCTCAAAAGCAGAAAGCATATCTTTTGAGTTTTATGGTAAATTTTTAATGTGAACTTGCCTAAGCTTATGGTTTCGATTTTTTGCTAATTGGCTTCTTAGATAATATGCGAATAGAGAATTGTAGATTAATTAAGTGTTCAGCTTGAATGATAAGGTTTTGTTTGAATCGATCGAAGCATATTTATGATTCTTCACTTTGGTTTGAATGTTCAGGAGCAAACTCTCTTGGCATCGACACAGTCTTTTGTTTGGTCGGAAACGAATTCAAGTTTTTTTAAGTTTCTGCCCTGTAAACGGTGCGTTGCTCAACCTGCATAGATGAAAATGTATGTCCCATTGTATCATATGATGTTTCTGCTCTCTCTCTCAATCTAAGTACTCTTTATCTTCAGTTCTGTTTTGTAGCTTGATTCCTTCATTGTCTGTTTTGTCATCAAAATTTGTTGTTGTGGGTGTTGCAGAGTGAAGGCAAATGCAGGAGCACTTACCAATTTCGAGGTGCTTGACTTCCTAAACTCAAGAGGTGCATCAAAGGATACTACTAGAGTTATAGCTCCAATTGCTATATCAGAATACAAGGTTTCTTTTCTCTGTCCTTGCTTAACCTTTGAGGGGATGCTTTTTTAGCTAATTGGAACCATCTTTTTATTAGGTCTATGATTATTTGTTGGAGACTGCTGCTTCCACTCAAACACGAGAGAGCGTTAACAAGTTTGCAGACAAGTGCAAAGATTTCAAAGTCGCAAAAGCTGAGATTCTCAACATCATCAATCTCCGCCCTTCTTCTAAAGTCGATTTGGCACCGGTTTGTGTTTCTTCTTCTTGTTTTTTTTTTTTTTTTTTGTCTGTCTCTGTCTTCACTACCAAATGTCGTGAACATATCTATCGCTGCATTTAACCTTTCATTTGTGTTGTATATAAATATTTGTTAGATTTGTGTATAACATTATCAACTCACTTGTTGTGACTCTCTTGTAGATCATAGAGATGCCCGACAAAGAGAAAGGGGAAACACGAACCATTGACACAGATGGGATATTAGAGCTTGTAAAGGATTTGCTACCGCCTCTGCCTACAACTGATGAAACTTCTGAAGATAATGACGAAGAGGAAACAGAGAACGGTGAACAGTCGTGACATTCAAATGAAGTTTTCGAGTTGTTATTTTTTTTTTTTTTTAGCGTAGCATACATTATGAAACTGAAATTGTACTAAATTAAATTGATTTACAAATTAGAAACCACAGAAATAATTTGTGTACCATATAGATTTGTGTATCTTCAAAGTTCAAACAGTTAGGTCCATGCATTACTTTCGTGATTTACAAAACATAGAGGTACGACCCACAAAAAGTATAGATGAATATATTCTACAATTATACTAAAAAAGAATATTATAGACCTTATTTAAATTATACTTTTCTTGTCGAATATAATTTGAAATCTTCGTTGGATAAGCATAAGGTTTGACATAACAAAATAGGTATCTCTCAAACTTTATGAAAGCACATGTAATCCATTCCATTTTCACTGATATGGTATAAATATTCAAAATCCGTATATATGTGGTTGAGTTGGAGTATATACTAGACATAATCAGAATTTTCGTATACTTAATTCGAATCATGGTGTTGATGAGCGAACATTCAAGAAGAAACACATGGTAAAAAAACAAAATGTGAATACAATACTATTGTTGGTTTGTGATCTCAATATATACTACTATGGGTTCAGTGGTGATCACTGTAAATGAATACTGTTATTGTGTTTGATCAGTTACGTTGGTTTAATTTCTGATATGCTTCCTTTACTACTTGATAATTTGTAAGAATATATATATACTCGATATATCGTTTTACATATATATATATACTCTATTTTCCTAACGTTAGTACATCATCACAATTCTCTCGAGCTTCTTCTACATGTTTACATGTTATACTCCAACGTTGTTTATCATATCCAACAACATAATTCATCGTTAAGACTCGTAATTTTATGATGATATGATGATGTAACGAACAAACAACGAGTGATATAAGCAATGGGAGAAAGATAGGCGAGATAGATATATATATATACTTTTGTTAGCTTTAAAAAGTGGGTCTCGCTAAATAGAGATATAAAAAATGCGCCCAAAGAAACTGTCTTCGTCACGCTTAGCTTATCTTGTTGTGATTTATTCTCTCTTCACACCATTCTCGATGCCCTTTTATTCCTCTTTCCTTTCTTTCTTTTTTTCTCTCTTAGTTTTTAGTTTTGTTCTACTACTTTCCAAAAGAAAATAAAACTTCATGTGAACCAACTATGAAGTATTCTCCCTAGATCCTTACAATCTTCAGTTTCCCACTTGTCTCATTTAGTTACGAAGCTTTCTCTTTAAAAAGTTATTTATATTTTCGGGACATTTAACTATATTATTACATATTGTATGTTATCGTTAGATGATTACAATTATGTAATGTCATCTAAACGCATTCTAGCTATAATCATGCATGGAATTAACTACATATGTTGGTTACTTGGTTTAGTGAGGTTTGTATTCGTTTCAGTCTCATGTTTGATATTAATAAGTTATCAATGCTAGGAATACTCGATAAAAATTCGAATTAATCGAACGTCAAATTCAAAAAAATATAAGAACTTATATTAGTGCATAGTGTGTTATTGTTATATATAGATCTTAGTCGTCATCGTCGTCCTTCACTTTTCAATATTTAATTATAGCACATATATACTAGCATAGCATGTGTTGATGCAATGACAGGTGTATCCGGCGGAATTTTCATTTGAAATCCCACCATCATCAACTCCCCAAATATCTAAGTCATAATATTTTTCTCTTATTTGACGACCACTCCTAGCTAGTATATATTTTACAAATTAAAGAGACAACAAATTTAAAAATAACCTCTTTTCTTCAATGATCATCGGTATAAATTTGAGGTTGATGGAAATACAAACTTTGCTAACAAGATTAATATGAATCGTCAACCACATCAAGCATTTTACAAGCGTAATGCTTACTCAATCTATATAGGAAAAAAAAAAAAAACTGTTAACTAAAAAAGCACTGTTGTTATTTACAGCCATCAAACTTTTTGCCAGCTTCTTTATCATCATCATCGATCAAAACTCTTTAACTCTTTATTTCGAAATCCAATAAATAAGGAAATAATCAAAAGTAGTTTTAAATAATTTACTAATGATTCTGCAGGAAAGTCAGAAAAACAAAACTTGAAATCATCATCATCATCATATTATGGCTGTATAGAGGAAATAGGAAAAGGGACATGTGGCAAGAGAGAATAGATACTTTGCTTGAGAGGAGCGAGCCAGTGGAACCCATTAACCTCTCTAGTCCCCAGTGTCCCACCATAAGTTCTCTCTACTCAAAACTCTCGTCCTCCTAATTCGTTCTTCTTCTTTATCGTAAGTCCCAAAACAAAGACAAAACTTACGATAAAGAAAAAAAAAGAAAGATATTATTCTCTCCTTATCACTTTTGTCTCTCTCTTCTGTTTGTGTGACGATCAAGCCGCTATTTTCTGAACCCCATCCGACGGCTCACCTTGTCCGTTTTAGGTCCTCTCAACCGTTGGATCGATAAAGACGGTTTGGTCAAGTTGACGTAGACCCACCTCCAAAAAGAACAGTGGGTCCGAGGATTTTGGAACCACCGACGCTTTTCTTTTCTCCTCCTCCGCCACATCCTCGATACTAATCTACTACTACACTTATGTAGAGACATTTCTTTATTAATACCAAAATCACTCGAAAATTTAAAGTTTTAAACTTTTATCATGATCATCACACCAAAGTGTGAGGCGTACTCACTTTTCAAAACTCAAAACATTTTTGAAAGATTTTTCTTACTACTTTGTAACTCGAAAACAGAACATTTTTATTCATTAATATTACTTACTCGAAATAGTGAAAAATACATACGCATATATGATACACATGATGAGAATAACCCACTATTACACTATATTATTTCCAAAAATAGAAAATTCAAAGGAAGCTCCGTAGTTCACGCTTTGGTGTCTAGTAAGCAATTAACCTTCTAATAAGTAAACGTGAACCAAACTAATAATTATATATATCCAGTATCTCTATGTATTTCGTGGCTTTTAAATAAGATTACCTGAGTTATCCATGATCAAAATCAATAATTCTACGAAATAATTTGACATGATTTATAGCAGTATTTACAAGATAGTAGTATTAGACTTGAACCAATAAAAAAAAAAAAAGCAAAAATAAATAAGTGTGAACTAATAATATGGTTATTAATAACTTGAGTAAGTAGTAGAAGTAGGTTTGAGTGGAGACAGCAATCCCGAGGAGAAGAAGGGTCCTCTTCTCGCTTCCTTCTTATTCACATCCCCAACCTCTTCCTTCCCCCTCTCATCTCATCTCATCTCATCTCATTTCCCTTCTCCCTTCTCTCTCTCTCTCTCTCTCTCTAGATTTTGCTTGTCTGAAAATTCTCACTCTCCCCAAACCAAACAAGAAAACAAACACACAAAATGGGTCTCACTTCTCTTCAAGTTTGCATGGATTCTGATTGGCTTCAGGTATCTTTCACTCAGACCTCTCCATTGTTTTGTATGAACTGTGTGTGTTTCTTTTCCAAATGAAGACTTCAACCATTTCTCTACCTCTATTCTTTTTGTTAATAATTGTAAAGAATAAATTAATGTTTACTTGTCATGGAAGATCTGTTTGTTTTTTACACGTACTTCGAAGTTGAAAATATTTCCTATTTTTGATATGTGAACTTAAATGTCGTTTTGTTACTTGTAAATACAAATGCAAAAGCAAATATCAATATTGAAACAAATTTAGATCTTACTCATCTTGAACCATCGTTTTTGGCGTGCAAGTGGTGCATTATCATACAACTTCGATTATATATATGCATATAGATCAGTTCCACATTTTGATATGGTTCTGCGAACATTGTGATGTTAGGAAGCTGAGTCATCAGGAGGAAGCATGTTGGACTCTTCGACGACATCTCCATCAGCAGCCGACATACTAGCTGCTTGCAGTACTAGACCACAAGCCTCGGCCGTCGCTGTAGCCGCCGCCGCTCTGATGGACGGCGGAAGGAGGTTGCGTCCACCTCACGACCATCCTCAAAAATGCCCTCGTTGCGAGTCAACACACACTAAGTTCTGTTACTACAATAACTATAGCCTCTCTCAGCCTCGTTACTTCTGCAAGACTTGTCGCCGTTACTGGACCAAAGGCGGCACTCTAAGGAATATTCCAGTTGGTGGTGGTTGCCGGAAAAACAAGAAACCATCTTCCTCTAACTCCTCCTCCTCCACTTCATCAGGCAAAAAGCCATCTAACATCATTACGACTAATACCACCGATCTTATGGCCTTAACGCATTCTCATCAGAACTACCAAAATGCACCTCTAGGATTTTCACATTTTGGCGGGATGATGGGGTCTTACTCAACTCCGGAGCACAGTAACGTTGGTTTCTTGGAGAGCAAGTATGGCGGTTTGCTTTCGCAGAGCCCTAGACCTATTGATTTCCTGGACAGTAAGTTTGATCACATGGGAGTGAATAATGACAACCTGGTCAGGGTTGATCATGGAAGTAACGGAGATCATCATCATCACCATCACAATAATCATCACATGGGTCTGAATCACGGGTTAGGTCTTAACAACAACAACAACAATGGTGGGTTCAATGGGATTTCTCCGGGAAGCAATGGGAATGGAGGTGGTCTCATGGACATCTCAGCATGCCAGAGACTTATGTTATCTAATTATGATCATCAACATTATAACCACCAAGAAGATCATCAAAGGGTAACAACAATAACGGATGTGAAGCCAAATCCGAAGTTGTTATCGCTTGATTGGCAACAAGATCAATGCTACTCCAATGGTGGTGGTAACGGAGGCGTAGGAAAATCTGACGGTGGTGGCTACGGTGGAGGTGGCTATATCAACGGTTTAGGTTCGTCGTGGAATGGTTTGATGAATGGCTATGGATCGTCCACTAAAACAAACTCCTTGGTTTGATAAATTAATCAGAACTTTTTTCTCTTGTCGTCAGTAATGAGTAGTAGTAGTAGTAGTAGTAGTAGATAAGCTATGTACGGGTTTGTTTGCTTTGACAGTCTTAAATCCGTAATTATCATCGCTAGTTACGAAAGTAATCTTGATTAGGGTATTCAGAGAGATATATCGGTTTGTGTGTGTTCGTGTGGTTGAGGTGTAATGTTACTCGATATATATATAATATTTGCTCATTTTACTTTTGATAACTTAGCTCTATACGACTTAATCACAATTAAATACCATGTATGGATTGCTTCTCGTAGGTAATTAGTTTGTATATCACTAAAACAAACTTATTTTCTTATTGTCATAAACTTTCAGATTATATATGCCATTGAAAAAAATATAGAAACTTTCAGATTGGAATGTACCGTAAGAAGAAATTCAAAGATAGAAAGCTAGTGCAGGTACATAAGTCACGAGTCACGACATATAGTAAATATACATCATAAGTTCACTACTCTTGAAAAAGATCTCTAGTGATACAGTTTTAGGTATTTATTCACATCGAGAGTTTTCCAAATCTCAAGATTGAAATGTGTTGATGAACTTAAATAAAAAGAGAAACCTGAATTTTCGGATGATCGATCTATCTTACAAGCAACGCTCTTCGAAAGCTTTTGACGGGTTTTCACCGTCGATCTGCGAATGATGAGGGAAATCAAACGGCATTTCTTCAGGAGAGAGCCAAGCTTCTCTAAAAACTCTCGCGACTTCCTCAAAAACTACTCCATTGCCCTCAGGCGTGAGATGCAATCCATCACTGCTCATAGCCAACAACAACGAGCAAGAACCATTTATAAACAGCAAAGATGATTCAGGAGAGGAGTGTTTTTGAAAACCAACAACAGTTTAAGGTCAGATTTTAGATACAGACCTTAAATACTTGTTCTGCCAATCATTGGTTTCCTGCATCTTAGACCATAAGTTGACACATCGCAGACCGAGTTCCTCCGCTAATGAGACACACTGTTGTGCGTAGATTCCCGTTGTTTCGTTCGTTCTCTCAGGCTCTTTCATAGCTTTCTCACCATAAATTGATCTGATGTAACACAATCACTGGCTCGTTTATAAGATGTATATAAATGTTTTGAGAAACAAAGATGCAGATAAAAATAAAGCCTTACTCTGCATAACTTTGCCGCCCAGCTTCATCAATTGGTGGTGGAGTTATAAGCACAATTAGCATTGTAGGTGAACATTTCTACGAAAGAGAGTCATTAATGTGTTTTTTTAGTCGCAACCATTCACACGAAGGAAGACATTTCAAAGAAACGACAATGCAAGTGAGAGGATCATGGAACCATATCAAAACACCTTTAAATGCTGAACAATTTTTCTGACATTGTCTTTGTACTCTTCCACCGGGACATGTTGCCTATCACTGGTTCGTCCTTTAAGAGCTGCATCGTTTGCACCAAAGAATATAGTTGTAGCGACAGGAGGAGACGAAGAGCCCTAAGCAAAGAGAGAGTAAGAAAACACACTGAGATAGATATAGGCACACCAAAACAACTCCAATGACAATAAGAGTTGCCATTAAAAACGTACATGTCAGATCTAAATCTTTCATACTTGAACAAGTTGTTTCATTTCAGAACACTGATCATCTCAGACACCAGCACATTCGTAGATTAATATCAAAACATTCAGAACTGAATCCAGAGTGCTAAGCAACCTGTTGTGTAATGTAGTTACTTAGAGAAACACATGATCCAGAGAGGTTCGCACAAGTGACAAAAACTCAAGATCTATCAGATTCACACTCAGTCATAATTACAATAAATAAAGCAGATCTTGGAGAAAACCATCCCCATTACTAGCAAATTCGTGTGCAGACCAAATTTTCAATTCAACAATGTAGACTGGAGTGAGAAAAAGCGTACTGACGAGAGGAAAAATGTGATGGAGCAAGAAGAGAGCCCATCGGGTGTTGTAGCCGCCGTAGCCGCGAACCACAATATCAGCCTTGCGAGAGTAAGCGTCGGCAAGAGCAGATCCCCAACCGCCGGATCTGAAAGATTGCGCCGTTATCGAATCGCCGAACAGAACTATCTCCGGCCTCATCTCTCTGTCTCCTTCCGGTTTACTCATCAACCGTTAACAACTACTAGAAAATTCAATCTCTTCGGGCCGACTCATATGGGCCGGACCTTAATATTAGTATTGTGAACGAAAAAGGTGGTAAAAGGACGTACAGTAGATGTAAATAAGAGACAAGGAAGATGTGCAAGAGCATTGAAATGGTGACACTTATCAAAGTTGTCTAAAACAACTAACCAATTTTAATCTTGTTTTAATTTTTAGACACTCATAAATGAGTTCTATTTAAGACACAAATCATAGATATTAGACCAACATTTTAATTAAATTTGATTATTATATTTTAAATTCAATTTTTAAAACACTCTTTAGTTCACCATTGTACATGCTCATAAAGGATTTTTGCACAAGAACGCAATTTCTGTCTTTTCAACACAGATAAAATCATAAAAACACTTTTGCTAAGTGCTAGCGTCGTATAATGATTCATGAATCATGACTCATGCGTATGGTGATTGTCATTTCTTTTTTTACGCCTCAAGTCAAAAAATTAGTGGAGAGCTAGTAAGTTTGAGCAAATAACTTCTTGGTTCTAAAAACACTATATAACATGAAAGTTACCATAACGATTAACAACATCAAATATTATAATGTCCTTAAAACACGCAACATGAAGAAACTTTGCTAATATAATGTCCTATATAACGATCGACATGCATATACATGTATAATTTCTATTTTAAATGTATTATTTCTGTTTGTTGAAAAAAAATGTATAATTTCTATTTTATCTTTTTTTTTTGGGTTTGTTTTTATATATTTGTTTTGCCTATAATTTGCTTATTGTTTGCTTGTTTGCTTATTTTTAGATTTTTCATCATCATTAATTATGCTTATTGTTTTCATCTTCTACAGTACATCTTACCACAATTAATATGCTATAAATATATATTTTATATTTTATAGCATATTAATTGTGGTAAGATGTACTGTAGAAGATGAAAACAATAAGCATAATTAATGATGATGTAAATATATATATTTGAATATAAATATGTATATATATATATATGTTAAAGTTTAGGAGATCATATATTATTGAAATTATAATTCTAATGGAAAACAATATACAAAAAGAAATGGTTAGTTATAATATGTTTTGAACACTATTAAGGATAACTCCATTGGAGGCTTTTAATTGAGTTTATCTTCAATTAAATAAATTAGAAAATGTAAAAAGCAAGAGAGAGAGGTGAGAAACGGTTTCTGGATTTCTCTTATCTGTTTGTTATTGGTTTGTTTATTTAAAAAGAATTAAATTTAAATTATATAACAAAAAGAATATTAAATTAACATTTATGTATAGATGATATATTTATGTTGAGGCTCTGACCGATAAGGCTGGTCTAATGTTCACAAATCACAACAACCCTCATTTAAATTGTTTTTAACTTGTGGAAAAGTGAAATTTAGAAAAGAAAAATAAAAGACTCATTCCACGCAGATCTACACATAAACCACAGCACCTTACTCATCTAGTGGTCAGTTTGTGTTTCAAAATTAGAACATGGTTCCCAAAATAAAAGCAAAAGCTTGTTTCAGGCAGTCGTCACGTTGTTCGGCCAAAACGCATTTGTAGCCTATGCCTATCCATCGAGACAAGTATATATTGCTCTTTACTTATGTAACATTATCAGGTGATTTGATGTGATGCATTGATGTTGAATTCTTAGTTTGGTCTTTGTAGAGTACCTAACATTAGTTATTTAGTTAGGTTAATGGTCGTTTTTATCAAGAGTTAATTTCTGGTTCATGTATAATATTTTTTTTTTACGCAAGCAGTCCAAACTTAAAAAAAAAACATCTCAAGCGGCCCTCTCAGGTTTAACTAGGAGACTTTTATTAATAGTTGCTTCCATTATAAGAGAATTCAAAGAAGATTAATTACCCTCGGCGTTAGAAAAGAATTGTCAAAAATATATAAAAACAGTTAGACGAAGCTAAAGAAATAAAAAACCTAGGGATCATCCTTCAAGCTGGTAAATATGGTTCGAATATGGTGACACGTTGACATATCAAGTGCTTTCTCTAGTGCCTTGAGATCCTCGTGATAGACCGGACACCGATCTACTCCGCCGCTGACGCATAAGCAGTTTATGAGGTCAGAAGATTTCTTGCGACGTCGAGTTTCCTCTTCTACGAGGAGATGCTTTTCATGAAACTCCCCTAAAAGGACGCCGATGAGGAGAAGCAATACAAAGCCGATCACCTGAAGGGCGTTCACCAATTCCTCTGTACTCACCGTCAACCCCATGATCACTCCCTTACTTGGTTCACAAATAATTTTGATTCTAGCTTTTTAGGGTTTCACAAATTCAGATAACCACTCTTTTTTTGTACCATAAAAAAAGATTACCTAATATATTTGGATGCCTTCGAATATATATCCTCTCCGATACTGTTTTGGATTTAGTATCCTAATTAAATTAATTAAATTTCTTGATCAAATTAATAAGATATGACTAGGATCGAATATCTGAATTTGGAAAAATGCCTAAATTCTTTGAGTGGCTTTTTAAATTTGATAAAACCATCTTATATAAATTTGAGAGAAAGATTACACCTAGCCCACTAAGGCTTATCAATTTATATAAATTTGGTACAATAAAGAAGAAACTATATCTAAGAGATAATTAATTTTGTTGCAACTGTTTGCTTAAGAAAACTTGTGCCTTGTGAGTTATGAGATAAAGATTTTGATGATTTTTTTAAAAGACGTGTGTGTGGGGCGGACGAAATTAAAGAAACAAAAGTTCGTTATCTCGATTTTGTGAGCCCTCTGCCAATACTTAGTTGTTTTGTTGTGACTTCCAGCCACTTGAGTACAGCATGCATAAATTCAAGTTCCTCAAAAACTAATTAGTTACTCAAACAAAATAATAATTAGATAATCACAATACATTATATGTTGTAACTCCTAACCATATGAAGAAAAGAAAAAAAAGGCTGTTTCTTTTGTTGTATGTCAATCTTTTTTGAGTTGGGTGAATTTGGATCGAATCCTGTGGCACGTTGATAGACGTAGAATATTGGAGAAATATCTGACATCTTCGTGGCAGAGGCGGCAACAATGAACAACATCTTCATCTCCAAGTTCGATGTCATAATCTTCTTCTTCTTCTTCTTCTTCTTCTTCTTCTTTGTCTTTTTTGTGATAGTGCAAATAAACGATGATGTAGAAAACGAAGAGGGCTTCACCGAAACACATGTAAATCATCACGAGGTTGTACACTGTGATCATGATCGTCTCTTTAATTCCTACAAAATATAAACGATAGTGGTGATATTAATTCAGAACTAATGTCTGGATATGCTCAATAACAGTGGAATATTATAAAAGAAAAATTCACTGCCTGAATTTATTTATATTAGCTAGGGTAACAGCAAATACCCTAGATAGATTCTCTTTGTTAGACCAATTTACTCGGCTAAAACACGTATACGGTATACCCCAACCGGATTAAAATTGCGGTTTGGGTTGGTTAAATCGTGCTGCCCTTATGAATTTCTCTGTTTTGGTATCCGTGTAAACTTGAACCGATCGGTTTGACTTTAAAGAAACGCAAATACAGATGATCGAAGCAAACAAAAACAAAAATCTGTAACAATTAGTGCGTTTGATTCACAAAAAAACTAGGATCCATCGCAACAACAACATCAAAATGCCTTCATTGGCCAAAATCGCAATGAAACCCATCAGATAACACTATAACAGAACAATTCGGAATAACATCAAATCACAAGAAACTCAATTCGTGAACATTTCTAAAGAACCAAGAAACGGGACAAGATCGAAGAAAGAATCTTCTATGGTATCCAAATAAGTAAATAAAGTAACATACAGAGGTTGAGGATGAGAATTTTGATCTTTACCAGAGAAAATGCAAAACCTCTTCGGAGAAGAAACTGATCGGAGCGTGAGAGAGAGAGAAGCAAAATGAAACAAAGAGCATTTACACGTACGCTCAGAAAGAAACTGAAACGGCAATTCAGAAAGCGAGAGAGAGAGAAGCCAGAAGCAAACAAAGAGCGCGAAGAAGAAGAAGAAGAAGAAGAAGAAGAAGAAGAGTAGTATAACTAACTTTTTCAGCTTATTATATAACTCCCACAATGGGCTTGGGCCTCGGCCTCAGCTGCATTTTCAGTTTTCAGTTTTTTTTTGGCTGAAATAAAATATATATAGCCAATAGCCCAATACTAATAAACTTGATTCTACTCTAACCAAAAAAAAAAAAATTTACTAATAAACTTGATGCGAAATAGTATAGTATATGGATGGATACTGTGAAAATTGAATAAAAATAAATATATCGAACCGGATAAAACGATAGCGGTTGGGTTGGTTATCTTGGCCTATTCTAAACTTCTGGTTTGTTCTCCGTATTCAACTAAACTTGAACCGATCGGTTCGACTTGATTGTTGGTTTTGACTTATTTATAAATCCACCGAACTATTATTATTATTAAAAAGAAAGAGAGGGAGAGAAAAAAAGATTTCGAAAGCAAATTTGACAAAATCTTGAAGATATGCAAAATCTCTCGATTTCATTCATATTTTTTTTTCCCTCTTTTTATTTTATTTCTTTCTAACTTATCATATGGTATATATATCACCCAACCAGAGCTCCATTTGTTTTCACATCATCATATCTTTCTCTTCCCATTATTCTTCCAAATCCTCCAATTTTATTACAAAACATTGTCTCATTCTTCGATCCAAATATTTTAATTCAATGGCCGAAGTTTTGCTACCGAGGAAGATGGATATTACCAACGATCCTTCAAAGTTTGGATCACCGGATCTTCTTCATGTTCTTGCCGTCGACGACAGTCACGTTGATCGGAAATTCATCGAGCGTTTGCTCAGAGTCTCTTCTTGCAAAGGTAAAACACACATATCCCTTTTTCAAGAACTCATCCTTTTATAAAATATTCTATTTAAATTTTGACATGTTAACTGAATAAAAACCTCTGTTTTTTTGTGTGTTCTTCAGTAACTGTTGTGGATAGTGCGACAAGAGCTCTCCAATACCTTGGATTGGATGTTGAGGAAAAACCCCTCGGCTTTGAGGTAAATCATTCTTCCCAAGAGAATACGATACTATGCCGTAGCTCACAAGCAAGTGACTTAATTGGTGATTTTTGCTTTGTTTTGTTTTCAGGATTTGAAGGTTAACTTAATTATGACGGATTATTCGATGCCCGGTATGACTGGATATGAGCTCTTGAAGAAGATCAAAGTAAGCAAAAAAAAAAAAAAAAAAACATATAACATTCCCCACTGGTTTCGATTAGTCAATCGAGTTTTTGAGTTAAGACTTCACAATATTACATGCTTATCTAATCCTTTTATGGTAATTTTTTCTCACAGGAATCATCAGCTTTTAGAGAAGTACCGGTGGTGATCATGTCCTCGGAGAACATTTTGCCTCGTATTGATAGGTAATAATACTATCTTCCTGATCGATCTTAATGATGTTATTAGTCAAACTGTAGTAAATTTGGTGCATATTTATCTTTGTATGGAAGTCTTGGTTGATAAAAATAAAAAAAAGATTAGATGCCAAAGTAAAAAGATTAGACTCATATGGTTGAAAAGTTGATTTCTATAAAACATTTTTGGTGGTGATTGCATAGTTTATTCAAAAGATGAGATTTGGTGATCTCTTTTGGGTCCCAAGATGATTTTTTGTATATAAAGATGTTTGTAACCAGCAAAATCTCTACTTTGGGATTTGATTCTGTTTTTGGTGATGTGATATTATACAATAATAAATAGTGATCTTTTGCTTGCCTAATCTTTTTGGTAGGGTATTGTGAAAGCCACCTCACATACTTTTGCATATTAGGAAACCTCTATAGGTCAGATTTAATATGTAGAAAAAAAAAAAGGAATATGTTTTGTGTGTACACACAATGGACAACTCAATTATGACCTGGCCATATTATGATTGTTTGCTACATACACTACAAAAACAAAAAATACTTATTGATCCAAAGCTATCAACTTTATTGAGATTGGAGTTTACTCAATCTGATTTTTCTTTCTTTTTTTTGTCATTCAGATGTCTTGAAGAAGGGGCTGAAGATTTCTTACTGAAGCCGGTAAAACTCTCGGATGTAAGAAGATTAAGAGATTCTCTAATGAAAGTTGAAGATTTGTCTTTCACAAAGAGTACTCAGAAGAGAGAGCTAGAAACCGAGAATGCCTACTCTTTTGATTCACCTGTTCAATCACAGCCCAAACGTGCAAAGATATGAGCTTTCCGATACAAATTCCATGACTGGATCTTACAAAAAGCTTTTACTATATAGAAGCCTCAAGACTCACTGCACTTGAGCCTACACTGAGGATTTCACTCCAGCTTAATGACCCTTATAATTTCCAGCCCCTATGGCTCTTTTTGATGATTAGATTCAATGGGTTAATTCATAATGTAGTAATGTAAATGGTATAGAGAGGAGTCAAACTATATTTTATTCGTTAGATCAATCTTAGCTTTTTTTCCTTACAAGAGAGACTTGTAAGCTGGTTTAATGGAAGTTATTAAGAAGAAGCCTCACTCTATGTGAATAAAATGATTTGTTGGATAATCTCATAACCAAGCACAAGTTTCCTATAATAATCAAGTCCAACGGATAATGAGAGTTGATCTCTGGTGAATGGTGATTGTAAAAAGCTAGCTATGGTGATGACTGAAGTAAAACTCATAAAGAAGATACACCACTTTAACAAAATAACTCTTAAACTTTGAACGATGTTTTGACAACGGAATAATAAACGCATACAAAACAGCTTAAAAATATTATAGATTTGGAATTTGAATAGAGAGAACATAGCTATCATTATTGAAACTATCTAAATGTATTTGAATTTTCTGTACCACCTTTTATGTATTCACACATCACACTCTACATCATCACCACAGTGTTTCAGACTTAGAACCATAGATGACATAGAAAACAAAGCTCAAGTTCTCGAGTGCCCAAAAGACAACACTATACCCACATTATCTTCTAAGCTAGAAGAACTAGAGAGTCAAAAGACTGATGATACAGAGCAATGGAACAGAACATCGTTTGTGAAAACCGAACCTCTCCATTTAAAACTTGCAAAACATGCTAGACGAACGAGCCAGCCGAATTGTTAGACCACCACCTTGGATACTAGTCTCAGCCTTGACTGCATTCCGCTCATAAGGTTTCCTGCACCCTGGACAACGCCCATCTCCATCACAAATAGTCTTGTGGCAAAACAGACAGAGCCGGAATCCGCAAGGACAAGGCAGGAAATTCGAATCCGTTAAATCCAAGTCTTCGTAGCAGATGGGACAAGAAGATGGGATCGCCACAGAGCTAAAACGCTTGTCCAATTCCGGAAAACTAAGCTGCTTAGCCAAATTAGGTAACCCCTGTGGGCGAAGGTCATCATCTGGCCTCCAAGCTCTATTACTCTTCTGCTTCCTTGATGACATTCTCAAGCAATCCTGCTTTGCATCTTTAACACCCACAGCACCTGATGCATCACTAACTGAATCGCCCACATTAGAAGCTGATTGTCCAACACTCTCTTGCTCTTTCACAGACTCACGAAGGTGATGCGCTTTCTCATTCTCTTCCTCAGCCGCTAATGCATCAGCAACAGCCTCCCAATCATCCACACAGCCATCATCATCATCGTCATCCTCTGCATTATCCTCCTCTGTTATGTTACCAGAGCAAAAGCCACTGCTGCTACTACTACTCCTGCTACTCCTCCCACTGTAATTAGTGCTTATATCTGTACCTCCCATAGAGCTATTAGAAGGTGACTCCATGAAACTCTCACGGTGAAGATTATTCCCACCGTTACTGTCCTCTTCTCTACGCACCCCATCTAAATTCTCCAGTGGTTGGTTATCTCTCCGATCAGGCTTTTCACTGCGATTAACACTCCTCTCATCTTTACCTCCCTTATTGCTCACCGCAACTAACAATAGTAGAATCAAAACACAGAATCAATACATAGACCAAAATCTAACCAAACCAAAAGAGACAAAACACTCACAATTGAAACAGACAGAGAAGATGAAGTTTTAGAATAATCATTTACCTTGAGAAAGCCATTGCTCACGACGGAGACCAAGCTTGTTCTGCTTTATCTTAGCAGACTTATTGTTCTGCAAAACACAATGCAAATAACTAACAAATTTGAATCAATTTTGGATAGAAAGGGCTGATATTTTAAGGAAGAAACGAAAGAGATGTAGAAGATAACGTTACCCTCTTCTTCTTCCCGACATCTCTCGTGGTGCTAGGAGCCGCAGTAGCAGAAGCGTTGGTGATCGAATCTGAAATCATGATTCTCTGCTTGTGAATCCTGGCGAGTATAATTGCACAGTGGTAGGGGTTATGTATATAAAAATGAAGAATTTGAAATCGAAGATGAAGATTCTCAAAAACCCTAATTCAGATTTGGTCGCTTGAGACTCGAGAGAGAGATTTTTTATTTTTATGTTTTTTCTTTTTCTTAATTTAATTAAAATCAAAGAGAAGAGAGAGAGAGAGATAATATAAAGGGATAACGGAAACTCCTCATCTCCGCTCGCTCGGACAATTTCGTTCGATGCCAAAGTTACTATATTACCCTCATTTATTCGTGTGGAATATTCTGTAAGTCGGTGAGTGCGCACGTGCGATGTAAACGATGTCGTATTTAAGAGGTAAATAATAAAATATGGAAAATAGGGACATAGGTTTACCTTTTTGGTGTTCTCAAAAGATCTGTGATGAAACTTTTATTTTTGGGATGTTGCCTATATGCAATTTGCAAACTTGTAATCTCAAAGGCTATGTGAATGATCCTTTCTTCTTCGTTCAGAGATTTTTTTAAAATGTGCGATGAACAAATTTTCTTGTTAAACAATCGCAAAATAGAATAGTTCTTTGTTAGAAGTTTATCGCTCGTTTTATAATATTTTTTTCGAGTTATGGTATTAGTAATGGATTACATGTTGAATAGTTTAGTAATAGTAAATGACATAAATATTTTTTGGTCAACAAATTTGACATTAGTCATATTTTTTAATACATAAAATATTAGGAAACTTGATACATTACATAATTATTTAATTAAGAAAAGTGAAAGAAAATCGAGAAATTGAAAGAAGAAATAAAATCCTTTGGATCTTATTCTTCAGTTATTATTAAGTTAAATAGCAAAAAAAAAAAGAGAGATAAAGAGCTAATTCTTCTACCACAATCAAATGGGTTTTTCTTCCTTTACAATTTGATTGGGAAAAAACATCAATACAAAGAGAAATCAAATGATCAAAAAGTCAAAAGTAAAAAGATAAAGATAAAAAAAAAAATAGAAGTGGTTTAGCTTGTAGATTCTGATATGCTTTGAAGAGAAGGCTGCCAAGCTCTTACTTTATTGGCAGCTCCTCCTGTTGTGTTCATCCCTCTCTGCTTTTCATGAATCCTTCTCTGTTAATCAAGAAACCTCTAACTCTGTCATTTTCTTTGTAACACTCCATTGATGCAGAGCAATTGTGGTCATCATATACGTACCTGAGTGTCTTTGTCAGAAGCAGATTCAGATCTTAGGGTTAGTGGGTTAATCTCCTCTTCTGAGACAGAAAACTCTCCATGGATCTTCTTCATCTTTTCAGATTTCTTGGCTCTTAATCCTTTCATCACCTCTAGTAATTAAGAAAATAATACTTACTTTATAATCAAGAAGTGTGAAGCAGAACAAATATAACCCTTACAATAAAAGCTTTTTAATCATGATTTGTAATTGAACGCGTGGAGGAACTGAGTAAAGCCCTAAGAAATTAGGTTTTTGTTTCTTGTTGTTGACTTCAAAACTGAAACATGTTCTGTGTGATAGTTATTCAAGAGAGTGAGTGATATTTATATTAATACCTTCGGAAGAGATGAGCCTATAGACATGGCCGAGTAAGAGGTTATCAGAAGGACGTAGAAGTTTGATACGAGTGACGCGGAGAGAACCACCGTGAGGCACGGCGGAGGAAAGGAGGAGAGCTACGTGGTGACCGGGATGAGACTTGATCACTTCACTCGCGGTGACTGTACAGTAAAATCTCACCGATTTACCGTCTGGTCGTTGAATCACCGTAGTGGCCGCCTCCGCCGCTTGACAGTTCCCCATTTCTCTCTCTCTCTCACGGCGGAGAAAAGTAGGAGAGAGGAGGAGAAGTGAGCGTAGGTAGAGAATAGGAGAGGGTCGTCTATACTGATTGAATAGCTTCTTACGTATTCCCCCTATATATATAATACTCTTTTCTCATTTTTATTTATTTCTATAGACTTAAGTATATGATAAGTTTTTCATGTTATTATTATTATTTTTCATTCATTTTTGTCATCAATTATTACTCAATTTTTAATGAAATAAAAAAGGTAGTACGAATGAGGTGGTAATTGTATCTGAGTATCTCTAAAATATTCGATCGATACTTAGATGGAAGAGTCTCTAAATAGAATAATGATCGTAATTAATTGCTAAATTGATTATTATGTTTTGTGACTGTCCGTACAGAGCACCCCCCAAGTGTTTTGCTTGGCTGGAATCTTTTCAAGAAAAAATAAAAGTAGATTCCAAGTAAGCTTTTTAATTCATTCTGTAAAGCCTTTGATACTACAAATCTGTTAACCATTAAAACTCTTGTATACTGTATATGCTGCTATCATCATTTACCTTTGGAGAGTAATTACTAATGGTAACTATTTAAGAATATAAACAACTAAATCTGCATAAATCACTATTTATATATACATGTAATCATATAGGAAAGTCTATATACAGTAGTCTCTACTGCATACATCTAAAAGTTAAAGTATCCATCAAATTATTAATTGGACCACAAATTTAATTTCCTTCTTTTTATATTCTGTGTTTGGCTTCTTCTTTTTTTATCATAGTAATGTTTAAAATAACTATTATAGCTAACATTGTAAAAACACATTATAAAATGTGGCCACTGTTTATAATTTATAACTTGAATATTTTTTTCTATCCAATTGCTTTAAAAGTTTAATCACATAAGTTATGGTTTTCTTTTATAAGTAAGAAATTGCTGCCAGAGAAATAGAACACCATTTGAATTTAGATGTGGTGTATAATATTCACAGTGGACATGGTGTTTAATATACAATATTTTTTGCTAAACAACTTAATATACAATATAATTATTAAAATATAGTTGTATCATTCAGAAATGCAAATTTAATACGAAAAAGATATATACAGTATGCTATAGAAATATTTTGTTTTGTCAACTAAATAAAGCAACTTTTTTTTTTATAAATCTTATTTGTTTCAAAGTAATGATGAGGTTTTTTGGTGGAAATTAAAATAAAGAAAATGACAACCAAAAATGAAGTAATAATATTCCCCTCGTGCAATCAACCCTATTCACATGCTTACTGTACACTTTATCTCGATCTCCTGAAAGCCTGTGTCGTATTAAAACTTTAATTATTGAAACATTGCTAATTAATTACGGCATTTATCGATCGATCAGCCTTACAAAACAAAAGTAATCTTAACTTTTTGCTCGTCCATTAATTTTAAAGATAACATACAAAAGTTGCCTTAATGTCTCTCTATTTTATTTTATTTAACACAGAGAACAAACACCTCACGCAAGAGTGAAAGGTCGCCCTATTTTCTTAATCCTGTGCTCTTAAATAATTTTATTCACCAAATTTTCTTTTAAACTTTTTTAAAATCAAGACTTTTGAGGCAGAAACAGATCAAAGCAAAATTCAGCTAAGGAATTGTTTAGAAACTAATCAAAATCACAAAAGTAGTGTTCCCTCGGATTTACAAAGACAAAAGCATTAGAGAGAGAGAGAGAGAGAGTAAACAACAATGCTCTTAAGATTCATCATACTTGTAAATAAGACTATAGAAATGTGAGAGATATTTAAATTTTCCAAAGTTATCAAAAGAACCAAAACACAGAGGCTAAAAAACTCAAGGCTTAAGTTTTCACCACTTTTGCTTCCTGTTATATCTTTGCTCTTCTCTTCCCTTTTAGACAGATGGGAAATACTTGTTGAGATTGAAAGGCAGAGAGTAGAATTCTTCACTTCTTGTATCACCTTTGAAAGATCTAAACTTGTCCCACCAATGCTTTCCTCGGTCTTTCCTTATCGAAGAGTCTTTCTTGTGCAATGTGTTGTCCAAGAAGAAAGCGACGCTGCCAGCAACAAAAGGCTCTGAGGAGAACGGGACATTCACCATATCGTTGAACTGTCAAATTATGTAAAAGAGAATAAGAGTTTCATTAGCTCAGGCCATGCTAAACTCAGATTTTTTTGCTGTTGGATCGAAAGATGGGTGGATATTTAGGCTTTAGAATATTATCCTACCAAAAACCAATTTCAATGGAAAGAGTACAGTGAGTTTGTTACTACATACCCAACGAGCCCCAGTGTGGACTGGACCATATCCTTTGATTGCAGTGTACTCATTGAAGTATTGAGGGATGGACAAGCCAAGGAAGACAGAGAAGCCTAAGATGAACTTGGTCCTGAAGCTGTTTAAGTTGCAGAACTGAAGAAAACTCAAACCTCCAGCTCCTACGTACGCGAAGAAGAGACAGTATAAAGCAGCAATGATGGGTGCAGGAATTGAAGCGAACACAGCTCCAAATTTTCCTGCATTAGTGTGATGGATCATCAGTACAGAATAAATTTCAAACAAAAGATTCTTCTTTCAATTTGTAGTAACAGATTAGAATTGAAGCTAACCGAGAATAGAGAAGAAAATCATGAAGCCTGCAGCTATCTGGACAACCCTTCGACTGCCAACTCGTGTCAAGGCCAATAATCCCGCATTTTCTCTGCAGGATAGAGTGAGAAAACCAAATGTCATACCAAAACAACTAGAAAAAATAATCAAATCAGATCATTTATCATCTCTGAGATGCTTACACAGAGACAGAGGAACCAGCTCCAGTACCAAACAACCCTGATATCAGAATTGCAACTCCCTACAAAACATAGCATAAACACATCAGAACTCTGTCAATATAAACTCAGCACCATTATCACTTCCAAGTGTAGATGAGTTACCTGCCAGCCAATACCGCGGCTAAGAATAGATGGTGGCAACATCGTTGCACTTGCGTATCTCGAGACAGAGATAAAAGCACCGGTTGACTTTAAAGAGCAGCCAGACACAAAGAAACAAGAATGAATAAACAGAATAACAGAGCATAATCATTATACTATGAAAGATTTAAACATGAAGAAGATAATTACAGACCTCAACTAGAGCAACAAAAGAAGCCATCATCATTGCAAAAGCTTCTCCAGCATCAAATGACGGGGCACCCCACTGGAAAGGCCATGGGACTCTTATCCTGAGTAAACAAACTAATGTTAACACCAAATCCAATGAAATTACATTTTAGAATCACATTTATCTTTTGATACTCTAATTCTTCATGCTCTTTTGTTCTGTTTAAACTGCAAAATTCTAGTGGAAATGTTTTATTAGAGCTGCGTTGTAACCACTTACCATGGGGCAGCACCTATAATTCCAGCACGATCTGTCCGGCAACTTGTTTGTGTAGTTCGTGCAGCACCATTGTAAGCCCCACCAACGGTTAGAAGATGAGCATAGATCCACACAATCACCACCGCAAATATCACAGCAAATCGGTCAAACACATTTTTCCCTGATTTGATCACATGAGGTAGGTACTGCAACAGGAAACATGAACACAAGAAATCAGGTAACCGTAATAATTGTAACTTTAATTCCGGGAGTTAGTCAGGTTTAATCTATTAGTAAGTTAAGAAAGCTTACCTGTGAAACGAATACTAGAATAAGAAGCTCAGGCAGTCCAATCTCTATGCATTTAGCAACCTGAAAAGTAAAAGGGATATCAACAACAGAAGAAATAAAGAGTTTCTGGTCTGTTCCTAAGTGGACATTAAACTGTTGGATACATAGTTTTTCAGCGAATCTAAGAGTAGACTTACCCCCGGGAAACCAAACTCATACAGCCCAAAACCAACGAGACCCACCAGAGGAACAGCTGAAATAGGACTTAAGAACCTGAAAACGATATAGAAAAGAAATTTACATCGCCTAGTCATTAATGTAGTAATGCTGAAGACATGTCTGAGAAATCTAATGCTGTGCGAGCAAATCAAATGTCTGAGAGCATATATTCCTCTGAGACTAACCTAACAACATTACGCCAGAGACCACTGAAACCAAGAATCATCTGCAGGGTAGAAGCAACAATCAAGGCGCCTTGGGTTGCCCGCATTATCCTCTCAAAGCGCTAAACAAAGCAAAAAACATATTCTTTGTTGTTATAACAGCACCAAGGGACATAGAGATGAAATCAAACATGATATAAATAAAGGATAAACGAGGAAGAAAACAAATCATACATCAATAGGGTCAGAGGTATCACTGAATCTGCCAGCGAGGATGATGGATATAGTTGTAGGTACGAATGTGTAGGAAGCTCCAATAACAGCAGGCAATCTAGTCCCGAAAAGAGTTTGGAGCAATGTGTTGATGCCAGCAACAAAGAGAATAGTCTGGATCACCTTTGCCTTCTCTTCCTGGAAATGAAAAACACATAAGGAAATCAAAATAAATATCAGTCACAGACACAGACACCAATGAATCAGTCTTGTACATTATTAGAAACTATAAGTAAAGCCTTGATGAGGCCTTACATATCCACCTCCCATCTGGGGAACAAGAGCGGTAGGTATGAGGACTGTTGTGCCAAGCATGACAAGGTAATGTTGAAATCCAAGAAGAATAGCTTCAGCTGGAAACACAACAAACTATGTAAGTATTTATGGAAACTATACAATTCCAAATCAACTCAATGCAAACCAACCTAAACTTGAAGAATTGGGATTCGGAGTTTAAAATCTCACCAAATGAGCTTAAAACAGGTCTAGATGTATGATTGAACGATGAAAGAAGTTATAATACCAACATTGCTTAAAACTGGAGAGATTAAACTTTAGTATAGAAGAAAAACAAATCAAACGAGAATCGAAGAAGGCTTCTAAACAAGAGTGGGTCGAGACATTGCTCAACGGGTTATTACCGAATAAAGTGAAAAGAAAAAAAAAGAGAGAAACCTAAGATTATAGAGACGGACACCGACAAAGAAATCGGCAGAACCTCAAAAGTAACAAGGAATAAAGAAGAAAGAGAAGAAGGAGATTACGCCAAGGGGGAGGACTGGTGATGCA